ACAAGTATTGGGTGAAGGGCAGTAAAGATGGATATCCAAACTCATGGGCTTTGAGTTTGAAATCAAATACAAAGCTGGAAAGGAAAATCGAGTTGCAGATGCGCTTTCCTGGAAGCTTCAACTAGTGGCCCTTTCTACGATTACCTCCCAAGAATGGGCAGGGTTAGAAGAGGAGATCAGAGGGGATGAGAAGTTAACAGACATCATACAAAAGATTATACAAGGGGAACCTACAGCCAGCAACTATGAGCTAAAAAATGGAAGGCTTTTCCATAAAGGGAAGTTGGTACTCCCTAAGAATTATCCCCGGATTTCACTACTACTCCAACAGTTTCATGATTCCGCCATAAGGGGCGACTTAGGATTTTTCAGAACCTACAAGAGGATTGCAAGCGTGGTTTGGTGGGAAGGAATGAGGAAGACTATTCAAGAGTATGTGGCTGCTTGTGATACTTGCAACCGGAATAAGTACCAGACTTTAAGCCCGGCTGGACTCTTGCAGCCCTTGTCGATTCCACAACAGGTTTGGGACGATATCTCCATGGATTTCATTGGAGGACTACCGAAGTCACAGGGCTGGGATACTATCCTAGTGGTGGCAGACCAACTGACTAAGTACAGTCACTTCATTGGCTTAGCTCACCCCTACACAACCAAGGATGTGGCTGATTTGTTCAACAAAGAGGTGGTGAAGTTGCATGGATTTCCAGCCTCAATTGTTTCAGACAGAGATAGAGTCTTTATGAGCTCCTTTTGGAAGGAGTTATTCAAGGCAGCAGGGACCAAACTAAGGTTCAGTTCAGCATACCATCCACAAACAGATGGCCAAACGGAAGTAACAAATAGGTGCTTGGAGGCTTATTTGAGGTGTTTTTCCAGCACTAAGCCGAAGCAATGGGCTAGATGGTTGAGTTGGGCTGAGTTGTGGTTTAACACCACATATCACACCTCAACAGGAACTACCCCCTTCAAGGCATTATATGGTAGAGACCCGCCGGCTATCATACGAGGGGAGGTCGGTGCATCCGCAGTGGAGGAGGTCAACTCAGCTCTAGCGGAAAGAGATCACATCCTCAGAGATTTAAAGTGGCAGCTGAATAGGGCACAAGACCGAATGAGGGCCCAAGCTAACAAGAAAAGGAGAGAAATGGAGCTTGAAGTAGGAGAAATGGTTTACTTAATGATCCAGCCTTATAGAATGAAGACTCTAGCCACCAAAACCAATCAAAAGCTCAGCCCTAGATACTACGGCCCATACAAGGTGATGGCAAAAATCGGTGAGGTTTCCTACAAGATAGAACTACCGGAGGACGCAAGAATACATCCTGTTTTTCATGTCTCTCTGCTTAAACAATGTGTGGCAGCCGGAGTAAGGAGCCAACCCCTACCCCCCAATCTTAATGAAAATTGGGAGTTACTAGTACAACCCGAAGAGGTCCTGGCAGTAAGGACCAACAGCTAAGGAGACACGGAACTGCTGATTAGGTGGAAGAACTTGCTAGATCATGAGAGCACGTGGGAAGTTGCTGAAGACATTCAGATAGCATTTCCAGAATTTCACCTTGAGGACAAGGTAGTTGTTCAAGAGGGGAGTGTTGTTAAAGACAAATTTCCAAAGGGTTTAAAAGTTTATAAAAGGCAACAGTTTAGGAAAGGTGTTAGGAAATAGATTAGCTTTCTATTTTTAATTTCTGTTTTTATTTTTCTGTTATTATCTTTCAGTTATGATGTTTGTTTTTCCATTAGGGGTAGTTTAAATAAAGGTTATGATAGATAGGAAAGACAGCGTGTATTATTTTGAGAATAGGTCAATTGAGCCGCTTGAGAGCTCAAACATTCAGAGTGCTTTAGTTTGACTGAGCCTATTCAATACATTTTCCATCATTCAAAATCCCTATTCTATCAATATGATGCATTGATTGGAGGTAACCTTATTGCTTGGAAGAGTAAAAAGCATAATGTTGTAACTAGATCAAATGTTGAAGCTGAATATCGAGCAATGGCCAATACCTCATGTGAATTTGTATGGCTAAAGCAGCTTATTTCTGAGTTGAAGTTTAGTGCGGTAGGATTTATGAGGCTTATTTGTGATAACCAAGCAGTGTTACACATTGTCTCTAACCCTATCATTCATGAGCAGATCAAACATATAGAGATTGACTACCATTTCATTTGTAAGAAGGTTCTTTCTGGTAAAATTATTACATCATCCGTGAATTCTAATGACCAACTGGCTACCATGCTTACTAAGTCACTTTGAGGTCCAAGGATAACATACATTTGTAACAAACTTGATGCACATGATATATATGCACCAGCTTGAGGGGAAGTGTTGAGAATTTTTGTATTTCCGTTATTAATAAAGCTACCATTCTTTCCTTTTATATAGAAATCTAATTTATTATGTAAATAAGGTAATTAGGAGTCAGCTGTAATTACTCAATCAATCCCTATAATCAAGGGATTCAATTTGTACAAAATGTAATTATAAGGACTGCTGAATGACAATGAGTGAACTCAGATTTTACCCTAATTAGTTTTTGTGCTTCTGTCTCAAGTGACCCTAAGCTACAGCACATCATTTTTTTTTTATCTCACCAAGGATGCTAATAGTCAGCCTGGATTTTCTCTTCACAAAAGGGTGCTTTTCTTCAAAAAACAGATTGGTCATTTCTGCAGAGTTTGTTTTTATCCCTACATCAGTAAGAGTTTCATGCAACAGCAATTGGGGGACACTCCAGTTATCATCAGGCGTATCGCAGGTTAGCTGACTATCTTTACTGGTGGTTGGGAATGAAGAAATCTGTCATGGAGTTGGTAAGATCATGTGATGTGTCAAAAAATGAAGTATGCTGCTACCCTTCCAAGTAGTTTATTGCAGCCTTTATCAATTCCGAATCAAGTATGGGAAGAGATATCAATGAATTTCATTATAGGACTTCCTTGATCTAAAGGTAACGATGTCATTTTGGTAGTAGTTGACAGGCTCTCCAAGTATACACACTTTATCTTCTTAAGCATCCTTATTCAGCACAAAGTATTGCAGCAGTGTTTGTGAAAGAAATTGTTAGACTATATGGGTTTCCTTTGTCCATTCTGAGTGCTAGGGATGTTATTTTTGTTAGTGTGTTTTGGCAGGAGTTTTTTAAATTGCAAGGCACATCACTCACAATTATCAGTTTACCACAGCTTATCACCCAGAATCCAATGGCCAACCAGAAATGATAAATCGCTGTTTAGAATCTTATCTACACTACTTCGCTTCTGAACAACTCTGAAATTGGTATTTGTGGTTGCCTTGGGCAGAATTGTGGTATAATCCCACATTTCATGTATCTACTGGTTCCACTTCTTTCAAGGTGGTGTGTGGGTGCAAGCCTCCATCAATGGTGAGGTACTTGGATGGAAAAATTAAAGTAGAGACTGTAGCTATAGATCATAAAGACAGAGATGAGGCACTGAAGTAACTAAAATTTAATCTCAGTAAAGCACAACAACAAACGAAATGTTATGTATACAAGCACGGGAAAGATGTAACTATTGCTATTGCTGATAGGGTTTTCCTTAAACTACTCCCACATATGCAATCTTCTGTATCCCAACAGTTCTATTCAAAAGTCCCCACGATATTTTGGCCTCTCAGATCTTGGGAGAAAAAATTGGCACAGTGGCACACAACCTTCAATTATCTTCAACCTCTAGATTCACTTGGTATTGCATGTAGCACTACTTAAAAAGGCTGTTAGCCAATATTCAGCTACTCCTGATTTGCCAAAAGATATGCAGTAGATAATGTCACAGAACCAGAGAAGGTTTGGGCAGTACAAGACAAACTGGAGGCAGCTAACATGTTCAAGGCGTATTTAATTCAATGGAAAGGACTTGCAGCTGAAGACCCTACTTGGGAGGAAGAATTTTTTATGAGGAATCAATTTCCTGATTTCAGCCTTGAGGTCAAGGTGTATTATTGGGGCTGTTGGCCCAAGTGACAGGCTAAGCAAAGGAGATCAGTTATTGGATCTTGTTGAGAGACTTAAAGAGTGGAGGGTGTATATGAGGAAAAAAAAGTGTAAGGGGGCAAAAGGGAAATTCAATGCATGAGTCAGTTAGAAGGGGCATTATGAGAGTGAGAGGCATGGTGTGGAGGCATTTGAAAAAAGCAAGTTGTTGCATTGTGTTAGAGGGGGAAAAAGGGAAATTCAATTCCTGAGTCAGTTAGAAGGGGCATTATGAGAGTGAGAGGCATGGTGTGGAGGCATTTGAAAAAAGCAAGTTGTTGCATTGTGTTAGAGGGGGCAAAAGGGAAATTCAATGCATGAGTCAGTTAGAAGGGGCATTATGAGAGCAAGAGGCATGGTGTGGAGGCATTTGAAAAAAGCAAGTTGTTGCATTGTGTTAGAGGGGGCAAAAGGGAAATTCAATGCATGAGTCAGTTAGAAGGGGCATTATGAGAGCGAGAGGCATGGTGTGGAGGCATTTGAAAAAAGCAAGTTGTTGCATTGTGTTAGAGGGGGCAAAATTCCAGTATCTATTGGGATATATGTTGGTAACTGTTTTTCTTAGTGGTATTCAATAATACTACCTTTGGTCCTATTTATAAGAAACAAGCAACTAATTCATCAATAGTCAATACTAATAAAAACAGTTAAATATAATAAATATAAATGTTATTCCAAAAATAGCCATCATATTAAATGTTTTAGTGGCTTGCATGGGAAGTAGGTGAGTGCTTAGTTAACATAACTTTGTAGTACATTAAGGGTATAAAAGGAATTATAGTTATGAATGAAAAAAAGGTGCTAGATTGAAATTTAAAGAAGGCATGAGGTATTATTCTGAAGTGGGGACTGGGAACATGGAATGGAAATTAATTTTCTCTGCAAGAACAGGGATGGAGACAGAAGTGAGGTCCTCTCCTAAAGAAAATAGAGAATCAAATAACATGTAGATTGATATTTGTTAACTTTTTCAGCATTATTTATTTTTATGTGAGGAATTACCTTAATCAAATTAAGAACAATAATTGGATTGCCATATCTCTTAGCAAGGTCTTCAAAATGCAATTTCGTTGCCTGGTATGTGGGATCATACCTTTGCACTGGAAGTCAAAACAGGGAAGACAACAACGTCAAAAGAGAGCTATAATAGCATGACATTTAAGAATGAACAGGATAAATATTAATCTCAAGTCAACTATCTTCATACAGATTATGTCAGGCTTAGGGCTAAATCTTGATGCTTCTTGTGACCAGAAAAGGGGTATAGATCCTCGCATTTGCACAACTGAACTCATTTTTCCCTTGCAAGAGCCAGCTTCTTCATCAAGGACAATCTGCTCTGTCTCAACATCATTAGCAACCCTTCCCCGATCATTCACTCCTCTTTTTAAGTAACTGCAGAAACAATTCATGACAAAGAAATTTAATCCAGATTACTATTATAGCCAGATAGACACAATGTAAAACCAAATATCTTTGCAAAATAAAGATAATTCATGATATCAAAGAATATTGCCATGTTTAATCACTGCTATATATTCCAATCCAACCAGCACAAAAACCATTAAATACAAAGAAAGCAAGCATCAAAATGAAAATGTTCAACCAAACAATGTGAAATGGACTAATGTAAGCTTTTTCTCTGCTCTGGATGGTAGACCGCAAAAGCAACACTTTGTTTCAGCAACCACTATAAAACATAAGAGCACTGTCCTACAGAATAGAACACTTGAGAACAACTGCAATATGACAGCAAATAATACCTCTGGGCCAACTTAATTAATATAGAGTAGAAGTCTCCTCTGTCATAATAATAATAATAATAATAATAGTAAACATATGCACTAGACAAAACAATCCAGCATCACAAAATTCACCTTTGCAAAGAACAAAAAAGGTACTAATCATTACATTAAATGACACCAAACAATGCAAAACCTATAATTAGTCAAATATACAAAATACATATGGCCATTATCATCATAGCCTAAATAATTACAGACCATATTTCTCCTTACAAGAAAGGAGAAGTTAAAAATAAATACATGAATGATAAACTGAGCTAGGCTAGAGAATCACAATAAAAGGCCCCCAATCTACACAACTTTTTTATCATTGAAAGGGGAGGTCATGAGTTGATATTCATTGCTGAGGAAGTAGGGATGGCAATGGGTAAAGTACCCGATGGGCACCCGCAAAATTTACCCACAATGGGTAGGGTATTTACCTGCTATATGGGTACGGGTATGGGTATGGGTAAAAACCCGCAAATTTTAATGGGGATGGGTGCGGGTATGGGTATCTAAGTACCCACCCCGCCCCATACCCGCATATATATATATATATATATATATATGCTTGAACTTTATTATACAATTATGAATTGAATTTTTGTATTATTATATTACTTATGTGAAGTTATATAAGATTAATATAAAAATATATTTAATAATAAAGTAAACCAAAAAAATTATTTTGGTTTATATTTTTAATAGAAAAATTTATTTACTATTTTATATCATTTAATTTGACTAACACAATTTAATTATTACATAGTTAATATGAGATTGACTTTTTTTAAAATATTATTTATATATGACACACATAAAATATTTTTTACACAAATATTTTTGTTAAAATCATATTGATGTTTTAATCATAAAGTGAATGATAAATAATAAATATATTATAAATATTTTATAAATTTTACAATCACCTACTATTACCGTAAACTAATTATTTATTAATAATATTTAAATTTTAATTTAAAATAATATTTTTCTATACAACATATGTATTACAAGTACAACTATAATTTATTGAATCTAAATAATATTATTCTTACTATTTATTCACATTCAAAGAAGTTTTTGAAAAGATATAAATATAAAAAATTATTGTTAATTTTTATTTGTTAATTTTTTTAAGATAAAAAAGTATAATTTTTTTAATATACACGTATATTTCTTTATTATAAAATTTTATTGTAACTATTTATCTTTTATTCAAATTCTTTTTTTTTTAAATTTATATACATTAGAAATATTTAATTCACTAAAATAATTTTTTAAAAATTTATATTTTTGATAAAATACTTTCGTATAGTATATGAGTTAAAAAATACTAGTATTAATATATATATATATATATATATATATATATATATATTAATTATATTATATTATTTTAATTAAATCTATTATTTTTCTTACAATTTGAAATTCAAAAGTTAAAAAAAATATTTTATGTATCAATTTTCTATTGTTAGTATTGAACTTCTCTACTCTAACTCTATTCTCATTCTCAATGTCTGTCTCACTAAAACTTAATAACTATGAAATGTTATTCATTAGAGTTAGTTGTTAATGCCGTCACAAGAGGTTACTAAGTGATCCCACACGAAGGGACAACCATTGTACAGATCTATTTCGTTATCGTTCTGACATTACTAATCAATCAAATCTCACACAAGATAGGATTATCACTGACAAATAACTTGTGTGTTTAATTTTGCTTATTATTTCTAAGAATTTTAATTTAGAAAATTATTATATTAAGATACATTTCACATTTATGATCTTTGAATATTTGTTTTTTTATCTATATTTGTACCTTGTTCGACAACTACATATTGAATTTTTGTATTATTATGCTACTTATGTGAAATTATATAAACATATTTTTCTTTATAAATATTTTTTTCTCAAACAAGCGCGGGTAATGGGTACAAGACGGGTATGCGGGTACCCAGAGGGTACGGGTACGGGTACGGGGATTAATGTTCATACCCATGCGGGTATGGAGATGGGTACTGTAGTACCCTACCCATACCCTACCCATTGCCATCCCTATGAGGAAGTCTTATTATACACCTTTTTCCAAAGTGCAACCCACTGGGAGACAAGTAGGAAACAATGGCTATTGGGGGAAAAAATCAAAGCTAAAGAGTGAAACCTAGGTGTATAGAAAGAAGAAGGAGAATACAGAACTCAATAATTTTCCTAATCATTTACAAAGCACATTCTTTTCACATGGGAGACAATGAGATAGCTTTTTCAGAGAACTGAACACAGATCTTTTTCAAATCAATTAAGCAGAACTTCAGGATCATGTTAAAACAGGCAGTTATGATCAACAGATCAAGGTAATGGAAAGGTACATTAGACTAATCGAAAGAGAAGAGAACCAGTTGTGTAATATTTCTCATCAGAGGGGAATGAAAAGGAGAAAAATAAAAAATATATGAGAGTTGGCATAAGATAAAGGCTTTCTCAAACATAAGATCTTTCAGAATAATGAGAAATGTGGAACATATAGGAAACAAGGACATGTAAATGAGCGAGGGACAGAGATAGGAAACAAGTGTAAAGAATCATAGAAAGAAATAAAAGAAACTAAGAGAATTCTCTCAGGAAGAAAGAGAGAAAGAAATCATAACGTGTCTAAATGAATGAGGAAAAAAGAAAATCTTCCCAAACTCTCCAATAAAGGAGAATCTTATAGAGGTATCCATTGCAAAGAGAGAATAAGAGGCTAACCTGGTTTGTTGCTCCTCCTCCTTCAATCCTTCCCTGGACAAATCACAACAAATAATTGCCTATGGGGGTAAAACTGAATATATAAACTGTTTATGCTATCTATAAAGTCGAGTTTGAAAGACACATAAATTTAATTCATCACTTAGATTAGAACATGATATGTGCAAAGAGGAATGTTTATAAATTGCACAGTGAAGTAGCACACACGTGCAAAGAATTCTGAGGACGTAGATGTTCAGACATCAAGGCTAAAATCCCATATGTGAAATCTAGAACACACTGCCTTCATATGATGAGATTTAGTGGATTAAACTAACCATGTCAGCATTTATGATTTTGAAACAACCAAATCCTCATAAATTAACTCGCAAGGAATTTCCAATCCTATCACTAGAAAAATACATAAATGGAATTCTTGGAGAATCTATTATACAAAAACAGATTCATGTTTATAAATTGCACAGTGAAGTAGCACACACGTGCAAAGAATTCTGAGGATGTAGATGCTCAGACATCAAGGCTAAAATCCCATAAGAAGTGAAATCTAGTACACACTGCCTTCATATGATGAGATTTAGTTGATTAAACTAACCATGTCAGCATTTATGATTTTGAAACAACCAAATCCTCATAAATTGACTCGCAAGGAATTTCCAATCCTATCACTAGAAAAATTCATAAATGGAATTCTTGGAGAATCTATTATACAAAAACAGATTCATGTTTATAAATTGCACAGAGAAGTAGCACACACGTGTAAAGAATTCTGAGGACGTAGATGTTCAGACATCAAGGCTAAAATCCCATATGTGAAATCTAGAACACACTGCCTTCATATGATGAGATTTAGTGGATTAAACTAACCATGTCAGCATTTATGATTTTGAAACAACCAAAATCCTCATAAATTGACTCACAAGGAATTTCCAATCCTATCACTAGATACATTCATAAATGGAATTCTTGGAGAATCTATTATACACAAGCAGATTCATTTTTACAGTCTTTGCCTAAATTGTTTAGTAGTCCACAGAGCAAGATCCCTTGATCCCCTTTACCATCCTTATCAACAGCTTTTCCTCAACTATATTGTCCTCCAACTCTGCATGGTGATACAGTTTCCAGCTTTGATACTTTGGAAATCAAAGATCCTTTAAAACTTTCACACTTTTACAAATATAAATGAAAACTAGAAACTTTTTATTCTATTCATTTCTGTAATCATTTATTTCCAGTTTGGAATTGTTTCCCTATGGCTTTGATTGGATGCATGGAAAGAAAATTAGTGCAGTGATTTTAGAGTGAAAATAATCTTTTCCATTGTTTGTTACATTTTCTCACCAATGTTGCCATGAAAAGGGGTAAGAGAGGAATTTTCTTTTATTATAATCTAATGTTGAATAACTTTTAAAATAATATTAAAAATAAAAAATAAAGAAAAAATATTATACTAAAATTTTATATTTTTATTAAAATAAGTTTTTAATTATTATTATTATTATAAGGCTTAATTATGTTTTTATTCCCTATAAATATCGAGCATTTTGTGATAAGTCTTTATAAATTTTTTATTAGTATTTAGTCCTTGAAATGTTAAGAAATTGAGATTTAATCCGTGCCGTTAACTTCCTTCTGTTAAGTGTTAAGTTAGCTATCAGAGAGTCAGTCCAGCACTTCTAAGTGGCATCACATGTCATTTTGTTTTTTGTTTTTTTTAAATTAATATTTACAAATAAGTCCTTCAATATATATTACATAATTGCAAATAAATCTCTATCCCTTTTCCCTCCCCCTTCTCCGCTATCTCACTCCCACCTCCAACCCCAACCCTTTCTAACTAGATTCTTCTCATTTTCTCCTAAATAGCGATCATCCCGTTATACACTATTCTGCTATAACGTTTTAGGAGTTAGCCGTTATTTTCCGCTACCCGAGATTAACAACTATGCTCAAGTTTAATTAGAGACACCATGAGAATTCATACACAGCCTCGGCACTCCAGGCAAGTTAGCAGTGATACAAATTCAGAAAAAATGGGGACAAAGCAAACGAAGAATGATACAAATTGGAAACACAAAATTTGCCCCAAACTTGGCACCCAAAATTGAACATTAGGTGCAGGCACCCAAATTCGGTTCATAAAAGACAGGTTAGCAAGCTTTGAATAAAAAATATGAGAAACCCACGACAAATCCGATTCTTATATGGAATTACTATGCGGAGAAAGTGCCAAACTGGAGGTAGAACAATCGCGCAACAATGCTTTGAATGACAATTTATCCAAAATATCACCAATAAGTAGCAACTCTTGTCCTTATCTCCAACAATAAATTCCAAACCCAAAATGGGAATCACGTGTGGATACGCAATTTTATACTAAAAAACAATGCTTTAAGGAAAACAAAGAGAACCATTAAAGAAAGATCAGGAGACAAAAAAAGGGTAGGTAGGGGTAGAATCCAATTTGAATGAGGAAAAAAATGTGCACCTCACAAATCACACATAAACTAAACGCAAAGCAAAGAACAACAACAACAACAATAATAATAATAATAATAAATGAGAATAATAGAAAGGGTGGGATATTTTGCTATGCAAGAGATTATTCCTAAGAAATGGTACCTGAAAGAAACTATGTATCTCCAAGGATGAAAGTATGAAATGGGCAATGGGGAGGGGTGGGGCTGGAGTTGGGAGTGTGGGGTGTGGGGTGGGTAGCGAAGAGGAGGAGAAGGGGAGGGGGAAGGAGAAGAAGAAAGGGATTATTTGCAAATATATAATATATATTCAAACTTATTTACAAATATTAATTTTAAAAAATAAAAAAGTAAATGATGTGACATGTACGAGTGCTGAGCTAGCTCTCTATTAGCCAGCTCAGCACTTAACAAAAAGGAGTTGATGGTAGGGATTATATCCTAACTTAACTAGTCCTAACTTAACTTTTCAGGAATTAAATTCTAACAAAAAATTTTATAAGGACTTATCACAAAATGTCCAATATTTATAAGGACCAAAAACATAATTAAACCTTATTATAAAAATATTTTTAATACAACTTACCTATCTTTTTTCACTCTTTTTTCATCCAAACAAGTTTAAGAAAATTTTCTTACTTCTTTCTCTCCTTCTATCCATCCAAACAACATATTTTTTCCATCTTATTTCTCATCTCTTTCTTTCTCACTATTTTCTGTTGTATTTATTTATTTCCATCTATTGTCCATTTCATCCAAACATAGCTACAAGTCATTTTTATCATGGAAGCAATCCCCCAAAGATTAGTGACTTCTTATTTATACAAATTGAATTTGTAACGTTTGTTATATATAGTTTTCTCATCAGCTAGTTGCTTTATGTATTCGAAATTCCGACCACCACCAAACCAAGCAGTGTCATCTGTCATGATGCAGGCTAATTAGCATTAAACCAAGCAGACAAGCATAATTAAATACACAAGCAATAAGCATTGTGTTACCAACTTACCAGTAAATTCACATTGTTCTAAGTTTCAAGTTTAACTGTATCTAAACCTAAGCTTGCACTTTAGTCAAAGAATGTTGAACACACAAAAGATACAGTATGATGATTTCAAGTGGCAGGGGACAGCTGGGATTCACTGCAATTCCCAGCTAAACCTTGTCAAATTTGGCCTCATATTACTTGATTCCATAATGTTGTAAAAAGTGGTTCCTGGCATCTTAATCCTCATGATATTTTATTTGTGGACCAGTTTCAAGTTGTATGAGGGGACAGATGTGTGATTTCAAGTGAAGCCCAAAAAAGATACGACCACTAAAGGCTGTCACAGTATGCCCTGAATGTTTATCATCCATTATATGATGGTTTGCAATAAATGTTTTGAAACAAGAAGTTTATGCCATTTTCTGGTGCATTTGGCTGGATTGGGATGCTAGCAATTGATGTATCGAGCAAATGTTTTGGAAGATCTCTATATCTTCCATATCATATTTTCTCTCTAATAAAATTTCTTTACCAATTAAAAAATCCAACTTTTGGAATTTCCTCTGTACAAGGTGGCAACTTTCTTCCTTTTGAGAAACCTGTGAAGTTTTAGGGTGCCACAAATAACAATAAATTCAAAATCTGTCAATTGTGATATTCTGATGGAGGTCTCCAACAAATTTTGGTATTACAAGGTAGTTTGAATCCTGAGGAAAAATTGTAGAATAGAAAATGGAGATCGCAATCCATTTATAATTGGTTGTGACAATTGCATTAAAAATTCTAGTGGCAAATTGCATTCACACTCCCTGAATTTTAACAAATTTCACTCAATGTCCCATCATTTTTTTTACATTACTTTAATCTCTCCTGATTCAGATAATGACATAAGAAATCAATAGGGATTTATGTTATTAAGAAGGGTACATGGTGTTATGTTATTATATAAATTAAGGGAGGTTTGTGAAGAGAGACCAAAAAAGGTTGCGTTAGGTGAAATTTTATTAAGCCTCAGAGTGTGAGTATAATTTATCTTATTTACATACCAGGGAAACTCTAAACAACTAATTTTATCTCAGTCTTGGGATCCAAAGTCAATAAATACATTATAGGATTAATAATATATTAGCCTCCACTCTATCAACATGCATACCAAATGTAGGATAGAACTAAGACTTGTATACACACCCTATATCTGTACTATCTTGAACCATTAGAATATCCTTACTTATCTAACAAACCACACCAAAGTAGTTTATTGTGTGGTTTGACATGGTCTGTAACCAGTACTTTTCACCTTTGAAGGAACTATAACTACTGTTTGCAGCTGAGCTGACAAGTCACTCAACTCCAAAAACAAATTGTTGCATTAATAAGATAACAAGTTGGAAACATTTTCAGTGTACCGGGTAGTTCCATTAACCTTCAATCACGGAGAAAGGCAGAGGAACAATCTTAAGCTATTATATTATATATTTAAAAAAGAACAATCATTTATAGCCACAAATTTAACATGACACTTTTAAGGATGAAATTAAAATCTAATAATCATGAAAACTTACAGAATATTTATCTAATTTAAACTATCACAATGATTTCATGACATCTAAATCAACTGTATTATAAAAAGGAAAACATGAAAGAAATATCAGGTAAGAGCATACCGTGTCCCTGCAAAATGTCTTGATCGTCTAGAAATCAAGGAAACACTGAAATCCCTCCCAAAGATTGATAGACGAATCTGCCATTTTTAAAATCGTGAATTGGTTATCCAATGTGCAAAATACCAACCACACATTTATTCTAAACCAAGAATCCCAACTCTCATACTGGTAAAGTTCAGACAATGTTAATCTTGCTTTAATAGCAGGAAATTTATAAATAATATTAAATTTTTAACTGATCTTTAATGAAAAGTGTGCTTGAAATAAGAGTAGGTAAGCTCACATTTGACTAATAACAAACTATCATTAATGACAGACAGCAGGATGGAAGCTACATACCTGCCTAAAATGGCCATGAACTAAAGCTATGGTCCAAATGGTGTTATTGCATCTTGATCTGATTGCTTGCGTCAAATAGGCATTCCAAACAAATATATTATCATAAGACATCCCTCCCTCTTGATTGGACGAGACGTTTGTTTGCAAACTTTGCATTATAGGGTAAGTGTAACTAAAGAAAAAATCCTTGGTCAAATCAACACTAGACAAAAGCTTTTTGTACCTGCAGCAAGAGAAAGAAATGTTAATTTGTTATGAAGTTGAAGTTGTTAGAAGTGGCAGTAGTAGTGCTAATTACCTGAGCTCAGTCTTAGAATGAGCTATATCAGATTGAATTGAAACATGTGGAATGGTTATCAATTGGCTCTCCTTAATGCTATAGATTGCATGGCCACAAATAGAACCAATTTGTCTGCGCTTAGTAACAAGAATCAAATAGTAGGACTCGAGAAACTTGATGCAACCTGGGGAGAAAGAATTAGAAGACATAACAATATTTAAGTGGTGGAATTGACCTACGTAAATGATATAGAGATAGGAACTAACCGGCAATCCCAAAAACCTTAGCGACAAAAGTGAGGCCTCCGGTGGCCCTGTTACCTTCGCCAATTCGCTGAAGCAAGCTCTTGATTTCCTGGGTTGAATACAACACCGGGTCTTGGCTGATATTCAGATCGGAAGGTTCTGATCGATCAATTTTCAGCACACGGAAGAACCTCTTGTTCCGATCACTCCCGATCAGGTAAAACCTCTGCAATTCCAGTTCCAATTCCATTTCATGCTCACAAACAATAATCGGTTAACTAATTGTGTAAAAATTGCATCAATCAATTACCGCTCTAGTTTCGTAGAGTCTGAACTTCTCAAGGGCGTAAGCGTCGGGATCCAGTTCGGGATCATTGGCAGGGTGAACTTTTGCCGAAGCAGATGTTGATCCCATATTCTTATTCTCCGATTTCGCCATCTACCTATCTATTTAACTATCTATCTATCTATTCCGTTCCATCTTTCTAAATCTAATTTTCGCATTCTCCAACTAATTCGAACTCCTACACACTCAAACCCAATCCAATGCTTTCTTTCTTCACCTTCAATTACTCTTCCGCTGTCGATGTGATTATAGAAATTAATAATAATAATTATAAACATGGCAACCCCTCCCTCGCATCCCTATTCAGCTAACCTATTCATTCGTTTGAAGCCAAACGGCTTCAAAAATTTATTATTATTATTATTATTATTTTAATTAAAATTTGCAATTAAGATCAATTTTATGCTTTAGCGCATATTTTAAATACATTAAATTTTGAATAATTTTATCAATTAAAAAGGTTATTTTTTAGTGAATTATTTCAAATAATCAAAAGTATACGGATGCTTTATTTAGTTCAAAGTATAATGTGATTTTAATTAATTATAATTTCAAAGTAAGTGAATATACTTATTTTAGAAATAAATTTACGTTTTTGTAAATACAGATTATTCCGCTCATTTAATTGAGGGGTAAATACATTATTTATTATGATTATTAATTTGGTAATCTTTTATATTCAATTTTTAAAGCAAGGCAAACTCTTTTACCTGCACATTTCCATATAATCATGGTTTGTTCTGAAAAAATATGCAAAATAATAATAATTTTTTATCTGATTTTTTATACTAATTTGTTTTATTTAAATTTAGAAAACGTATTTTTAATAAATTATATATGATATGTTAGTCTTTTTTATAAAATATTATAGTTCAATATACTTGTAAGCCACGTACTAAGTTACACACGGACAGGGGACAGGCCGTTGAGTTGAACCGCACGTTGGGTATACAAGACCAACCCCTCTTTCTCGGCAAAATGAGAAAAAAAAACGTGGACCAAAACTATGAATAAAAAACTAGATTACTAGATTAGGTCCGAGTCTTAGTAGAGTATTATAATATGTTTTATACATTAATAAAAAAATCATTTATATGCAATTTATATTTGTGTAGATGATAGTTTTAATATTTATATTTATTGGATATTTATATACTTGAATCAAGATTCATTATTTATCGTTTAGTAAATTTAAATATAATTTTCTATAACATAAATATTTGACAAATTTTAAAAAACATAAAAAACTTTGAAATTTTAATACAAAAAAGGTAATAAATTTATTTTAATTTTTTACTTTTCTAATTATAAAATATATTATGTAAGTATGAATAAAATTAGGTATTATAATATCTAAAAATTATTTTATTCAATGCTTATATCACAAAATTTTGTTGATGCATGATTCATATATTTAGACTGCAGAAATTTGACAAATAAAAATATTATTTATTGTATATTTTCGGGCATGAGTCTAATTGCTCTCTAATAAATAGAATTAGATAAAAAAATTTCTAATTTCTTTGAAAGTCATATATCTAAAAAAATTAATAACTTTTTATATACATTTGAAGATGCTAAAACTTTTCTCTAATATCATTATTGTTGCCTTACTTTTGAATTTTATCACTTAATCCATAATTTTAAAAGTCTAATTATAAACATTATTAAGTATAAATTTAAGATAATATTAAAATAAATTTATTATGGTGATTAATATATGTTACAGTTTTAATTAATTATGTTTATAAATATTATGCTCGTGCTAAAAACTATCTTAAATATAACTCTAGCTCAAAGATATATGATTTTTCCTTGTCATGATGCACATATGTCTTGTTCTTTTAAAGGGAGAAGTTTAAAGAAGGGAAATACTATCCCAAAAGACTTTGAACTATACATACCAAGTATAATTAATAATGTTTAAAAATTCTACTTGGTATTTTTAAAGTCAGTATATTTGCATGCATAATTCATCATTAAATACCACAATTCTAGAGTTATTAATATGATTTTTATTTTATTTTTTGCATTGGATAGTATATTTGACTAATAATTTTATAAAATTAATACAAAAAAAAAAAAACTTCTTACATCATTAATATTTTCACTAAAAATAATACTGATGCACAAATATCCATGATTTTACATAATTTATACTATTTTAAATTTATAATTTAAACTTCGCTGAATTATTAATAACAAGCACGCAAGTAAAAATACCAAGTAGTTTTTTTGAACTTACTGGTATTTTAATTTTTATGTATAAAACGAGAGAATAAGGAGAGAAAAAAAGGAATAAATAATGTTTACTTGTTTATTGTAATGTATTACAATAAAATATAATATGTTAATAAAACGAAAAATACTCACTCTTATTTATATTAATAATTTTAATTAGATAAAAAAAATTATGAAATGTTTAAATATATATATAAAAAAAATACCACCACACGTCAAAAACTGTCTTCTTATTATTATCCACTTATGGCAAGAGACAGCCAACTAAACAGCAAAAGATGCACCAAATCAGTGTTTGTTGCAACGGCTTGGCGCCTCCACCGCCATCCGCTCGTCAACCTCCGCTTCAGCCAATCGTACGCCGAAGACATAGCACCGTCACTGCTTTTGCTGCAAAATCCGGAGGATTTTCACTTAATTCGGTGTGTTCTTGAGCTCATGAATCTGTAGATTAAAATGCCTTTTATTGTTCGAAATACTTTTCCTGGAATTTCTGGATTCAGAAATTAATCATAATTCAGAACCACTTGTCCGTTTGAATTGTATGGTTCTACAAAATAGCATGTCTATCAGACCTTACTTCACTAATCTTCTCGTATCTGGTCTCTGAAAATGGTCTGCAGATACTCAAAAATTGCCAAACTTGCGGAGGAAAAGGAGCAATCGAATGTCCTGGGTGTAAGGTGCTGCTATTCTTTAAGCCTGTTCCCTGCGTCATTGAGTTATGCATTTATAGTGTGGTCTATTTTTTCACTCGACCAGTGATATATATATATATATAATGCTTTATCCCATTACATAAATATAATCAAGTGAATTAAATATTTTGAACTTAATATATACTTAATTTTATTCTTCATAAGTTTGCGAATAAGTCAATACATCTTTACTTTTAAGGTAAGATGATAAGGGATTTCAATTTTTGCTAGTTGTGTCAAAAATTGACATCTAATTTTTGTTTAAACAAAATAGATTCGATTAAGTGAATTTAAAAAATAAAAAAGAACAAAGTAAGAGAAGTGAAAGAGAATGCTCGGTGTGAGTCAGCGAAAAAAGTGAATGACTTAAAAAATATTTACTTAAACTAACTTTAAATTCGATTAAGCGAACTTTTCTTAATTTTTTTGTCAATATTTTAAAAATTTATTTAAATGAGTCTATTTTTATTTAAGTAAAAATTGGACATCTAGTTTCTACTGCAATAAAAGAGAAAATCTAGAACAATCAATGTTGGGATATTACTATTTTACCTTACCAGTAACAATTTCTGAAAGCTAGTTACTTCGGAGTCTGACAGGGGAGTGGAAAGAATAAAAAGAATGGAAATATCTTTGAACGGTGGAAGTAAGTTATTTTCATCCCTTGCACTATATATCATTTTATCTGTATATTTTACTCGCTTAAAATCAGCTTCTAACCTCTATTGGCTTAGATGTTTTGACTGTCAAGGATTTGGTCTAAAGAGTTGTCCCAGCTGTGGAAAGGGAGGGTTAACACCCGAACAACGTGGAGAAAGATAGAGTACTTCAGATTAGGGAATTTCTCTCAAGTTCTTGTACCATTCAACCTATTAATATTCAGGTTGCCCCCACATTTGTACAAGCATTAAGGATATTTTAAAATAAGTATTTTCAAAAGTAATTTATATTCAAATTTTTAAAGATGCAAAACGTTTATTAAATTATTATAATCAGTTTCATTTAGTACAATTCCTTTCAATCAATACTAAAGTTAATAGATTAACTCTATGCCATTTAAATATAAGCAAATTTCTTCCTTTATTCAATCAAAGTTTTTATATGCTTTTTTTTTTCTTTTGTTCTGTGTGGTTGTATACTTCGGATATCCTAAACCTTAAATCATAACTTACACTAGACTTAGAATATCATATCAAATATACTCAATAAATTAGATTAAGGGCGTGTTTCCGTAAATATTTTAAGATTTGTTTAGATATACAATTTATTAATCATTTATTCAATATATTTTTTACATAACAACTTGCATTTTAAATTTAACCATAAATTTTATTAAAAAATTACAAATTATTTTTTTAATAAGTTACACTAAACATTTTAACAAAATAAGCTAAAAAAGCATATAGAAGTAATAACTTCTTTTCGTAAGATATTTCAAACAAGCTTGAATTAAGAAAATAGTTGTTGAAAAAACTGTTATTGTATTAAAAGTTATAACATAAATTTGATCATAAAATTTTATTTTGATATGTTTATTAAAAAATTATTAAAATAAATTAAATAATATTCTTTAGTCATAGATCATTCTCATTTTTTTTTCAAGTGATTTCAAATGCTTCTTAAGACTTATTGTAAAAGTTTATTTAATTAAAAGAAATAAGTTTTAATCTATTTAGAAAGACTTTTAAACCTAACGTGCCAGCAAATAATGATGAAGACAACATTATATTGAAATTTTACCATGATGTTTTAAAATTATAAGTCTATTGATTTATTTAAAGATTTGCATTCACTTACTTGAATACAAGTTTAAATTCATTAATGTATTTAAAATTATTAACTCGTTTAAAATACGTTATTACAAAATTGACTTTTAAGCTTAAGTTGATTTTTAGTAAGATCATTCTAAACATTAAAAAAAAATAGTTAGATCATATCTTTTGAAGCTTAATATAATCCATTTCAGTCATACTCTTACCCACATCATTATATATATATATATCATTTTCTCCTTTTTTTTAATAATTTTTTTCTCCTTTGAATCTTATTAATATAATATTAACGTGAAGTTTCCAAACAACCATGCAAATAGATGATGTTGGAAGTAAAGGTGATAGTGTTTTTTTGACTTGAATTGAGTTGATCCAATTCACGAGCTATGTAATTTTTTTGCAAAAAAATTTACAATATAATTTTTGGGTCATAGTGTATAAAAATCGTATATTGAGTAAGTGCACCCATTATTAGAGTAATATTACAAAAAAAAAGTAGAATACCAAGTATTGTATCCACATAAATTGTTACTAAAATTTACTTCCTTAATTATCCAATTGTTAACGACTACAAGTAGGGATAGAAACAGACTAGACTGTCTAATAAGGGCCTGCAACCTAGCCTGCTTTAGTTAAACAAAAAAATATAAATAAAAAATTATATTATTAATTAATTTATCAATTTATATATAATATATAAATATATATTTTAATGTCTTGTACCAGTAAATTTTCTATATTATATTAATGTTATAATATACTTAATTTTATATATATTTGTTAATTTAAAATAAAAAATTAATAAAATAAATAAATTAAATATTTTATAATTATTTTTTAATTTAATAGTTATTATTATTGTCTATATATATATATTGCATTGAGTTTAAATTTTTATATTAAGTTTTATCACATATTTTTTTATTAAGATAAAAGTTATTTTAATTTAAATATAAATTTTATTAATTTTTATTATGCTCATGTTATTTTTCTGCATTCATAAATTTTATAATATAAATTTTTTTATCTACAATTTTTATAATGATGATATTTTTTTACCTTTTTAAAAATAATATTTTTTTTAGCTGATTCAACAAATTTTATGAGTATTATTTTTTTTATCAATTTTATGTCTTTACACAAAAATAATATAATTATCATAAAAAATAATTAAAACATTTAATACTTTAATAATTTTATAAAATTAAATTAAAAAGTTTATAAAAATTTTATAATATGAAAATATTTATAATTAATGCTCAAATAATATTTTAAGAATTATTTATAAAATTATATAAAAATCATTACAATCATTTAATAATTATCAATAACACATAAAAATTTAAAAATGTGTAAACTAATTTAATAATAAAATAATTATATTTTCATTTAATATTAAGATTTTTTTTTTTGTAGCAGGCTTTTTTAAGAGGTTTTGGGCTAGCGCAAACTAAAAATAAAGCCTTTAACAGGTAACAGGTCAAGCTCAGGCCTAATAATTAGGCTGGGCCTATTTAGAGTAAAGTCTAGCCTACTCTGTCCTGTTTCTATCCCTAACTATAAGCAAAGAAATTATGTTAATAAATTTTGCTGAACTAAAAAGAATAACAATTAAAAAGAAACAGATTTCTATGATAATAAAATCTAGAAAAATATGACTAAGTGTATTCAAGAGAAATAAGTGCGTATATACATTGTAAATCCTCTTAAGTGTCCAAATAACTGGAATTCTCCATCAACTACTTAGTTTTAATCCCTGTTGATGCAGGAACTCCTAAAATAAACTAATACCTATCTCAAGGATGATGGCATCTAACCTTCAGTTGAATAATCGAAATCTCCTTCTTAATTAGTTTTCCTAAATTGCATTAAGTTCATTATGAATTTCATTATTAGGATTATTCCTAATATGGAAAAATTATATCTTTCTATCTCTAGAAATGCATTCAAGTCCCTTTAATTGAGTAATGGTAATTTCATGCAAGATATTTACTTAAAATCAAACAAGAAAATAAGATAGGAGATAATTGAATCATCAACCAACAATTAATACTACTCAATTAAACTCAAGAGAAGATAACATAAAATAGCATTAAGAAGATTGGTCACATAGGATTCATTACATCTAGATACTCAAAGAAAAATTAGAACCTAAATATGTAGAAACTATAATTACAAAAGAGAGAAATTAGAGAGCCTGATTCCATTCTCCCAGCTATCACTAACTCTTCTTTTCCAAAAACAACATCCCTAGATTTCTATGTCAAGTTTCCTTTTATAGAGGTAGTCAAAGGGTTCATTTTCTTGCAAAAGTTTAATTCTGACATACATTAAAAGTACACGTTCAATGTACACGGCCATGTACTTTGACCATGTACATCTCTGATCTTTAATATTTACCCTTCACAGTTTTTTTGAAAAGTATACGCCAATGTACACGTTCATGTACTTTGACTGTGTACATCTCTGATTTTGATGATGTGCTTCAATTGACGTGACCAGTGAGGTACACATTTATATACACGGGCGTGTACTTACCCGTGTATATCTCTGGTTCTTCTCTTACTTCAATTTTCAATATTTTTTAAGCTCTCACTTCTTGATCCTTCTTCTTGAAATATGAATGAAAAAATATACTTAATAACAATACTCTCAATGAGTAACTCAAAATCTCAATTATCATTCGTGAATTACATTATAGGATCAAGTATAAAAGGTATTTATCAAATTTCCCCAAACTTGAACGATTGCTTGTCCCCAAGCAAAGAAATAGAGCAAATTTACTATTGATAACAAAGAATCAAATTTTTGAATTATTATTATTATTATTATTATTAGTTTTAGAGGAACAATAATTTTTAAACATCAAATTGTACCTTCTTTTCCTCTTTACCATTGTAACTTCAGACAGAACTGAATAAGGACCTTTCTATCATTAGTTCTTAAAAAAAATAAAACTCAAAACTTTGAAGTATTCAACAAGGTGTTATTTAATTTTCTTCACTTTGAGTCATGATCGACTAACAGGGTGTATTTTATGCTCCTTCCCAATTAGCACAAGATACTAATGGAAATTTCATCCCCTGCTTTCCACTTCGGTACCTCAAATAATTTTGAGGTTTTAGGATGTGGTATTCAGACATTGTCTACGATCCACATTCAACTAGTTATGCTTATATGACATGCTCTTTTATTTTTAAGCAGAGCCCCAATTTTTTCAGATATTAATTATTATATCAATTGCATAGATTTTTAAACATTTGGCATAGATTTAAGGTCCTTAAATCAGAAAAGTCTTATGATACTTCAATCGAGAAACAATTAAAAACACAATTCAAATAACCAACATAATTGTATATAATCCCCCCTTTCTTAACAAAATATTTTATTTATATAAACTATCCAGGAATATAATCTCTGATGCAAAAGCAAGACTAACTCAATATTTGCTCAAGAACAAAATAAAAATTCAATTCAGGCATTTACAAACATCCACCCCACATTGTAAGATTTGCATTGTCCTCAATCAAATGTAAGACACCACAAACTAAAATTTTCCTGAAAAGCAATAAAAATAAGCAAAGAGTGGTGAGAGTCATAGCTAATCTGAGATTCAAATGAAGAAGAAACTTGACCAAAATGAATTTATAGGAAAATTCAACTTAGTTCAAAATGACAAAAGGAAAGGAACAATCAAAATAACGCAATAAAGAGACAAGAGCAATTGAAATTCTGAAAATAACATAACTAAAAGATATCCAACAACTAAGACTATCCTAATTGCAGACTAAAATTTTGCACTAGCATCATTTAAGTCTTCATCATCTGGACTAAGAAGGTAGTGAGAAGGAGATGGAGTAGGATGGAGAACTGTTGGTGTAGAGATACCAAAATGACTAAATAGAGCAATAAAGTTGGCTTCAACTGTGGATTCCAACCTAGCCAAACAGTGAATAAAGTCTCTATGGCTGCTCCTCAAAGTCCGCTAGGACGCGATGCTATGTTGTAGCTGATGCTGAAAGATGCTAAGATCGTTAGTAGGTGCAAGGGGACTGTCTACCCTAGGTGCGGGAGATGGGAGCTCATCAAAGGGCTCATCATGTGTATCAGCATGGGCACTGACAGGGGCAGGTTCAAAGTGCATGGCCTTCATTGTGTCGTGTAAAATAAGGACCATGTGATTAACTAGAGTGAAACCAAAAACATCGCTCAAAATTCCTAATCTCTTAGCCAAACAAGTTACATACGAACCCGCACAAATACACACACCCGATCATCACTGGCTTGAGAGAATAAAAATTTTGCTAGGTAGATACCAAGGTGAATGGGGATCTTGTCAATCATGCTACGCAAGAATTCTAGGTCCTTTGTACCCACAACTCCAAAATTGTGACCTCTCCCGGTTAAAGTGTGAGCTAACAGAGCATGGACATACCTCCAAGCTGGTTTCTTCAATGTAGAGTACTTGGAGTGAGTAGGATTCCAATCCTTATCAATAACACTAACCCTCTTCCAAAAATCTTTATTGGAGCAACCCAAAAGAGGATATGGGCTAGTTGTCGGTACTTTTCAATGAGTACAAAATTAGAGCTATAAAGCCCCATTTGGACAGAGAAGTTAGAATAACTCATCTTATACATGTTTTGCATTATTCGAAACTAAATAAAGCCTTCAGAATTGCAACCAAAAAATTTCTTTTCAACAACCAGAGTGGTGAGAAATTCTAATGTAAGCTCTCTATATGCAGGTTCAGTAATAGAAAATAGATTTTTCCAATGCCCCACTCCTACCAATTCCTTCACTTCTTCAAATAGATAATAGTAATGCAGAACGTCCCAATCAATAAATTTGCTCTAGTCCCAAACTTTATTTTTCAGTTTATCATACTTGGTGCGGTGAGTAGGGGCGTTGAAGGTTGCAACCGTGTATATCACTGTTCTCTCTCTCTCTCTTTATGATAGCAAAAATATAAATAAATGAGCAGATAAATGACTAAATTAAAATAAACTAAACCTACCCAACCTAAACTATATGATGTAATTTAACATTCAACATGGAGGAGTTTAAACTCCTCATTTGCAAAAGTTTGAAGTTGACCCCCTAGTACAGTTTAGCCTATGTTCATTCACCTTAAAATTTTCTTTTTCTTGATGAGTTAATTCAATTGTATCATAAGGAAATACCCCATGCACAGTGAATGGCCTAGACCAACAGGATTTGAGTTTACTTGGGAATAGTTTGAGGCAAAAGTTGTACAACAGTACTAAATCACTTTTTTTTTTATCATGATAGACCTTCATCCTTTCTTTGTAGATCCTGGAGTTTCCATAGGCTTCCATGCGCCATTCTTCCGATTCATTCAATTGCATCATCCTTTTGTTACCTACATGATCAAGATTCATATTCAGGGATTTGATTGCCTAAAATGCCTTGTGTTTTAATTCAACTGGGAGATGACAGGTTTTACCAAACATAAGCCTATATGGTGTAGTGCCTATGGAAGTTTTAAAAGTTGTCCTGATAGCCCACAAGACATCATTCAACTTCTCAGCCCAATCCTTCCTATTCTTCTCTACTATTTTTTCCAACACTTTTTTCAACTCCGTATTAATTACTTCAACTTGGTCACTCGTTTATGGATGATATGGGATAGCAATTCTATAGGTGACTCCATATTTATTCAGAACTTTTTCAAGTTGTGTATTGCAAAAATGTGTACCCCTATCACTAATTAAAGCTCTTGGTGTGCCAAATCGTGAAAAAATCTTTTTAAGGAACCTAGTGACTACCCTTGCATCATTAGTAGGTAAAGTTCGTGCCTCTACCCATTTGGACAAATAATCAATAGCCACTAAAATGTATTTATTCTCTTTAGAACTAGGAAATCCCATAAAATCTATCCCCCAAACACTAAAAATTTCACAAGTTAGGATGTAATTCTGAGACATTTCATTTTTTTGAGAAATATTACCTGACCTCTGGCAATTATCACACAACTCAATATACTTGTGAGCATCCTTAAAAATATAAGGCCAATAAAATTCGGATTCTAACACCTTTTTAGTTGTCCTACTCCCAGAATAATGACCTCCAGCAAGGCCAGTATGACAGTGTCCTAAAATTTTTCATCCTTCACAGTGTGACACACCTTCTAATAACCTGCTCTGCACAAATTCAAAACAGATATGGGTCCTCCCAAAAGTAGTATTTCAAATCAAAAAAGAATTTATTCTTTTACTGATATGAAAACTCTTGTGGTAAAACCTTAGCTACCAAATGGTTAGCAAAATCTGCAAACCATGGTAAATAAAAATCAGAAGCGGTTACCACATTATACAAGTATTCTTTTGGAAATTTGTCACTAATGCTCTTTTCATCTACTTCCTCCATACTGGAAATTTTCAACCTTGACAAATGATAAGCAGCCAAATTTTTTGAATCATTTTTATCCTTGATTTCTAGGTCAAATTCTTGTAGCAACAAGACCCACCTCATTAGTGTAGGCTTTGCATCAGTGTTTGTTAGCAAATAACATAACACAAAATGATCAACATACACTATAACTTTAGAAAGAATTAAATATTGACAAAATTTATTAAACGCAAACACCACAGTCAATAGTTCTTTCTCAGTTGTACTGTAGTTTTCTTAAGCACTTGCTAGGGTCATGTTGGCATAATAAATAGGCTGAAAATGCTTATCTTTTCTCTGGCCAAGTACAGCTCCCACAGAGTAAAGTATAAAAGGTATTTATCATGTAAAAATAATCTCACTGCACTAGGGAAATGTTGCAGCAACGTTGGCTTCCGTTAGCAAGAAAGGTTGCAAACGATTAAATTGCAATACTAAATCCCAAAACATGCTAGTTCGACCAATCAGCGTTTCATATGTATTAAAATTGGTGATATGTCTAGCAATGATTGGTCGGAACCACCGAAATCCCGAATCATATAAAATTTTTTCTGTAGGATGTCGTGTTTACAACAATTATCTTGCGACTTGATTTATTTATTTTTTGACATTATTCTTTTTAAACCAAGCTTGTGAAATTATCATTTCAAATATTTTTTAATTTATAAAATAATTCAAATTTTAGTCACCATATTAAAATAATTCAAAATGCAGCGCTCTTAAGTTAACAGAGAGAGGAATTGACTTATAAAATAAAGAAGCAGAGAGCACAGAGCAGAGAGCAGAGAGCACAGAGGAGAGTTGTGTTGGGATATTGATGCGCGTGGCAGTTGTAGGGAAATGGCGGTTGAGACAGAGAGGGTATTGCGATTGGAGTATTCAGTGTCCGAAGTCCTACAATTACGAATCCAATGGCGGCATTGGGAAGGATTGGAATTCCATTCTTTGCATGTTCTCGAGGCAAGGTTTGTTGGAAAAGGTGCTTCACTGTTATGCTTCTTTCATCAACTCAGGTCATTCGCCAAATCAGTTCACCCTTGCTATCACTTTGTCTGCCTGTGCGAAACTCCACAATGCTGAGTTTGGCAAGCTGCTCCATTCTCGTGCAATTAAGTCTGCTTTTGAATCCTTCTCATTCTGTCAGGGTGCTCTTATCCATTATTATGCCAAATGCAATTCTCTCTCTTGTGCTCGCACCCTATTTGACTCAGCACCTTCGCCTCACGTGGATACTGTTTCTTGGACCGCTTTAATTTCTGGTTATGTTCAACTTGGGTTGCCCGAGGAGGCACTCCACATATTTGACAAAATGCGCAACAGTGCTGCTCTTTGTTATGCAGACCAAGTGGCGCTTGTCACTGTCTTAAATGCTTACATGTCTTTAGGCAAGCTGCATGATGCATGCCTCTTGTTTGAACAGATGCCTATCTCCGTCTGTGATGTTGTGGCATGGAATGTCATGATTTCTGGTCATGCCAAGAGAGCCCATTATAAGGAGACTCTTTCCTTCTTTCATCAAATGAGGAAGCATGGTATAAAATCCTCCAGATCCACACTCGCGAGTGTTTTAAGTGCAATTGCCAGCTTGGCAGCCTTGGATCATGGCTCCCTAGTTCATGCAGAGGCTATCAAGCTAGGCTTTGACTCCAGTATGTACGTTGGAAGTTCTCTGATCAACATGTATGGTAAATGTGAAATGTTGGATGCTGCAAGGCAAGTATTTGATGCTATATCTCAGAAAAATATGGTTGTCTGGAATGCCATGCTTGGAGTTTATTCACAGAATGGTTATTTAAGTAATGTCATGGAGTTGTTCTTGGATATGATGACACGTGGAGTTGACCCTGATGAATTCACCTACACTAGCATTTTGAGTTCGTGTGCTTGCTTTGAATGCCTAGAAATCGGTCGCCAGTTGCATTCAGCTATCATCAAGAAAAGATTTACATCCAATTTATGTGTGAACAATGCATTGATAGATATGTATGCTAAGGCTGGGGCTTTGAAGGAAGCCAGGAAACAGTTTGAGCACATGACATCCCGAGATAGCATTTCCTGGAATGCCATTATTGTTGGATACGTGCAAGAAGAAGAAGAGATTGATGCTTTCAGTATGTTCCAGAAAATGAATTTACATGGCATAGTACCTGATGAGGTATCTTTGGCCAGTATACTTAGTGCTTGTGGAAATGTAAAGGTACTGGATGCAGGAATGCAGTTCCATTGCCTCTCAGTTAAGTTGGGTCTAGAAATAAACCTTTTTGCTGGAAGTTCTCTTATTGACATGTATTCTAAGTGTGGGGTCATTGAAGATGCACGTAAAATTTATTCTAGCATGCCTGAGAGGAGTGTGGTCTCCATGAATGCTCTGATTGCAGGCTATGCTCTAAAAGACACAAAAGAAGCTGTTAATCTTCTTCATGAGATGCAGGTATTGGGATTGAAACCATCCGAAATTACATTTGCAACGCTCATAGATGTTTGTAAGGGGCCACCCAAGGCAATTTTAGGCATGCAGATCCATAGTGCTATAGTAAAGAGCGGTCTCTTATGTGGTAGTGAGTTCTTAGGGACCTCTTTGTTGGGCATGTATATGGACTCACAAAGGATTTCAGATGCAAACATTCTTTTCTCAGAGTTTTCTTGCCTTAAAAGCATTGTGCTGTGGACTGCTTTAATTTCAGGACATATTCAAAATGAGTGCAGTGATGTAGCCTTAAACTTGTATCATGAAATGCGTGACAACAATATCTTACCTGACCAAGCAACATTTGTTACTATTCTTCGTGCTTGTGCTCTCTTATCCTCGTTGCAAGATGGTAAAGAGATACATTCTCTAGTTTTTCACACTGGTTTTGACTTAGATGAGTTAACCAGCAGTGCCCTTGTAGATATGTATGCTAAATGTGGGGACGTAAAAAGTGCTGTTCAAGTTTTTGAAGAATTGGCTATTAAAAAGGAGGTGATCTCTTGGAATTCGATGATAGTTGGATTTGCAAAAAATGGTTATGCAGAAAGTGCCATGAAAGTCTTTTATGAGCTGACTCAGTCATGTGTTACCCCAGATGATGTCACATTTCTTGGAGTGCTTACTGCTTGTAGCCATGCAGGGTGGGTTTATGAGGGTCGTCAAATTTTTAATGTCATGGTAAACCGTTATGGCATTGAGCCCAGAGTAGATCACTATGCTTGCATGGTTGATCTTCTTGGTAGGTGGGGTTTTCTCAGAGAAGCAGAAGAGTTCATTGACAAACTAGAAGTTGAACCCAATGCTATGATTTGGGCCAATTTATTGGGTGCTTGCAGAATACATGGGGATGAAAAAAGGGGACAGAGGGCAGCTAAGAAACTTATTGAGTTAGAACCCCAAAATTCTTCTCCATATGTTCTGCTTTCTAATATGTATGCTGCATCAGGACATTGGGATGAAGCTAGATCTTTGAGGAGAACAATGATTGAGAAAGATATCCAAAAGATGCCTGGGTGTAGCTGGATTGTAGTAGGGCAAAAGATTAACTTATTTCTGGCGGGTGATATATTACATCCCAGTTATGATGAAATTTCACAAGCCTTAAAGCATCTGACAGCACTAATTAAAGACAACAGAGTACAGGACGGTGGTATTTCCCTGGTTGGTCAAGTTTAGTTATTCAATATGGTCAGAAGTCAAGCGATCAACTCAGATTTGCTTCCTGACAGAAAAGAACCTTACGTATACTGCTTATAAGTGAAGGGGGAAAATGAAAAGAGAGAAGACGGTAACTCCTCCTTTGTTTTATTTTTCAAGTGTTTCTTAGGGATTTCTATAAGGGAAGTAAGGAAATGAATATGGATTTATTGTTGTTTTTTTGGTAAACAGTAGCTGTATTATTTGCATTCTGTGATGCTTGATAAGTGGTCTTCTCAAGGATATTTGTTGCTTTGCACTATATCATGGAAATGAGAACTGCAGAAGACCAAAACGGAATGTCATATGACTTAATGATATGAAGACCAAAAAGATACTGTCATGTGACCTGTAGATATTTCTTCTGGAATCCGTGATTTAGAGCTCGGAAGATGTACTTGCATAAAGCACTTAAAAATTTTTAAAATTAGAGGAGGATTTGAAAGGTATTTGTTCATAATACTTGTGATATAGTAATATCTAGTGGACTGACATTGTTTCCTCATGAAAAGTGTACTGAAGGTGAGTTACACCTGGACGCCATAATGCTATCCTATATTACAAAAACAAAATGTGGCTTGCTAAAAGTCGCCATATATGACTGTAAACACTTCTCACATTTCAAACAAGAAGCAAATTCCCACAATTCAGCATCAAGTATATAGATGCTCTAATATACCTCCTCCCCCCCAAATTGAGTTATTCACTTTTGCTAGACTATTTATTAATTCTGCAATATTGTTTGGAGGATGAAAATTTTCTGGTTAACATCGTAACAGAAAGTTTTAGGTCTAAGACCAGGAGATTTCCCTTGCTAAGTGCCATTGAATGTGTATCCCCTTGTTATATCTTGTAGTTGGTTGACTGCTGTCATATCAATATACATGTAGATGTGATGACCGACGTAACTCAGGTGGTACACATTCAGTAGTAGAGGGTGATAGAAGTTTCTTTCTCCCAGAGCTCGAAAGAATTTCTCCTTGTCATAATTTTGTTGCCTAAGATGTTGTAAACTGTTGCCTTCTCTATAAATTTATTGGAAAAAAACAGCTTTTATTACATTTTATCGAAGTTTTGGTTTCAGGCTTGCTTGTGGTTATTGTAAATGGAAGCTTCTAAAGCCTTGCCGGACTGGATCGCCAGTGTGTAAGACGACCTTCTATTTCTTTCTTTTAAAATGGCTCACAAGTATCGCATTATATTGGAAGCTACTACCTGCAAATCTTAGGTGCAAAATATGGGTTTTGCATCTAGTTTTTCGGTTTCTTTTGGAAATAAACTTTTGAAATGTATTAATCACTTTCAAAAATTTAAAAGTTTTTAAAATATATTAACCACTTTTTAAAAATTTAATCCTTGAATTGATTTTCAACTAAATTTTTGAAGGGTGGTGTCAATAACATTAACAGCATTTTTATACGCGAACTAACAGAACTTGAAACTCGGATTGGGTCCATTCAAATTGGACTAAGTAGCCTCTTTTAACATTTCTAATTATTTATCAAATAAGTCATGCCATATTGTTGAAAAGAAAAAATTCTGTGATTTTTTTTAAAGGTCCTATTAGTTTTAAAAGGTCAAGTTTTCACGACAAGTCAAGTTTCAAGATATTTTTAAAGTCTTTTAAGTCTAATAAAATGACCAATTTTAGTAAATAACAATACTGATGCTATTATTGTATTAAATTTTTACCATAATGCTATGAAATTATCGATTTGTTAATCAATTTTAAAACTTAAACATATAGTTTTGGTAGCCTAATTAAAAGGTCTAACTATAACATATAATTTTAAATAAAAAATTTAAAATATCAAGTTAGGTCTTAAGAAAAAAGTTAATATCAATAAATAAGACAAACTTAAACTTTTTTATGTCAGAAATAAGTTAAATATGTATACGGTAAAGTCTATTATGATCTAACTCTTTAGCAAAGATCTTATTTTAATAATAATTTAATTTAAGTATCTCGATTTAATAATAGAGTTATTTCTTGTGAAGAGAAAAACATAGTGAGAGAAAATCCTTAGTGACACTTCAAGGAGCTTTTTAATTTTATTGTAAAATTTATCAAAATAAATTATAAAAAAAAGTTGAACATCACTTCGAAAAACTTAACTAAATATAAACTAAATTTTTTATATGATAAATTCAAATAAGTTTTTTAAATTTATTTTCCAAATGCTCTCTCAATCTCTCAATCATTATTAAAAACACATTAATTTGGTGTTTAAAAATAATTCACCTCAAGGTAGTTTCTTCAACTACACAAAGGGACAACAACCTGGTTCCTTAAGTAGAAGTTTGTTTAACAACCCTTAAACAGAAAGACAATAGAAGTTTTACGTAAGAAATTAATTTGATCAAAGTCATATAATATATATGTAAAATATTACATGCAGAAATAATCTCATATTCAAATAAAATTTACCAATTTGTCAGATAACTTTAAAGCCTTAAACCTATGGTGCATCCTGTGTTAAATTTATTATAATTTGTTTTCATTTTTTACTCTCTAATAAAATTAATCTTAAAATATATATTTTTTAAACTGTGATATCTCTCTTGATCTTCACCAACCCTTAATTTTCACTCTCTCTGTTTGATCAATGTCACTCTCTATCACTTTGTTATCAATTGAACATTATATTTTTTAAGATTAAACGAGAAGAACAAAAATTACTATATCACTTACAATACTTCAACCTGAAATCAATACATTACATGTAGTGTGAAGCTCCTTTTATAGGCAAATATTACAAAATAGAAATAATAAAATATTAAAACTTAAATGTGAAGGACTGTTACAATTTATCTTCAATTTGCATTTTTATACAACGATTAATTGTTACTCTTCAAGTTGTTGTCAAATGTTGTGGCTCTTATTAATGAAAATTATTAACATTATCTCTTAACTATGAAATAGTATTTAGTCAAAATGAAATTTTTTTATTCCGCCAGTAAAAATCTCAAACCAATCTATCACATCTTAGGGCTATGTGTTAAGTTGAATGATATTTTTTTAACAAGTTAGTCGTTTCTTTCCTTTGACTTTTCACTAGGTTAAAATAAATAAAAGTGGATAAGCACCATCAAAAATTTATAAAAGTAATTGTTCCACTATGTAATATATTTTGTTTTTCTCTTCTCATCAATCCTAAGATAAAGATGTAAGAGTTGACTGTAAGAAAATTAAATGAAATTATTGGCTATGTTTAGTAAAACATGTTGGTTGTGTTTAAATGAAATCAATCGATAAAATAAACTAAACATTATTTTGACCTATTTAATAGAAATAGCTAAATTATAATTTATAACATAAGTTGATAAACTGGTTGAAAACTTATATGTGAAATCTTATATTTTATAAGTAGTTAATTAAATTAAAATTATTTAGTAAAATTAGTTAAAATATATTAAATGAATGAAAAAATAAGTAACATTATAATTGAACAAAGAAAAAAATTTATTTTTTAAATAATAATATAAATAAAATAAAATAATTAAAAACTATAAATTAAATGCTAATTTAATAAATTTTTTAAAAACTAACTTTTAAAATAAAATAGCTCTTTCTTTTTTACAATTATCAAATACTACTAACCTTTTTTTCAAATATTAAATTATGAGCGATAAGCTCTGGAACACAAGTTTTCAAACTGCATAACTCCAATATTTTTCCATTTCTTAACGGAAAAATTTTAAAAATTAAATTAGTAAATATCATATTGCATTACTTTATTTTAACAGAATATATATTTTTAAAATATAAAAATATTAAAACTTTAAATAATATACCTACAAATATATAAATTATATAAAATAATATTAAATGATGTAAATGTTTAGCTTAATATTACTAATAAATGTAAGTCTATCTTTTGAGGTGTTGGTTTAGGTGGGATTAGATTAGGTTGCTGGTTGCTGGTTGCTGCTGATACCTTTCATTGATCAATTCAGCGAACTTTGATGTTGACTAAAGAAAAAATTATCTTTCATATATTTTAAAGGTAAATTTTGTGTTACTCTTAAAAAATTTTAAGGTATCATATATGAAAAATTCTAACTAATAATATTTAAATAATAAATTTATTTAATAATATTTATTGTATTTAAATAAGTTGAACAGCAATTAAGTCTTTAATAGAACGTAATCAAAATTAAATAAACTAAAATTTAAAAATAAAATATATTTTTATATTCTTAATTTTATTATTATTAATATTTAATTATTATATTATATATATTATGTTATAATTTTTTATTTATAATAAATAAAAATTACTTAAATATAAATTATATTTTATTTAAAACTAAAAATTTATTAAAAATGATAGAAAAATAAAATAAAAAATTTAATATACAATATATATATAATAATAATAGAATCATGTAGCAAATAATATAATTTTAAATAAATTATATATAATAATATTTTTTCAATTTGTCATTGGTATAAATTTTTTGATTTCTGTAGTAAAAAAAAAATTTAAGATACAACACAGCACACACCTTATTTCAAATGCTGCAGACAATAATTATTAATTAGTGTTTGGCCATCATGTGTCCAATACCATTTACCTGTGATTTCCGTCAAAATCTTTTCTTTTTTTTAAAGTTTATTATGTATCCAATCTAGAATATGAAGAAATTGTTTCCTTCAAACCTTGTACAAAATTGTTTGATACCAAACAGAACTACTTACTATTCAGAGTTCATACTATAAATAAGAGCGATAAGATGCACCGAAGTTGCTAAAAGAAACATGGCTTTCAACAAGATTGGGGTTATCCTTCTTGTCTTCGTCTGCGGTATTGATCATGAGCCCAGCACCTCTTTCTTTCAGCAACACACACACACACACACGTTTGTTTTTTCCTTTTATTATGGTTTTAGGACAATTGGTTCCTTAATTTAAGTGCTTGGCAAGAGGAAATAAAAATGAAGGAAATAAATAAACTATTAATTATTAGTTGCTTGTTTATATGTAAATTTGAAAAAATATTATATTTTTTTTTAAATTTACAATTATAATTTTTTTATACTTTAGAAATTAAAAAAATATTTTTTCAAATAAATCACTACTTTCATTATCTATTTATATAAAATTAATTGTGATAATTATTGTATGTATTAGAAAATATAAAATACTTTCTTAATTTATAAAGCATAGCAAAAATTATGATACTGTAAATTTGAGAGATTATTATATATTCTGTTTAAATAAATTTTTATAATTTATTTATTATTTTATAAATTAAAGTATATTTATATTTTTAAAATAAACTACTAACTTTACTAAGTATTGATGTGTGCAGGTGCAATTCTTCTGGGAGACAATAATATGAGAAAAGTGGATGCTAAATTTTGCCCACAAATATGCTACGATGCGGCTTACATGACTTGCCCATCTTCAGGTGATAAGCACCTCGCTCCAACATGCAACTGCTGCCTTGCACCCACTCGCTGTACCCTTTATAATACAGACGGAACTCCTATTTGCACTGCTTCTTGAAACAGTTAATGATGCATCTCTCTGTCGTCTGTCTTGTCTAATCACATGCTCAAGCTTTTCTCTTGTTATGGATTCCAATAAGTTGAATGCAACAGCTGAACGTTGTGTCTTTAGCTTCATTCTCTTTCTTTTTCCTTTTTCTTTTTTCTTTTTCAATTTGATTATAGACCCTCATACTACGCACAATCACACAAGTCATGGAACAATTTATCGATCATCATTCAAACATAACTGGCAAAGAAAACAGCTCCTCAGACAGTTGTTTTTGGCTTATTCTTCCTGCTGTGATTATTATAAGAGAAAATGATTGGCTTATACTCAAATTTTGAGTGTTGGACGAGTATATAAAAAAAGTGACAGGTAATTTGATAGAAAAAAATAAATATAAATAAATGAATACAAAAATATAAATATTGTATTTCTAAAAATAATTAAGTTGATAGTCAATCTTTGACTCAGAGCCTTTTGGGAAAAATTTTCCATATACCTGACCTGAATCATTCAAGTTGAGTGAATTAATCGGGACAAGACTTGAAGGCACACAACTTTCGTCTATACAATACTCACCATTCCCTGTGTTACACGTGTAGTATTTTTCAACTAAGTAAAGGTTTAAAATATAAAATTAAAGAATTTTATTCAATAAAATATTTATGATTCAAAATAAAACTCATGATATATTCAAAACCAAACAACATTAATTTAATAAAATTTTTATTCACCAAATTTATCTTCATTGGTCTTTGTTAAAATAATGATAATAAAAGACTTCACTTGTAATTGAGTTCGGGTATAATAACACTAACTAAAAAATGTTAAAATGAATCAAAATTAAATTTAGGAAGTTTCAAATAATATCTTCAGAGTATTAATTAAAAAGTTAATAAATAAATAAAAATTTATTAAAAATTATAAATATATATACATATTATACTTTTTGATAAAAATTTGCCTTAAATTTTTAAGGCAAGACACTGACTAATATTTATTTTGAATGCTGAATAAAAGTGCAATGAGATGGCTAAATTGGGTAGATGACAAGGGCAGAGGGAGACAAAGTGTGAATTTAGAAGAGGTGTGTGAACCACAAGAAGTGTAAGAGAAGGTAGACCACATATGTACTTTGATATGAGCTGTGAAAAGCTTACCAATGATTTGTTCCATGGCTTCCACAGCAGCTCCGCGGGTTGTGTTATACAGTGCTGTGATATTAGGAAATCAGCCTAAGGCTTTGAGAGGAAAGGGTTTGAGGGGAGAAACCAGAAACACCCGTTACAGCACTTTGCAGGTTCAAGCCTCGAGCACGCGCAGACCCCAGAGAGCACCCCCTGGAGTTGACACAAGAATCCATTGGGACAATGAAGATGAAGGTTGGATTGGAGGTAACGATACTCAACACCAACAAAACAGCGCCAATAACCTGTTGGGTGAAAACTTTGCTGATTTGCTCGCCACTTCTTCAGGTTCTCATTACGAGTGAGTCACTATAACTTGTCATCGTTGCTATGATAGTTTTAATAGTTCTTCTGTTTCTACTTATTAACTGTGATGACATGATTGAATGAATGAACGTGCAGATTCTTAGGAGTATCACCAGATGCAGATTTAGAAGAAATTAAAGTTGCTTATCGGAGACTATCAAAGGAGTACCATCCAGACACTACTTCTCTTCCTCTCAAAACTGCTTCAGAAAAATTCATGAAATTGAGAGAGATTTATAACCTTCTTAGCAACGATGAGAGTCGAAGATTTTATGATTGGACCCTCGCTCAAGAGGCTGCTAGCCGCCAAGCAGAGAAGACGAGAATGAAGTTAGAGGATCCCTATGAGCAAGAAGTGAAGAACTGGGAATCTGTTCCAGACATGGTTGACCGCCTTGGTGGAAGGAACATGGACCTTAGTGATCAAGCAGTTTCTGCCCTCACTATTGATGTTTTTATCATTATTTTTGCCATATGTTGCATCATATACGTAGTTTTCTTTAAAGAACCTTACTATTAGTAGTTACTTCTTCATCTTGAAAAATTGTATACGTGATACGTCAGAATTAAATATAAGGTTTTACATCATTAAAGATTTCTCCGCTTTCATCTTTGTGATGGAAAAATGGTAACATTGTAATTCCTTTTAGTGGTGGTAGAGCAGCTTAATGCAACTCTACCGAAAATGCATTTTAAATCATTGAACATGTTAAATATGTGTATCTAAAATAGTTTTAAGCGCAAAATTTACATTAAAAAATGGCACAAGAAAGAATGATTTTAGAGGTTTGCCAAACAAAGACTCATTCATTGTCAGACCAAAATCGCATGCTTTCCTTTTTTGTCTGCTCAATTACATTATAACATGTGATTCAAAAGTAAACATCCTTCTCTAGATCCAGATTTGGTGCAATTGAAAAGATGGTATAGTTGATGCAGTAATTATTCAGAATCGTTGAATTAAGATGGGAGGGTTCCGATTTTTTTGTCTATTTATTCGAAAGATTGCTCATTCTTAAAATAAGAATCATTCATCTTCATCCAATAGTTATAAGTTATTGACATCACCAAATGCATTAAAGTCATTTTCTCCTCTTACTGTTATGGCTTGTCTGATTATACGTTTAAAATTTCATTGCACAAGTCTTAATGAAATTAAAATTGTTTTTCACGAATGCAATCTTTTTTCATTACTTCATTACGTGCTAACTCCGTTTCGAGTAAACGCAATTTTATCAAGTTCTCAATTTTTTTTTTCTCTTAAAATGCCAATGTTAATTTAAGGAGACACATTCCCATTTCGAAATTAATTGAACCACTAAATGGGTCACGTAGGCATTCCTTATAGTTCCCCATTACCACATAAAAAGAACCCTAGCTTTGGGCGGTCAAGATTCAACACATACAGTACGCGTAACTATCATTTCAAGAGACTTAATATTGAATCACAAATTCACGAGAAAAGAATGATCAAATTTAGGAGAAAGTCATTTGCACTACAATAATATACACATTTGCACATGCATCCGAACATGTTCATATATTTTTAACAAATTTTTGGACGTGAAATCATTGCTTTGTTCAATTTCTTTGTTTTAATGAGGAGGATACAAGCTTACGTGCATTATAGAGACCCCCCTAAGGAGCATGCATCGAGCAGTAAAAGGATGGGGGACTCCACAGTATACGAGACGCTAAGATCAATTTGATCATTTGGCATTGTTACAAATCCTGGGGATTCGTAAGCAGTAATAGACAATGTGACCCGGTATTAGCCTCTTCTACTACTGCTAAGCACTCTCTGAAGTTGGAAAGCTTCCCCCTGCTCTCCATTCAATGATCGTCTCTCCAAGCAGCACGCAGTGAGCTGTCTAAGCAACCTCTCAAGATAAGAGTGCAAGCAATGTTTTGATTCCTTCATATTGGGATTTGTTAATAATATCATGGCATTTACTGTGTCAGCTACAACTTCACGCTGCGAGTCTTTTAGAAGATAGCCTACGGGGGAGTCCAAAGGTCGCTCATATGCCAGCAAAGCAACACAGTCCTACGTAATAATGAATCGAAAGGCAAATCAAATATCAGTACCAACATGCACATGCAACAATAAGAGTAGACAAACAGGAAACACCTCTCTCTTGCTTACAAAATGATCTTGACTATATGAGATTTTGCTCACATGCAACAAAGGGGAGATGAGAGTGCTCGGGTTTATCTAGTCAAACATCAGATTAGAATGTCCATATTCTTCATGCGACAGATAAGCAACCCCTTGGGATACAAGTGAAGCAGAAATATTTCTAATTATTGATAAGAAAAATCACCTGAACTAAATCCTCAAAGACAGGCAACCCAAAAAAACTCGACAATTCTATCCTTCCATATTTGACAGCCTCCTCCAGTGCTCCAACCTAAATATTGCATACAGAAACATTAAAATTTCAATACATTATTCAATTTCCGTTCATTATCTAGGGATTTTGAATAAAAGCTAGACCATCGAAAGTATTAAGTATACAATTGGCATTTTAACAAACGAAACTAATTAACAGAGCAAACCATGGAAATTAACAGTCTAATTCCTCATTTAAGATTACTATCAAATGAAAATGAAAAACATTAAAGAAAAACCACATACTAATGAAGTGCCGGAATAAAATAGGACATACTTCCTATAGTTACAAAACTAAATATTGAAAGGATATACCCGGACTAATTCGATGAATTTTTGACAATGAAGCAGAAAACACGTAGCTGATGTATTCTCCTGCAGCAACCAGAAAGGATTGTCATCATCCACCAAAAAAAAAAAAGGAAAGGATTGTCATGACGCATGATATAAATATAATGAAAGATCTTACAGAGGAGTAATATCAAATCTAGAACCCCATACATAATATGATCTATGTTATTTGGATACTTTGAAAAAGGGAAATAAATTAGAACTATGATTTGAGGACCAAAAATATTTCATCATGAAAATCTGGGTCAACATGGCCATGGACTGTAACCTTGGATAGATTTGGTAAAGCAAGAATGACAGAGAAAAGAACTAGTGCCAACAACCAGTATCCACCTAACCACAAATTCATGAGCAAATAAGTTTTCAATCTTCATAAAAGCAGAAAGTGTAAACAACAGAGGAAAACAAAGCGCAGCATAACCTCCATTATGTTCTGATTCCATCTATAAACAGAATATGACACAATCAACAATACAAGCACAGCATGGCATTATAACCTATAATCAGCATCAATATTTCTTTTATAAAGAATCAATCAAAACATATTATTAAAAAATAGATTAAAGATCATAAATATGCCATAGTAGCAGACATGATTGCATTTTAATCACAGTTAAATTGGAGTTAGCTTTGCACCAGAACAGGATATACACAACTGTGCAGACAAGCATAATAATCTGAGAGAGCCCACCTCAACAATCTGTGGATACCATTCACGCAGTTTACCAAATGCAACATCAATCTCCCCATTCCTGATTAGCTTCATTGAACCAAAAAAAAAGAAGTAAGCCAATTAAGATTGTAAATCACCAATTTATCACAATAACATCTATTAATTTGTGTGAAAATATGAAGGCCTAACTCCCTGAAAAATGATAGAAAGTCCTAAAAGCACTGACAATGAAAATATATCATAATTGAGAATTATAGTAAATTCAACAGATAGAAGACACGTGTACAGAAAATATTGGCTTGAAAGAAAATATCATATTGTTATTATTACAAAGGTGTATGGTTAGACTTGTTTTATGATTATCATGAATATGTTCAGTTAATATGTTTTAATTAGTAGTTACAAAAAATGCCATATTGTTCTCATTAGATTTTCTATTTCAAAATGTTAAGAAAATAGCAAACACAGGAAAAATCATTTTTACTATTTTTATAAAATCCACTGGCATCTTCCTAATTCCCATTGAGAAAAAAATAGGAATTTGAACAAGACTAAAAGCTTATACTTTTGAATTTTTTTTCAGTGTGGTAATGCAGGTAGGTATATAACCACATTCAAGTTCCATGCTTGCCTTGAAAAGATTGAGTGGTTTTATGACTCCATGAAATTGACAAAAGAAAACAAATTAAGTATTAACTAGAACAGTAACGGAAAAAAGATGCCCTTATGCAATCAGTCATATTTGTTGAGGGCTCATCATTTAACACCTCACATGCATACACTAAATCAAGATAACATCGTTTTCATCATTCCTTTCACAACATTTTGATTATGGGAAATAGAAAGAAAACAAGGTAACATTTTTTTTAATTATTAGAATCTGTTGGTATGATAGCATTGGAATCACAGGTTACTTGAATTTCAATTCCAAATTTGCTAAAATTGGAAATAAAAGACAGAATTTATGCTTGGGACTAACTTACAATTGAGATGTAAATCAAAATTCTAAATTGAACTGAAATTCTAATAGACAACTTCGGTGAGTAGTGGCATTGTGACTGGTGCCCATACCCCAAATAGTGGCATGGAGTGGTCAACTCCAAAAATACTAAAATGGAATGGCAAATAAAGTCTAACCTTCAAACTGGGTAGGCTCTGATACCATATTAAGAAACTTGGGCCTAATTCCCAAAAACTAGGTCATAGGAAGAAGATTACCCTAACCTTTTATAAGGAGTATTCTAGCTCTAATCATACCCAATATGGGACATCTTAACACACTCTCCTCACGCCCAAGACTGAACATCTAGTGTTTAAAATTTGTAGGACTAGACATTTGCACAGATGGCCCAATAGGAATAGACATTTGTGGGCAGTCCAACATTCAAACTAGATAGGCTCTGATACCATGTTAAGAAACTTGGATCTCACTCACTCCCAAAAGCTAGCTCATAGGAAGAGAACTACCATAGTCCTTATAAGGCGTATTCTTTCTCTAATATTAGCCAATGTGGGACATCTTGACAACTACTACTCAAAAAATTTAAAATACACCAAATATAGATTATGCTACACATATATATGCTGAAGATTTCACATTTCAAACGTTTGGAGGAGTTCTCAGAAGTCAGAACAGAACTGAACATAGAAGAAAAATAGAACAAAACAAAGTGATCTCACTGGAAAAAGCCCCTAATACAGATGGTCTCGCCGGAAAATGTGTGGGTCTTGCTGGCAATGAAGAAGATGACTATAAATTGGCTGGATATAGTGAGCAAAGTCAGATTTTGGTTGAAAAGTAGTGCCTAACACAAATGGGTCACATCAGAAATGAGTTCAAATGATGGCCAGAAAAGGACATCAGCTACTGTGAACTGTGAAGCTTGCTGGATGAAGTAGAAGTTGTCAAAGATGGTGAATGAGAGCATTTAGGGTTCAAGAATAGAGCTCAAATGATACAACAGCATGCAGAAATTGACAATGTAAAGGGGGAACAAGGGTAAATTTTGACATTTTTTGTCGTATATCAAATAGCGGCTGCAACACGACAGCTGCAATTTTGGCCATGATGCATGCTGCTCCAGCTGCTACACTAAACTGCGACGCTATGCACTTGAAATAGCGACAAGGAGCCACTCCGCCGCAATAGCAGCTGTTGTTGTCTACTATGTTGGTGCCAGTAACAGCGATAACTTTTTAAGTATGCAAGCGACATAGATAGTTGACAATAAAATATGAAATATGGAATTATCTTTTGTCATCAGTAGCTGAAATTGTAATTCTTAAAGTCTAACCTAAGAATTGAATATAATTTAAATTTGATGGATACTGTACCTGCCGCAGAGTCTTTCTGTGATTTAATGCATATGTTATTTCCTGCTCATCAATTCCATTTTCTTGAGCTATGTATATAGGAGGAACAGTACTCTTACTAGCCACATCAAATGAATTCAATGTATCTTCATAGCCATAGTGCAGCAGGTAGGAGCGGACAATTCTGCAAACAAAAAAAAAAAAAAATGGAAATTGGGAAATATCAATGGATATTTACTTTCTTATTAATATTGAAAAGTGATGGGTGTCACACAGCTAAGTTAAACAGATTAATTTCAACCTTCCTAAACCACAAAAAGCTACAGTGTACCAAATATGACAAGTCTTCCTTCACTTAAGGGTTATATTTCCAAGTAAATTAGTAGACCATAATAAGTTTTTGTAGTCTGCATTGAATTTCTCATAGGACCTGTGGTTGAGCTTATTAGCAGTCTCAATCATGTTATTTTACAACTAGTTGATCATCTATTCTTCTAGTTACGTTTGTGGGTTAAATTTCTCTCAATAAAATACAAGATGAAGATTAGATCTATTAAAAACAACAGGTAAAACCCCAGTTCATATATTAGAATTAAGAAGTACTCAATATATGGTATTCTGTTATCTCACTGTCTTATTTTCTCTTTCCTTCTCTGGCTAGCACTCAAGAATACTGTTAGTAACTGAAGAATAAAGCTATAACTCACCCTTTGCCCATATAAAAGCCATGATATATTCCCCCTTTTCTTTTTATTACCCTAACTACAAGTCTATGACCAATTAGTCATTGCAACCAACCTTAAAGTTGTGTTTTATATTTTAGCAACTAATTTTTTTACATCAAAGAACCCACCATTTCCTAGTAAATCTAAATCCCAATCCTTGCAACTATAAATAACCTTCCAGAATCTCAGGAAATTTTACTGACAATCCATTGTAATTAATAGCTGAGAGTGGTTCATGGCAGCAAGCCAAAAATCCACCATAAAAATTGGTGGACAGCATTGCAGCCTAAGGCAGAAGCATGGTGGCTATAATAAAAATACAGCTTAGTTGCACTTTTGGTACCTCTAGTTTGGGCTATGGACGATTTTGCCAAAAATTCCATTACAAGTTTTTTTTTTTGGAACTAATTAAGCCCCACTACTTTTAAAATTGTGCAAATTTAGTCTCCAATTGATTTTCTTTTGCTTTAAACCCTCAATTCTTTACTTTTAATTTAATTTTTTGGAGGATTTGTGATGGAATTGTAGCATGAAATGATTCTACAAATTCAAAAGTAAAAACATTAATAAACAATTAATAAAATTTAAAGGGTTTTACAAGATGTAATATTAGGACTCACTTGCAGATAGAAACTGTAAGGTTTTAAAAAAAAGGATTAAATTTGAATAAATGACAATTTAATCAATTTAATTTGTAACAATTGGGAGTAGAAAATCAAAATTTAGGAATTTTAGATAAAAGAAAATCAATGGGGGGTTAATTAGCTCAAAAAACTTGAAGGGCCAAAATCGGACATAACCTAAATTAAAGGGACCAAAAATATAATTAAGCCTAAAAGTATAATATATACATACCTGAGAAACTGAAGAAGCTAATTAAAAAAAATAAAAAATAAAAAGAGGTATGTCAAGAACACAAAACTAAAAATATCATAATTCATAAAAATAATGTCATAAATCTCATAAGTTTACAAGAAAAATGGGAGGGCAGAATAAAAATGAAGCCAGAAAAAGAGTAACTAAATTAGATTAAAAAAAAAAACATAAGAAGGGCAAAATTGATTGAAACAAAAAGAGATTAGAAATGGAGGTGGGTTCACACAAGAACATAGCAGCAAAATGGAAGAGAAAAAGAAACGGGAAGAGAGAGAGAGAGAGAGAGATGGAGGTGAGGTGCTGAAGAAGGTAGCTGGAAAATGGACACCTGAGATGGAGGTCACTGCTTGAGAAGGAAAAGGAAAGAAAACTTGTGAAAATGAGAGTCCCCTAGATGACTGAAGAGGTGATCTTTCAGTTTTAGGAGTTCATATATGGGTCATGGTTTATATCATGAAGAAGAAGAATGCGTCAGTTCAGCTGCACTCATTTCCACCATAAGCATAGCCAGCACCACAAGGCCCAGCATATTAGAACTGCCATACCATAGCCTTTATGTGGGTATGTTGTCAAATTTCTGCCATGCCCGGGTGTTGCCATTTTACAAACGCTAGTTATATTGCAAACATTAAAAAGGAAAAAACACACTCTAGAACCTCTAGGAAGATATCTTACAGAATATGCTCCAGCAACCACACAATTTAAGGAAGTAGTTAGAAAATGTCAAAAGCGGGAAAAAATAACTTAACCAACAGCAAATTAAATTAAAGTTACATGATGCATTCATAATCATCACTAAATTTTTCCCTTTTTATCAATAGTATAAGACAACACTAGAAAATAAATTAGAAACATAAATCTACTTCCAAAAACACTAGACAACATGACACAATTCCATATGCTATAAAATTATAATATTTTATGAAGTCAAAAAACAAAAATCTCTTGACCATCAACTTTTTCCTTGGGAGAAATTGCAATTGAAAAAGAAACTGGTTTACTGGCATCTGCTTCAAACAAAAACTAATAATTGCATTTTCATCAACCAGGGTCCTATTTGTAACATAGATAAATTTGGGGGCAATGTAATAGAAATTTTCACTTAAATCCATAATTACAAAGCCTTGAGGCTTGTTTGGTAGATATGATAGAATAGAAAAAGATAAAATATAAGAGTTGGATAAGAATAGGACAGGACAAGAGTACCAAAGATTTTTAACTTATTTTACATTTGATGCATACCAAAACAACAAATTCTATACATTATGTTATATAATCTTGTTTATTTCTAATCCAAGCCCCTCCACAGGATAAAATTCACTCTATAAAGAAGGACAAGTTCATAGGATAAAGTTATTATCTCATATTAATTAAACAAGCACCAAAAATAGAATAGGAAAAATTATCCTATCTTGTTCTCTCATCGTGTCCACCAAATGAACCCTTAGGAACTATGTCCTTGGTTCTGTAATCTTACCTTGATACTAACTACAAATATGGATCCAAGAAAGATCATAGTTATCAAGGGCATCTAGAACTCAAAGCAAGTTTGCATCATGAGATTAAAAAAGATTGAAAATAAAGAACACAAACAATTAAAAATAAAATGTAATGGAAAAGCAGAGTTTAATACCAAAGTTATTTACACATAATTCTCTCACCCGTAACTGACATTTGGTGGCACAGAAATTTCCTCTATTTTCAGTTGCTGCTTCATTCTTTCTTGTGCTTCAAATTCCTGATCCAATAATATAAATATTTAAGAAAAATAATGATCAATAAAAGTAAATAGCATATGTATCTTTATAAACTCAAATTACTTTTTTAACAAGAAAACCGCATGACATTGATCTCTATGAATGTAGTAAACCACATTGAAATCATTTGATCTACCAAGTACTGTCTTAAATACATAGGACATATGCTAAGGTTATCTAAAGACAAAAGTTTTCTCCTCAAAGTGTTCAGTGGAGAACTTCTTATCCCACTAGAAAACCTCATATTCACATTTGGGTACATTTTTTTCAGCTTTGAGGATACCAAATATTTAATAGGAAAAGGAAAAGGTAACTTCAAAATACTAGCCCATGAACACTACCTGAACAACAAACATATTGTAATCACAGTTAATGGAATCACACAATTTAAGTCCCAATTTCCTATGATTCTTGGAACCATAGATACAGATTATACTCATAAGGTGTATCAATGAAGACCATGAATTGCACCCAAAATTGTTTGAATCATAAATCTGGTCGAATCATTCAATTCATGTCTGCCCCAACTTTGCAAAAAATAACATATCAGGTCCAGTGTGGTACCACATTTGAAAAACATGATTTTAGGGATTTTTGAAAGAGAAAAAATAAAGAATTTGAAGGAAAAGTGACAAAAGCATTCCTTCCCATGATTCCAAGTCAGAATATTAAAGGGATAAAGTTGTCCTCACTCTCCTCTTCATGCAACCAATTCCACCATACCCATAATTTCTATTGCTTTCTCTCTCGTCCATCCCGCACTGCTTCACAGATTGTTGCCCCCTCCCCCCCTCTTTTGTATTATTTTAATTGGTTACAACTCTTTTCTTGCTGTGCTGAAGTTTTTACTGGGTTGTAAAGGGTCAAACAAAGAAAATGGACCCATTGACCCATTCCTATTCTAGTTCTTGATTCAAAATATTGAGTTGTTGCTCTCTTTGGGATTCAGCCCCTTTCCTTGTCTCAAATTTTAAGATTTTTGGCTCCTTATCTCTTGGATCAAGCTTCTGCATTTCTACATGGTAACCACACATGTTTGGCACAGTTCTCATCTTCTCCTTGAATTTCTTCAAAAAGACTCCCCAAATGTGACAAGTAGTCTTGCAAAAGACTCACATTGTTGCGCATATTCTTGCATTGAGCCAATCTACTTTGGCCCAAAAAGGATTTTGTAACTAAAGCAGTCTTGAATGTTGCCATGTGGCTTTAAGGCAAAGGTATTTCCACCATTTAAACCAATTCAACATGCATTGCTCCATAGCTGCTGCCACCACCTACATTCTTTCTTCTTCATCTACCCCTTTTGGTGGCGTACCCAGAGGTAATATTACTTCCATTCAGGTGTACACTACAAACTGCTCCTACACCATGGGAGCTCCAATACCAGCAAATAAAACATAACACACATACACCCTCAACAGTTCTTCAAGGTACTGCACTTACCAAGCCAACAGCCATAACTCATAATTGACAAGATATCTCTCTCAACCTCCCTTGTTATTTATAGGCAACATTCCTTATTCAACCAATTAATCAAACTAACTAATTATCTATGTAACTAACTAACTACTGATGGGTATCTAATCTATCACCTCATGGTTATTTTATATCCATTTGTCTAACCAAGATTCTATGAATGGAGCATGGCAAAGATTTCTTGGGGCACAAATCCCAAAATCATGGCATGGAAGGAAGGGTTTCTTTTTTCACCTGAAGACAAATCTATGTTTCAAGGAAAAGTGAAACAAATTGGCTCAAAAAACTACATTAAAATCACCTTGTTGCCAGCATGGCCATTGGCATGAACATTCAAGTTATCATTAGTCCCACCTCTATAACCTTCATCTACACTCGTTACAACTTACAAGCATGATTGTCAAAATAATGTTTCAAATTTCAATTCATAGAGTCATGCTTTGCCATTAAGTCACTGAGTTGGAAGTAAATTCAATGGTTTGAAAGCTTTAATAAATACAAAGAAGTATAAAATAACTGTCATTGCATTAGCAAAATGGGCAACGTGCTGAAGTCTGAGGTAAGAAATATACTCAAGAATAAACAAAATATAAAAATGGCTCTTACCTTTAGGTCAAAAGTAAACGGTTTCTGCCCAAAGTTGACATACACCCTGTCAGAGATAAATGAAACACACTCCTGAAAAATTAAACACCTAACTAATGATGAAAAGAAGCTGCTATTTGAAACTAACCAGGAAGTATGGTTGTAAAAAGAAACAAAAAACACTTTCAAAATGAAAGGAAGGGAAAATAATCAAGGATTCAAACATGTGTGCAGATAATCAAATGCCTGTCTCAGAAAGAAAAAGAAAATTGCTAAAGAATGGTCGCAGCTGAATAAATTAATTAAACGTTAGTGTAAAGAATATTTAAGGGTGTGGCAACTGAAACAAATGAAAAAGGAAGAGATGGATAATATTTCGAGAGAGAATCACAACGTACTCTTCATTTTGGCTATGAACAGCAATGGTTGGAAAAAGGGGACCCTTCATGTCTTTGTAAACTGAGCCGACAACTTGGCCATTCTTACTGGCATTAAACATAGATTTAGTTACGTTAATAGTTTTGAAAAGATTGGAAGGAAGAAAGTAGAGAAGAGGTAGATTACGTGAAAAAGAATTCCTGTGCGGCATAGTTGATTCCAGCACCGACTACATCACCGGATGTATAGGTTGGTCCAAAGGCTTCTCCCTTGCCGTGGCCACGATAAAGCAAACCATCGTCACCGTGATAGCCGCAACTGTTGGCCTCCCACCTAACAAACACGAAAGAGGAATAGGAATAGGAATAGGGATAAGGATAGGGATAGAGTTAAAAGAATTTGAATTAAAGAAAGAGACTGACCCTGGTTGTCTTCGCATCTTGAAGGTCTCGGAGGTGAAGCCGATGGCAATCTGGCCCTTAACGCCGGCATCTTTGACGTTAATCTCGAAATAGTAAATGAGGCGTTTGGTAGGAGCAGGCTTGTTGGCCTGAATGACACCGACGTCGTGGCCGTGAAGGTTGACGCTGGTGTACTTCACTGACAGCTTGTCTGTGGACACCAGCACAAAACCACCGGAGCTGTTAATTGTGTTCAGCTCGCTTGGTGCCTCCTCCTCCTCTTCCTCTTCCTCTTTCTCTTTCTCTTTCTCTTTCATCTCCCTGCGCCGACATGCCTCCAAGAAGTACAGTCCCAGATCTTGATCCTCCTTAAGCCTCCTGCTGTTCCCGTTACTCTCACTCATCGCTTTATCACAATCACAAACCCTACCACTCTCCGCAGCTTCTGTTCATTCAATTTCGATTCCCCAACCCTCTTCCAAATTCCGGCTCTACACCAATATTCTTTTCTTCAATCACACACCACCGTCGTCAAATCTAATCAATCCTCAACCCTCTCCTATTTATTCGCTTTTAAACTCTTAACTAATTAAAATTAAATGCTGATTTGCTCCGACAGTAAATCCAATTTTACACTTCCCCGTCCCCCTCAACTTATTTTAATTATTATAAAACTTAATCAGTATATTAAAAAATAATAACTATCGAATAGGATTAAATAAAAAAAAATCATCCATCAATCTAAAAGAGTTAAAATCATAGTAGCGAACCATTTTAAGAAAAATAATTCTAAATATCCAATATATTTTAAAGGTATACATGCTTGTGTTATTTTTTAATAAAAAAATTAACATTGATTGTAAACACTTTAAAATTATATAATTAAAATAATGAATGTTTATCACTTTTATATTTTTAGAATTAATTTTAAAAAATAATGTTTTCAAAATTATTTTTTAATAAATATTTTTAACTCTCTTAATTTCATGAAAAAAAAAAGTATTGCAAGTGTTTTATTTTCATAAATAATTTGGCTAATTCAATTATAATTATCTAAAATATAATATCAACTGAATATCAAGAATATATATATATATATATATATATATAATGTACAATTTATAATGAATTATTAATTATCTAAAATATAATATCAACTGAATTTATATTTGAACACACGTACTTATGTATATGATGATGATCTACTTTTTTTAAAAGTAATTAAATTATAAGTTTTAGTTCTTATAGCTAATTTTTTATGTTTTAATTCTTACATCAAAAATATAAATTGATTCTTATTATTTATTAAAATCACAACAATACTACTATTTATAAAGATTAAAATAAAAAATAATGCCTAATATAAAGATTAATTTAGAATTCAGGATGCCAGTGAAAGATACCTGTAATTTATATTAAAAAAATAATTTTAAAAACAATTTAACTTTGATAATGACAAAAAATTGATCCAGAAACAACTTTTTATATAAATATTAAAATGTTATATTTTTAATATAAAAAAATATATATCAAATGCCTTCACGCACTTTAACAACAGAAACAAAACAAGGGATGAAAAAAATTCACGAGAGAAGCTCTTAATCTCGAAAGTGCAAGATAATGTTCAACGTCACGCAATCAAATTGCCAATGGCCTTCTTTCCTTCTAACCGGAACTTGAAGGGGGGGCCACCCTAGCAGTGATGAAGGAACTCGGCACTCAACCAACCCCTGATCCACGTTGGACTTCTCTTCTGGTGCATTATTTTGATGGACGATGATCTCTTAAGCGAGAGTATATACATGTTTCCCCATTTGTTCCGATTTTTATCTACTGCACATGATAACAGGAAAGGAAAACTTCTAACCAATCTTCTTCATGTCCTAGCCATGTTTTATTTTGTCAAAAATGGGGTAGTGGCATTTTTCTAGGCAGGATTACATAACACTTCTGAGTTAGACTGTTACAAAACATATACAAGATATCACAAATAAATCTTAGTATCGGGTCTAACCAAACTGTTAACTAAAGCACTCGTGGATCATTTTGTGATCGAATATTTTAAGTTAGTGTTCTGTAGAGAAGGGTTTTATTATCTTTTGGCATACCAGGAAAACAACCCGTTGTATGTATATGAAACACTTCCATTACTTTCCCCCGCCGTATCATTTGTCTTCAACATGGTATATGAAAGAAGTAAAACTTTTGATTTGGTTGCGCATGTCAACCCGATCTTCAAGATCAAAAACTAATCACTGGGGGCTAATTCACCACAGATTCAACCCAAAAAAAAAACCCTACGGCCCATACAGTTGAATTCAGTTTTTGACAGCCCCACCTATCGCCTCCTGACTCCACGAAAATTTTTATCCGCGTTCTCCCAAAAACATAACCAACCATATAATCAGTTTGGATGAGACATTCAATGAACTTTAACCAGCTCGAAGTCATAAACCAGCCACGAATTTGATGGTATTTTGGCATTCTGTCCATCACTCGTAGACCTGATGCAAGTATATGTTAGAGAAGGTTACAGGGATCCGAAAAAAGACGTTAGACCATAGAAAATTATGCTATCAAATGAATTTAATCACATACGTCATTGATGGCGGAATTATAAGTCTTCTCTTTTCTCCAACTTGCATGCCTGAGGACCACGAATATATATACATAAATATATCACAATATTATGTAAAGAAAGAATATATTTCAATGGGAAAAAATTAACACACTCTTTTTGATATATTTACTATTATTAGGTGATTTTTATATGGGTCCCACTACATCGTGTGGATCCACTTTCTTTTAAAAAAAACCCAGGTGGAATTCAACAAATAATAGAGAATTTATTGAAATTGCTCTAATCAATGAAAAAAAAAAAAAAAGATGAACGAGGTAAAGAACAAGGATAAAACGTCTAAACGTCTACCTTCAAGGCCAACATCCCAACCCTTGATAACTTGTCCTTTACCTGCAAAAGGTAAACTAGTAAGCACACGGAGTCATCGAGGTAACAGAAGGTTCTGGTAAATGGTGTTACCAAGGCGAAATTTGTAAGGAGCTTGGCCAGCATTTGACTCAAATACTACTTCATTTCCCTTCAACTTGCCGGTGTAGTAGACACTGATCTGTGTATAACCAATTAACCAAAGACTACTTAGTGAAATCAAATCAAGTCAAACCTGCAATTCTCTTTATTTGAGAATACAACAGTGGCATTAGAATCTATGAATGACCAAATGCAAACTACCCAACCACCTCACCACTAGCCCGATCCTGGTGGCTTTGCAACTCCTTTTGTTTGATTTCATGCAACTAGGTGCTTAAAATATTTTGGCAAAAGCTAACCAATACCCTCAGGATATTGACTAAGGAACTAAAAGTGAAAAATTTTATTAAAGTGTCACTTATGTTTTTTCACCTGATTTCCAAAAAAAGAATTTTATTTATTGATTTCCTAACCACTGCCTTAGGGCACTGATTAGCAAGACTCGAATATTTTAAATCATTTAAAAGAACTACCTTTTTCCCTGACACAGCAATTTTGCCATCATCTTTCCCCTTCTCTAGCTCTTGAATAACTAGTCCATTTGACAATGATGTAACCTGGGAAGGCTTTGCATCGGCCCTCTTATTTCTGTCCCCCTTCATCATCTCAGTCTTGCCACTCTGCTCAACAGATACAGGCATATCAGAGTTTACAACTTCCAAACTGCCCTGGCTTTTATTCTTTTTCTTCTTTTTCTTAACTTTTGTATCCTCAAATTGATTTTTATCAGGAGAGTTGTGAGCACTGCCGTCCACACCACTGCATCAGAAACATTAAGTAAGATGACTGCACAAAATAGGTTATAGTATTTTCAGGGTACCTGGCATAACATATAGAATAAAAATGGAACATGAATGAAACGGGTCATAAATTTCAAAAAATTACAAGAACACTAAAAAAAAGCAACAAATAAAAAAGTGTTCTTTATAGACAACTTAAACAGTGAAAATAGCATAAAGAGATAAGTTTATCACCATTCAACTAAATTAAAGAGTATTCCTGGACTTTTGGACTAGAATGGAAGTCCCACTTTAGCTGTTTATTAATCTCTATCACCAACCTTTCAATCTCTATAAGAAGAAAAGGGCTAAAAAACCAAAATAATAATAGCTATCACAATAAGAGAGGCTTGTCATAAAACCATACATTTTTTTTCCTTTAATTATTATTCTAACTGATATTACTACTAGCTAGGCACTTCTTCTCATCCTTGTTAGTTGCTGCTTCTTCCTTATATTTGATTCTCTTCTAGCTTCTTTTCTATTTTATATTTCTTGAGCTGAATAACAAGATTTACTGTTTGAAATCAAATTTTTATTTAATTTGATATAGGAATTTTATTTGTTAATTGCTGCTTACTTCAAGGAATAAGGACACTTTTTAATTTAAGTTTGAACCAATTCAAGTGCCCATTGATTTAACCACCCAGCTAGTCTTGGAAATTTTTAAACATGTTCAGTGGTCACTAGTTTGCTAAGAAGTTTTTGTTACTAATTGCCACCAGTTCAATTTCAGCACTAAAGAATGTATTAGACATATTACAATATTACCTTGCATAAAAAAGCATAAACAAAACCAATGCTTACTTCTCATTAGCTAGCTTCTGATGTTGCTCTTTTTCTTCAAAACATTTATGAATCAGATTATGGGAGTTGGCTTTGTCCTCTTGGATGATATCTGCATGGTATCCTTTGTCACCGTTGTTTACCTGTTCTTTCTTTTTCCTCTTTGTTCTACTCTTTTCAGGATCCACTTTGGTAGAAGGCAACGCAACATTGTCCGAAATATTAACATCCCTGCTAATTTGATAAAGTATGTCAGGAAACAATTTTTTTTGGAAAGGATGTGAAATAACATTGGAATAAAATTGAAGGGGAAATGACAGTGGAGAAAGGCAGAGTGAAGTTGTGAAGGTTGGACAATTCAGAAAATGACATTTTAAAAGAGTAACTGCAGAATAGCACAATTTATGAAGCACTAAATACATAATAGATACAGAGGTAAATTCCACAGGAGCCATAGTTTCATATGTCATACTTGTATCAGCATATAGTCATTTTACAGAGTATAATTTCCTGTGAAATATGTGAGACGTGTATTATCTTAGTAACTGTCATTAGGAAGGCCAACCTAACAGTACTGCTAGCATAAGCACCATTTAAGGTGTCTCTGTTGCATAAGACACCAGTATGTGAGTTGCTACTGCATGCCCAGGTCATGAAGAATATTTTATTTTTGCCAACTTCTCCAGCATTACCAAATATTTCATGTTGCAGGGTTACTCTATTAAACAAATCAGCAAAACACAAGTACTATCTGGTAATATAAACAGTAGTTAAGAAAAACTCACCCATTAACTGTGTGCTGTTTATTGTGTTCAATTCTCTGAGGCAAATTAACAAGATTGTCGTGATAAACACCATTAGCAATCGAAAGCCTTCCCTCCTCTGACCACTCTTTCCTTTTCTTCTTTGGCTTTTCATCCAGACCATGATCAACAGTTTCCCTTCAAATCAAAGACAAAAAAGAATCAACAACCAAATCAGAAACCCCTGCAAGTAACACAACAAAAGGAGGTAAGTAAGGTCATTTTTAGCTCTGCTTTCTGAACATTGCCTTTGAAAGCAGGTGCATAGTCAAGGAACAAAATCCTCAACTGAGGTGGCATATAGGTAGTCAAAAGCCAAATATATATTCAAAATTTGCAGAAGCTTTTAGACCCGTTACAAAAAACATCACGAACTTTTTTTTGTATCAAACTTTAATTTTGATTATCACTAAAATAGCAACAAATAAAATAAAATTGATGATTATTTTTATGAGAGGAGAGGACCTTAACAAAAGCAGTCTGTGTTGGGATCTCCTTAAAATGAGCTGATACTTTCAAGGGTGAGTCTTAATGAAAAATATGAAAAAACCATCCGAGTTTTTTTGTAAATAAGTAACCAATCCAAAATATGATACCTGGGGGTGGGGGGGCAATGCCAAAAGCCAAGCAAAGCCAAAGATCCATAAAAGTCAGGCAGAGATGTGAAATTATAAATCATTCTGTACTTTTAGTGGACTGTCAGTGCATTATTTGAAACACACACATTGTCATTTAGCTCGATACTTGGCAATGACATTTCACAAAGAAATCTAGCGCACAAAAGGAGCACCAGTGCACCACCTCGAAATTTCAAAGAACACCTAATTGCCAAAATTAATTTTTTAAATGCAATTATCTATTTATGGTTGTTTACATTGTTATTTTATTTTGAGAATAAGAAATGCTTCTCAAAACAGGGTATCCTTTAATGTTTCTAGCACCCTAAATTAGTCTAAAGACTCTAAACCCAACATTTTATCTGGAATTCTTGATTTAGAAATTTCATGGTCTTCTTCATGTGTGTGCATGTGTATTTATATATTAGTCAAACATTTCATTCTACCAAAAAAATGAATTATTTTTCAGCCAAGAACAGTTCCACAATCGAAAACTCCAAAGACATAAATCACTCACTTATGATCAGCATGTTGCTGGTGTTGTTCATTTCCTGCCACAAAATCCTGGGTCGCCTTTTCCATTTTTGGCTCAGCTCCTACACTGTTATCTAGTTTGATAGAATGGCCATCACAGGAACTCTTAGTCTCTTTTTCTTTTCCCTTTTTTTTCTTTCTCATTTTTTTAATATCCCCAACATTTTCAGCTTCCCTGTTTCAGTAGAAATATAATTTACAGAAAAAAGGAAAGAACAAATAAAAATTTATCCCCTAAAACTTAAAGCTGATAAAAGCAGACATGTATTTGAACATTGACTGAGAATTGAGAAGACTCACCTATGCGTCTGAATATCTATAACGACATTGTCAGTTTTTAAATTTGATTTGATAATACTATTTCCACCATCTTCACCGTTCTTGTTGCTGGCATCACCTGCTCCTCTGTCAACAATATCATCCATTTCCTGGTCCAAGGCCTTTCCAGTGGCTGTACTCTTATAAAGAGACGAAATAGGTAGGCTATCTTCATTTTCAATTTCTTTGGTTTGGTCATGCTTACTGTCATTGACTATTATCTTTTCTTCGTGACAGTCATCATCGTCTGACTCTACCGAGTGGTACTTCTTCCTAAGCCGCCGAAGGCTTCCTTTCCTACCTTTTGGTCTGTCATCATGAGAAGCTTCCTCTGCAGTTGGAATCAAACACATAAATAATAGTCACAAATATAACATTAATGGCTTGAAATGAGGACAAAATCAAGAAAAATAATTGTTCATTTAGTTGAGAAATTAACATAAATATTTGAACATGCCTTCGTTGGAAAGAGGAGATGATGGGTAAACCTCCGGAACACCATCATCATCAATAAAACTATCCTCATACTCATCTTCGTCACTGTAATCAGATCTCTCAGTTTCTGTATCTGCAATATCCTCCCCATATGATTCCCTTTCCATTGTAGTCAAGGAGATTAAGGAAAAAAGAATTTCAAGAAAAAAGGTCAATCGTAACAAGGGAAAAAATGGATTTACAAGTATATTCTATCTTTGGAGTTTTGATAGGCATGCTACGTCGCCATCTAATCTAATACAAAATGACACAGAAACAAACAAGAAAATCAAGTAATCCGCGAAAAGAGATCAGTTCGACTAAAGAATAACTTGATGCGATGCTTTGAGTCAAATTTGTCCTGAATAAAATTATGAGTAAAAAAATACAGTAACAAAATGAAAAAATAGTTTAAGCAAAGTAGGAAATGATGAATGAGAAAATAAGGATACGAATCATCAATGACATGGGGATTGCGGGAAGTGGCAAGATAGTAACCGCAGAGGTGAATGCTCCGAGGGCCAATTACAGAGAAAACAACCTGATCAACTTCCTCAAGCTCCAAATTTAATTGCAATGACTCAGTGGTTCGCGGATAGAGAGAGCATAAATACACAGGGCTCTTGTTTCCCACATTGCACTGCAGTGTGCTTTTTGTTGTTGCAGTTGCAGTCCCCAAACCCAAAGTGGCCTAAATTAAATATTCTATTAGCAATATGTTTGTGTGATTGAGCAACAGCACATTTCTGAACAACATTACATTACCATTGAAATATGGAGGCGTCCTTTGGAGTCATCATATTTATGAGTAAAAGGCTTTCCAGGTTTTACTTCCACTCCTGCAGCACAGTAAAAATAGAGTATATTTAAGATGCATAAACCAATTGTTGTTAGCTGCTACTGATAGAACTCACAACACACAGCACAATCAGCTCTCTTACCCCAAAAGGCCATGTCTCCGACAAAGCTCCTCCTCGCCCGCGTCAACCTAAAACCCTAAACCCGCTCCCAAGATAAATATAATAACGTCAGTGCATTTCTTTGGCGCCCTTTTATCATCGTTAAGCAATTCATCCTTACGCTGGTGATATAACTTTTTTTGTATTTTTCTTTTAAAAATATTTTTCAATTTTATTTTAATTTTAAAATTTTGATGTACTGAACGATTAAAGATATTTTTCAAATTTGTAGAAATTAAATTTTAATATTATAATAATTTTAATCAATTTTAGTATCATTTAAACAAATTTGTGCTAATTTTAATAAAATATTTTTATAGCTATTTTCTTTGTTTTAAAGGATTTATTTCTTTAATTTATTCTTATGTAACACGTTGAAGTATTTATTATTAATAACAGTAATATAAATTATTTTTTCATTTTTAGTTAAAATATTATTTAAATATAAAACATTTGTATAATGCATGAAATAATTAATAATTTAATTGATTTGATAAGAGTTTTTAAATTAATTTTTATATCAATAAATCTTACATTTTATAAATTAATATTTGCAAAGAAATGTTTAAAATATTTAAAATTATTATACATATAGATACACTAAGTAATCTAGATACGCAAAATTGATTTCATTGTTTTCGATGAAGTTAAAATGTTATGGATGAAATGTGTAAGATAATTTTTACATTTTTTTAAAGTTCACTAATTTAAATTATAATTACGAGATAGATTTAAATTAACTTTATTATCAAATTTTAGTTAAAGTTAATAAAATAGATCAACTAAATTGAGTTGGCTTAAATTTATTTAATAAAATATAATAGTTATATTTTACAAATTGAGTCTAATTTAAACATAAATCTTTTTAATTTACTCTAAATAAATTTGTAAATTTAACTAGTAACAAGTTTAAAATAGCAGACTTTATTATATTATTATTATAAATTTAAATTAAAATATTATTTTATCCAATTAACTATATTTTACAACAAACATACTTGAGTCAACTGAATAATTTATTTTGTATCACATTATATGTTATAAATATTATTTATATAATTATAATTTTTCTTTAGTTATTATTTTATTATTATTATAATTGTTGTTATTATTAATGAACTTTTTTATTTATTGATTAATATAGTAATTTCATTTCGATAAATTTAAATTTAAATAAAATTTTAATTAAAAACACAACGTTGTTTTTATTGTTTATGAATAAAGTTGTAACAATAAGTCGCGATAATAAAGAATAGTAAATTTATTTTATGATATTTTATTCAAAAGAAATAATAGAACATAAGAGCTAGTAGATATGATAAAGATTTTTAACATTAAAAAAAAAGTCACAATAACTAAATTTATAAAATTAAGTTAAAGATAATTCTATAGAGATATTGTTATGGAATCAAGTAATGACGATGAACTAAAATTATTTTAAATGTATCTTGTCTCGCTCTTTTTGTAATATCTTCCTTAGATCTAACTCTACTTTTGCCTTTTTCAATATTAAACAAAATTATAACTTGTTCAATGAGCAATAATCTTAAGAAATAACTCTAAAGCACAATCTCTTTGATGAAGATATGTACTTTGAGGAAATAAACAAAAAAATGAATGACTAGACAATTTTATAAATTTCACAAGATATATTATATGTTCTTAAAGAACAAATCTAACATAAAGTTATGATTATATAATCAAAATTGTAAAAAATAATATTCCTCTAGGTTTAGATATAGGGGAGAATTTCATTTATTATCGAAACACAATCATATTAGAAAATATTTGCATATAAGATGTGTACGAGTAGCAATTAAACCTTTAATAAATATGAGTATAAATGTTGTAATCTTAATGTGTCTTAGAGATATTAGAAACAATAAATTTGAATATTTCTTAATAGAAATGGTATAAACTAGTTTGAGGCAATGACCGATCTATTTTAATTATTACTCAAACAAAAGTAAGTTTGATGGATAGCAATATCCTATACTCGTTCTTAAATATCCACTTTCATGGTTTTCATATACTATAGTTCTTTGATTCTGTCAATCTTTGTAAGTCTTTGTTATAAACCATTTCTAAACTTTCGGGCAGTTAAGCAATAGATTGTGCATATTCAAATTATTACTTGACATAACTAGTTGTGTGTCACTTTATAACTTCAAAACAAATAAAAGGGCTCATGGTTGACCATATAAAACATTATATTCTCATGTCATTTGGAATTAAAGCATCGATATCACAAATTTCATATGGTTACTGTATAAACTGCATGAAATAAATAAATATTTATGTTATAAAAAGTTATAAACATAAATAAATACTACTAAAACACAAATATAACATACTTAACAATATATTAGTAATTTACTTCATGAACATCCATTTGATTCAAAGCCAATCTTAATATTCTTAAATATAGTATTTGTTGGATATTGCATATATTTTTTTTTTTCCATATGAGAACAATTGGAAATACTATTAGTTCACTAAGGATTAGAGCCAGCCATGATAGTTGATGTCAAGCCCATAGTTACAACAATATTATGCACTCACAAATTTCTCTATCATCATTTTGTGAATTACAATCTAAATCTTTATAGAGAAATGAAAGACATGCTAAACCTCAATTATAGTTCCCAATTTCATTCACATGTGTTAGTAACGGGAAGAATTTTGTATGTATCATTGAATTGCTTTTATTTGACATTAAAATATGCCTCAACAAATTAACAAAGTATATATTTGCACATATGTTGTACTATTCTAATGTTATAATTAAGAGAAAGTCAACCAAGATGCTGTGTAAGTCATTTTAATTTAATTTTCTTATCCTTCAATATTGTTTATTGATAGTTGGCTGCTTAATAATTCATCGTACATGTTTTGAACTACTGCAGAATAAAGATTAGTGGATTAAATTAATGGTAGACCATTAATCTAGAGTTCAAGTAGCATACAAAGATCTTCTAATGTAATTATACATTTTCCACAAAAGTATATGAAATATGTGTATTTCAAGTATCCATCGTTTGATAAGTGCATTAATAAAATGACTGTTTATTTGCATTTGACAAATTTTAGAAACCCAATCAAATCTAGCATTAGGTAATATGTCATTTATATCTTTCATAAATGGTATTATGGATAAATGACAAGAGTGTAGTTGCCTTATTTTCTATTATAAAAATTTAATATTAGTCAAAACAAAAATATTGATCAATTTTATAAATAAAAATAAACATAAATTATTGCATTAGCATAAACATTTTCTTCCTTTTTATTCATTAACTAATTATACCTAAATAATAATAGAATTTAATTATATAACAAAAAATATAATAATAATAATTATTATTCCTACTTATATTAAATAACATGTTCATTTCTTTTTCAATTTCTCAATTATACTAAACTTTTTCAATAAATATTAAACAACGCATTTTTATAGTTATCTAAAAATAATTATAAATGTAACACAAATTATTTTCATTACCATAAACATCTTGTAATTTATTATATTTACTATCTATTTATACAAAAACAAATATATTTACATTGTTTTCATAAAATTTATAAAATAATAATAATATGTTAATAATAATCAAATACACTAGTTACAAAAATTATAAGAATTTAATTTAATCACAAAAACACAATAATAATAATAATCATCACAATTCCTACTTATATTACCTAACATGTTCAACTTTTTCCTATTTCTTAATTATATTAAACTTTTTCAATTAATATTAAGCACAAATTTTTTATAATTGACCAAAAATAAATACAAATATAACATAAATTATTACATTACCATAAATATGTTATAATTTATTATATTTACTAACTAATTATACCAAAATAAATACATTTACATTTTAAAAATATTTTATAATATTTTAACAATATATTAATAAATGTCAAAAACACTAATTATAAAAATCAATAGAATTTAATTTAATAACAAAATTAATAAAAATAAAAAAATCTAATTTTATTAATTTTTAAAACTGATTTTTGCTATTTTTAATTATATTAAATATTTTCAATTACTTCTAAACATAAAATTTTGCCAAATTCATCAAAATAATTACAATAATAACAAATTATTACATTTGCATAAATGTTTTATAATTTATTATATTTACCAACTAATTATAACAAAACAAAATATTGTTACCTTGTTTTTAGAAAAATTATAAATTTTGAAAATTATGTCAATAAATGTAAAAATAACTATTTACAAATATTTAACAATTTTAATTTATCAACTAAATTTATAATAATAATAATTATTATTATTATTTCAACTTAAGAATATAGATAATTGTGGATTTTTTTCTAAAATACTCAAGAATATAGTTATATTAACAAATTTTTAATCAAAATCAATTCTAATTAAATATATAAATATAACTAAAAAAATACTTACATTTAAATTATGAATATTTTATAAAATATACTTGAATTCATAGTTGAATTTTTAACAATTTTTTGTAATATATTTGTTTATGGTGATTGCTTTGATACTTTTAAACTTGAGAACACATTGTATACTTTTTATAAATTGAAGATTGTGATTGTTTTGATATCTTAAAAATTAAAAAGTATTTATGTTTTTTTTCAAATAAGTCACTAATTGCACTATCTATTAATATAAAATTAATGTTCATAATTATTGCACGTGTAAGACAACATAAAATATCCTTTTATATTATAAAACACTATATAATTTACTTTTTTCTATTCTAATTTAAATTCAATAATTTGTCCTCTCAAATTTGTTGTTATCATAATTTTTTTACATTTTTCAACTTCAGAATACTCCCTCATACTTCTCTCTCCCTTCTTCCACGCTTATGGCTTCTTAGTGCAATTAGAGTCAAATTTATAGCATCAAAACTTGCTATTGGCAATTTTTACTGGCACCTTTGCCCATGCATAAACACAATAGTAAAATGCAGATATTCTTGATCCAAATTTTGCCATTAGTAATTTTTCAGAGCTCCAAATATTCCTTAAAGCGTAATTAGCTACAGCAAAGGTGGAAGACTCCTTAACATGATCAAATATCACCGATAGCAATTTTTAAGCACCTCCAACACTAATGAATGACATTCAGCTTGTTGCAGGTCTAAAGGTCGCCAATGAAAGTTTTCTAACCTTCAACAAGCTTAGAGTAATGTAAATGAAGTATCTCAAGTTATAACTTTCTTCTGTTTCATCAAAAAATTGTCAATGGAATTTTTTTAAACTCGATATTCATGAAAGTTAATAAAATAACATTGTATTTATATAAATTTGATATTTATTCAATATATTTAAATTATTATTCTTAATTTTGTAATATTTTAATTTGCATCTAACATGTTCTTAACAACACTGATAGTAAAATATTTGATAATTATTTTATTAGAATATATCCTAACAACGTTCTCTCTACTCTAAAAGATTATAAAATTGACAAGATGATTATAATAAAGAAGATTAGCTTTTACTTAAACAATTTAATTATTAACAAAAGAAATTTATTAACTTTAATATATTTAAAAAGAATTGTATTTATATATTAAAAATATAAAATAAATTGTTGTATAAAATCTTGTTATTATTATTAGGTAATTTTTGATGATACCATGTCATACAAAAGTGACAGTAAATTTATAAATGGGGGGAGTTTCTAGTTCGCTGAGGGGCTGCAGTATTTTTGTTGGTGCGGTAGATATGTCGTGTGGGAGTAATATTGAAATTGAAAGTAATTTGTAAAGGGATAATAGGTTAGGCGAAGAGAAAGAGAAAGTGTGGTCGCAAATGGTAACCACAAAAAAACAAAAGAAAGGAAATGGATTGTTGTAAATAATGGAATGGGCACCTGAAAGTTCGCGAGAGGAAGAGGGAGTTGGTTTCATCGATTCCATTTTTGGAGTGGTTTGGGATATTCATATATCATGCGCGTTCTCTCCCAGTCATTGCCATGCCTCTCCTCTTCTCTTCACACTACTCACACTCAAACCTATCACTGTCGCTTCTCTTCTCCCCCTTCTTTTATCTTCACACACCACAGACGCTCTCACTTTCTCACTCCATGCTCTTCCCTCAGACAGACAGAGAGCAAAAAGCAACAGCTACGCAAAATCGACACTGCCCCATCTGGCTTAAAGCGCTTGTTTAACCCCACCGGTGATGGGGATGGGGACAAGAACGAGACCGAGTTCGACTTGGAGGATGGCACCGCCTTGAAGGGCACCCTTTTGGCCGGTGTATTGCTTGTCGGTATTGTTGGTGGTTTTGCCTCCGTTGGCTATATTTACAAGGACCAAATCAATTCCTTCTTGAGCAACTTCTCCGTCTTCATCGAAGGTTTTTTTTTCCATTCATTTTTGTTCTTTCTTTCTTTCTTTCCACACTTCTCCCCCACTGATCCTCTGTAATGTATCTTTTAACATGCAGGCTATGGTCCAGCTGGATATGCTTTATTCGTTGCGGTTTATGCTGGATTGGAGGTATCATTGCATCTAGCACTTCTCTCAGGCCATGTTGGATTCATGGAAATGGAAATGGACTGCAATGAAATTGTTTCAAACAGGATGCAATGGAATGGAAGCCTCTCTTTTCCTTCTCCCCAACTTGGGGTATGAGATGGAATCCTTTCATTCCATTCCATCACTCGCAGAATATACTAACGACGAATGGTGACTTTATTTCATTTGATTCTATTTCATCCAGTTCCATTCCATTCCACTCACTATTAGATGTCCAAACACAAATGTCTATTCCTGTTGCTCATAGTATCTATTATATAATAATACTTTGTAAGTTTTATTTCATAACCTTCACGTGCACATTTTCTTGCCCTCCCTGCTCTGTAAATTATATAGTACCGAGTAAATCAGAATAATGCCCATGGGCTAGTTGCATCAAGTTACATTTATTCTCTCTCAAGCACAAGCTTTCTCCCCCATTCTGCTGAAGATGTGCAATGCTTCTAACTTTGGTTTATTTAACGTTGTCCCAGATCCTTGCGATTCCTGCCATTCCACTAACCATGTCAGCTGGACTTCTTTTTGGATCTGTTACTGGCACTATCATAGTCTCTATCAGTGGAACAGTAAGTCAATTTCGTTAAAAGCACAAGGATGCAAACCAACTCGCGCTCATGATTCATATATAGTTGGGATATATTGATTGCATTATCTATAAATATTTTAAAAATTTTAAGGTTAATGTATGTTTTTCAAAACATATATTTGATTAAATACTTGTCAAGGTTCAACACATTTAAAATTTAATGTGCAAGAGCAAACAATTACTTATAAGTGAATTGTTGAACTGATTAACCTCATATTTTTTTGAAATTGTTCATGGGGAAAATAATTGTAATTTTTTTGTGTGGGTGTTAATCAATTCTACATCTATGTATGGTTTTGAATCTAATGTTTTGAGACATTGCAGGTGGCAGCTAGTATTGCTTTTCTAATTGCAAGATATTTTGCTCGTGAGCGTATTCTAAAACTTGTGGAAGGAAATAAGAAGTTTCTTGCTATTGACAAAGCAATTGGAGAAAATGGCTTCAGGGTTGTGACCCTACTTCGTTTGAGTCCTCTACTGCCATTTTCTTTGGGGAATTATTTATATGGATTAACGTCTGTTAAATTTATTCCATATGTATTGGGAAGGTATGGTACTTGTCATTGATCAATACCAATTTAACACTGATTTCCGTTATCTTTTTGAACCTAGATATAGAATTTCACTCTTAGAAAAAAAAGCAATCTGTATTTAAAAATTAGCTTTGGGTTATGAGGGTGTTGGAAGATCTTATTTGGGCTTTTCTATCATATAAATACTAACATAGATGTTTGGTTAAGCTTATGAAAGTGACTTATGACCTTATAAGCTCTTTTTAATTTACTTTAATATACCTAATGGTGAATCTTATGAAAATAGGCTATTAGCTCTTATTGAATAGTGCTTAAATAAGTTGTTCCTTTGTTCATTGTCTTGAGTTCTTTGGTAATTCGTCCTAAATGGGTAAAGAAGAATTGAAAAGAAAAAAAATCATTCTATGCTTGATGGAGCCTATCTATTCTGATGTATAATGCCAAAAGTTGGATTTGACCATCATGCAAATATTTTCTTAAAAAATAGGTAGTTATGTTGTCATAAACTTTTTTCCCCTTTGACTAAGCATAAACAATCAAAATAATAAGTGAGTAATTGGATCATTATATGTTTAAAATTATAACTATAGTTTTATTATATTATATATATATTAATGGATGATTCCCATGCTTGTTAGTCGTCAAGACTCAAAGTGCTAATGGGTTCTTAGTACTGTAACTAATTGTTTCTTTCTTTTCAGCATAAGGGGGCTAATGACACCTATCTTTCATATGCTTTTAGTAATCTGAATTATTAGAACATTCAAGGTTACATCTTGAAAGTTCTACTTATTATGAATGGTATCTTTATCTGAGCAAGTCTTTGAACTACTCTATTTCCCGTAGCAAGTAATCTAACCTCTTTTAAAACATAAATGGACTCGGAAATTTTGACAAGCAAGAGCCAAATCTATAGCTTCATCTTGATTGTAGAGAAAATGCAATGTCTCTTCAATGATTGTTAATATCTTGGATTTTATAAACTGATGAAAATATTGAGAGCATGGAACTTATGATCAGATGCTTATCTAAAAATTTGTTTTGACAATTCCAACTAGGCACAATGTCATGAAAATATCCATGCTTTGAACTTTTGATTCATCAGAGTGTATGCTGTTATGAATTGTCATGGATTAGTTGAAGCAAATTACAGCTATACTGTAATGAAATGCAGTTAAAATGAAACTTGGAATATTTTTGTTGTGTATCTAATGGGAACTGTCCCAGTATTTTTATCTGGAATTGCATTTGGACATTTATAGTTTGCGAATTTCTGATTTAAAACTGATAATTGTTATGCAGTTGGTTGGGGATGCTTCCTGGAACATGGGCTTATGTTAGTGCTGGTGCTTTTGGAAGAGCAATAATTGTGAGTTTTTACTTGGTTTTTCCCCATTTTTTCTTGTATTCTTGGTGTCTTGGCTATTTAATCATTATCTTAATATTTTGTCTGGCTTTCCATTAGCTTCATGTTTTTATTTTCTTCTTTTCATCCTTTTGTTTTTGTTTCATCTTTTTGTGGGGAAGCATGAGATAATGATCAAGAAAGAAATGAATGATGGTGGTGAGTGAAAGACCTTTGATGTACTGTTAATTATTGTTTCTTATATAAATATTACAGCAATTTTGTTGGCAATTTCATGAAAGCTTATTGCAAAGCAAGTTTTGGGTACCTTTGGCAGAAACCAATGAAAAGTGAAAAAGGTTAGGGCAATATGGAGGAAGTTATTTGTAGATTCATTTTATTTGGGAGATTAATGATCTGTGACAGTCTCGGGCAAGATTTGAGTGCTTTGGGCTCGAGTATACAACAAAATCATTTTTGTTAATTTTAGAGGTTGATTTGATACTTCATGTTGGATGACATTGACATCCATGGTTACAATAGTTGTGTCTTAAACATTATAAAGTTCAGGCGAGTTTATGGTTTTCCACCTCTTGTTTGATGATGATGCTATTATTCTTTTGTGGAGGATGATAGTGATATTTCTTTGAATGATATTTCTATACTAAAGTTCTTTAAGGTTGTCTCTCACTCTCTTTAAGGTGGTTTGGCTGGCTTGAATATGCTTAGATGCTTTCTTCCCATGCTTCTTTGGCTGGATTAGACCAGAGAAAGATAGAGAGGACAGAGATGATGGAATGAATTAGATTAGCTTGATAAAGGACAGGTGACCATTGTATGTTGAATGCTACAGGAAGAGGAGTTCCACGCACTCCTGCACATTGGATCGGCACACTAGGACTGCTTCCAATGATGGCCTATCAGGAAAGATGTCACAGATATTTTTCATTTTTTGGGGTTGGGGAAGGGTTGTGTTGGGTGGGGGAGCCACTGTCTATAAAATGTGATGTCCTTGACGTTGATGAGGGCGAGAGTGATCACCGATGCAATGAGACACATATAAGGAGCGACTCTTGGTAGCCTTTCAGCAAAAGGACCCATGAATGAATCGAATATACACCAAAATGAGAAGAATCCAAATACTGTATAGGTATGGGACTATATAGTTGAGGATAATTTAAAGAAATTGATTAGTACTACTTATACCAATAAAATGTATTTACTTGATAGCCTATCACTTAAGAACTCCAAGGTTAAGCATGTTTAATTTAGAAAAATTATGGGAATGGTGACTTCCTAGAAAGTTCTCAAGAAGTATGTGAGTACAAAACACATTAAAAAGTCTTGTGTTGATTTGTGGGGACAGATGTCAATCTCGAATAAAGTACATAAAACATGGCAGAGGAAGAAAAGGAGAATGAAGGGTTTTTAATACATGATTGGTGATTGGGAAAATGAATATAGCCATGGGAAACTAAAGGAGAGGGAACACCAAACAATTAAACAAAGGAGCTCCATTGGGATTCCTGCAGCATGCAGAGAAGCTGTAATTACAAGGAAAAGATAGAAATGGTCAAAAGGAGATCCTATTATTGATCTTATTATGATGTGCTCTGTTATAGATACAAACTACTGAATTCAATTTGTACAAATAATCTAAGTCATAATGCAACTTGTATATACCTAGCCCAATTAGACTAATAGCATAGTAAGACTACTAATATTATATGGAAGATGGTTTGTTAGATTCCTAATAGCAAGAATCCTATATTCTAACAAGATGGTTAAAATCGTGTTGATTAATTCATCCGGTTTGTTACATTTTATACAATGTGGAATCATGACAGACTTCCTATGAGTATACGAATGCACCAAGGGTCAACTTTAAGCATTATCATTTTACCTTAGCCTTGGATGTGCTTATTGATCATATCCAAGAGTCAGTGCCACGATGCATGCTTTTTGCAGCTGATATAGTCCTGGTTAAAGAGTTGAGAGAGGAAAAAAATGGAAAATTAGAGATGTAGGACAAGCTTCAAAAGCACATGGCTTTTATTTAAACAGAAGTAAGATAGAGCATATAAAATGCAAATATAGCAGAAGGCGCATCAGTCTTAGTAGCTTGGAGGCTAAAATTGGAGACCGTACCATGCCACAAGTCACATGGTATAAGTATATTGAGTCCATCATTCAAAAAAACAGAAAAATAGAGAGAGATGTAAACCATTGGATTTAAGTGAGGTGGATAAAATTAAAAACTAAGATTAGTCACTTCATAATGTAGAACAGCTGCCATAAGCCCAGCCCAACCAGACTAATAACATTGTAAGACTCCTAAAACAAAAAGAATCCAAATATTGTAAGAGGATGGCTAAAAACTATGGTGTTAGTCAAATCATCTGCTTTATTACATTACTTATGGTTTTAAAATGCAACATTAATATTATTTATTAGCCAGGGGTTGCTTGCCTGCAGGATATGTACGAGTCGTGTGTTAAACTATATTGAAGTGATTCTTTTGCCCTTCTCTTTTGCGATTCATCAAATTAATAATTTTATTTTACTTGTAATTATGGATAGGTAGCAACTTTATTGATTTCCTTTTAATGTAACTAGTAACTTCTACATTTCAGCGAGATGAAACTGAACTAAATATATTTGGAGGAAACAGTCAGCTGCTAACTCTTGGGCTGGGACTGTTGGCCACTGCATTAGCTGCTGCATATGTCACAAGACTTGCAAAGGTATGATCCTGTTATTGACGTCACAATGGCAGAACATGTATTTTTTTTTTTTTTTTGTAATATTTAGGCTTAAATATAGTTTTAGTCCCTATATTTTTGAGAAATTTTTGTTTGTCTGACGTGATCCACTAAGAGACTACCACATGTCCACTAAGAGGAACAAAAACATAAATTCCAAAATATGTAAGGATCAAAACAAAAAAATCATTAGGAAGGACTGTAATAAAAAATTTGCTTGAACGTAGGAACCAAAAATATATTTAAGCTTAATATTTAATACAGGATAGCAAACAAACATGAAAGGTTACCATTTTAGTGCATCTATACTTGGGGCAAGGAATTTTGATTTTTTGGTCAAGATTAAAGGAATTTAAGAGTTTTGGGAACAATTAGGTTTTTAGATAATGTTTCTTTGTCATGGGGGAAAACAGGCATACCATGTTGAAAGTTGATGCTCGGGCTTGCATAGTATTCTATGAGTGATTGGTCATAATTTTCTTTAATCAATAGTTTAGGATGTCTTGAGGTTGGGTGATTATTGAACAACTTACCTAAATAAAATTTGCTGATGTGATTTGAGTGAGCTTTAGCTGGCTACTATACCTTACATTTGAATCTATAGTATGAAATATGAACTCTACACGATTACATTTGGCAGTTTCTTGTTTTAACCTTCATTTTCTTGTCATCATTATCTTTATCTCTTCAAGATGTCCGTGTGTTTTAATCTTTACCATTTTGAAAATTCCTGATATCAATGGAATACTGCCTCTATAGTCCTCCTCGTGATGTAGCTTCAAACATGGGCAAGTCCAACTTTGCCCTTTCACCCAATCTTCCTTTCCTCCAATCCCTCCTCTCCTAGAGTTTGTAATAATTATAGACACATACGCGACACCCACCATTCTGTTCTAGAAGTCACTGCCTTCGGATTGGTAATGATGAAAACAATGATACTGTTGTGATTTACTGGTTTCTAATTTACACACGTAACTGTAGCATTACTGTCTCTATCATAATCATAATTATTAGCTAACAGCTGATCTGATTCACAGATAACTCAACATTTTTTAACGTTATAATGCAGGATGCTATAAAGGACATCGAATAGATCCAGTAGAATGTAGACACACCCCGGCATTTGTTAATGAAGACAGGTCCGCATGAATGGACGGGAAAACTGATATCTCAGTAAATAACATTAATAATGATAGATGAAAGAGAACCAAGGAAAATGATAGACCAGTATATCCCTTGTAAATTACAATATTCTTATTTATGAACTAAGGTAGCATCATTTTGTTCTTTTTGCATTGCCCCCTTACATGTACGAACAATTTGCGTGCGTCATTTATAAAGTTATGACGCACTAATTTCTTAACGGGCAGCGTGGCACAGTTCACATTTTATTTAAAATGCTTCTGTTGTACTTAGCAGATCAAGGGGAGTCCATCCAGTCGGTAAACACCTAAAATAAATGCTTCTGAACAGTTTCTCGTTTGTTTGGGTTTAGTCCCTATAGATTGCCGAAAAATAAAAATAAAAAAACTAATGTATGCGTTGTTTGTTCCATTATGTAGTTTTTTTTCCCCTTGAACTATTTCAGGTTTGAACATCTTATAGTAATACATGCTTCCTAGACTGGATGAACTAGAAAATTAATTATTTGAAATTCTCCAAGTTCAATTATTTAAAATTTGTGAACATCCTGAATTATCCTCATTGATCATGTCTTGTTTGAAATAATGATAAATGATGCATGTTTACAAGGTTATGTATTTACAAGTTAACTGTAAATCTTTTCGTTGATAAGGGAATATAGAGTCCCATGTTTACTTATTTGTGTATTTAATTCACGTCCACAATATGAAAACACAAGCACTTGTATGTAGTATGTTTATTGATTGGGCAAGAGAATGAACTAATAAAAATTTCTGTTGACAATAAGAGTAAGCCTTTCCGATTTGATTTTGAGTAGTACTAAAGTTCAACTAAAGTTCAGACAAAAATTAAGACAACATAGATGCAGTACTATAAATATTTTCAATATCATTTTTCCATTAAAATTATAATTTCATCTCAATAATCTACATTAACTTCTATTATTTGCTACTGGGCTAAAACTCTAATTTTAATTTGAAAACAACATTAAAAACATTTGAGAAAATCCAAACGTGCAACGATAATGTTCTTGGGTTTTGATGTTTTTTCATATTCTCTTTCTCTTGCATCTCTTTTTTTATCCCCTCTCCCTTTTATCCTTCTCACCCACATGACGAGAGAAAAGCATTTCTCAATTTCAAAACGAACTCTATAAAACCACAAGATTCTAGTTCATAAAAAATAAAATAGAATTTGTAAACCAACAACCCATAGAAGAAGGCTACATCCAAAACAGGGCAAGTGGATAGGGAACGAGTTCAAACAAAAATAATCCCGTTTTCTTTAATAGTATCAAGAACGATCCCCAGCCTACCTTCAATCCTCTCATCCTTTCTCGGTTCATATGCCATTGCATACACATCAGCTTCCTTTGACCGCTCAGCAATAAGCCTTCCAACCACTCTACAAGCATTTTGATCTATCAAGGAGGGAAGAGAGGTTCGAAGATCCTTGGCGTTTGTTGTAGCAACACATATCACTTTGCTCGTTCCTCGGTGCACCACTTTTACATGAACAAATCTTTTTGAGAAGAAAACATTTAACAAGAATGGTCTCATGTACATATCTGTCCTCTGCTTCCACGATTTCCTGTTAGGTTTCTTTGCAGCTTCACCTCGAGATCTTCGGGTCCAGGCAGCTCGAATGAAAGAAGACCCCTATATACATGTTAAAATCAGTTACTTTTTTTCATTTAGGTCACCACAACCACTTATTAATTTTAACTTCACATTTCTTCATGTCAATATCAACATCCAAAATATTCAGATTTCAAAATTCACAACCCCTGTCAGAAGCGATAATCAAATAGACAAAAAGAAAAAGGAAAATGAAGAGAAAGGGAAGGAGAGTAGTTACATGGGAGAGTGAGGAATTAAGAGGGTATGTGGAGGAGCGAGTTAAAGTGGGAAAGGAAGAAAGGGATGAAAATGAAAGGGAATTGGTATTGGTATTGGGCGTGCGAGACGGTGGCATTTGGGGCAACTGCGAAGAGAGCGATGCGCACACTGATACTGTTGGGGAAGCAGCGCAACCCATCTTCCTCCTCTTCTTCTTCTTCTCTCTCTCTCCTTAGCCGCTTCTCCCTCTCCTCAAGCCACTTTTATATTACCCACTTCCACAAACATTTTTATATAATCCTAATTTTTGGAGAAGACAAATATATTTTTAGGATTTATTTCTTTCATTACATTATACAAATTTTTTAATTTCAGTATATACATTTAATTATTTTTTTGTCAAATTGATTTATTTTTCAATTTAAATATTTTATTTTATTTAGTAAAATGTGTTATTAATATTTAATTTTTAAAATAAATTTAGTTAAAATATATGAATAAAATAAATTTTTTATATAGTTATCCAGTTATGTAATTAAAAATTAATTTTATAATAAATATTTTAAAGAACATGAATGAAATCATTTTTAATTAATTATATATATTTTAATTTTTAAAAATTATTTTAATAGTATTCGCACATACAAAAAAAAAAAAAAAAAAAACTTGATTAAATTAAACAGTATGGATCGATTGACTCGAGAATTTGAAGTCTGAAATTTTCTGCGTTAATTGTATACAAAAAAGGCAAATCCTTTGTAACTGGAATTGGAAAAAGCTGGTGAGATTTTGCAATCAACAGCTTCACAAGATGCAGTCAAGGGTCAATTGGGCTTTCTTGTTGGTGCTTGGGCTTGGGCCGTGGGAATTCTGGGTGGGTATACAAGTTTTGGAGGGAAAATTGCCCCAAAATTGAAAGAGATCAAGTGCGTATAAATGTTCATTCTCTGACTCTGAGTTGAGAATGGAGAAATGAAATGGAAATGACGGCGGTGAATTCAGCCACAACTGTATCCAACAGTAACACGAAGGCCGTGCCCCCCTCACTATCGCATGTTTTCTTACACGAATGGTGGCTTCTGAAGCAACGCAAGGGTTTAGCTGTTGGCGGCGTTACTTCCATGGAGTTAGTTGTTTCTTATTTTAATGCTTTTAGGTTGTTCGTTGCAATCGTTGGTTCTCTCCACCATGGAATAACTGTAATTGCAATGACGCAGGAAAGCTAGAGAGAGAGTGTTTCTGTCTGCAGTGATTGCAAAGAGACATGAAGCCAATGTTCTTGAGACTGAAGATGGCATCACTGTTGCTTTTCGTGGTTTCATTAATACATCTCGATCATGTCAAAACGGCTTTCCATCCGAGGTGCTGCATTTCGCAATCTTCTCTTCTCTTCTCTTTTATAATTCTGTCCTCTGCAAATTTTGCTTTTTTTTTTTCTCTATGCTCTTCTCTTGTTTTTAAAGTGTGTACTTTCCTTTTTTATAAAGTTTTAATTACCCTACAAGGTAAGATAATGCTAATTCACACATTTTTCTCTATCTTAACAAGTAGACACTCTTGTATATGACACCTGATGTTGGCACCAAATGATTGTTTATACTTTATACACTATCAGTAGATCAAGGAAAATTTACGCATACTTACATGGTCAATCATAACGATTAGAATTATCAGAAGTAAATATCCAATGTATTTAGGTTGCTTTTGATGAATATATAAAATTGGAATTCAGTCTCTTTTAACAGGTATGTCGCCACTTCTTGTTCGGCTTTCCTTATGATTGGAAAAAGTATTCAGCCCATTGTTTTGGGGATGAAGATATCGATTGGACTACTTTGTTTGGTGACTCAAGCACTCGTTCAAAGGAGAGTGGGGATGATGCTTTGGCATTTTCCATTCCTGAAAATGATTTCACCAAGACACGGGATTCTCTGTTGTCCAATAATAATTGTTCGACACCAAATAACAATTTCAATGGATTGGGAATTTCTGTCGGGAATGTTTGCAAGCAAATCAAATCCACTGATAACATGGAATGTAGCATTGCCATGAAGACTATCGAGTGTGAATGTACGGACAATAAGCTAACTTCCAACAAGGAAATAAAAAACGACCAGTTCTCAAGGGACCGCAAGAAGCAATGTATTGGGCAAAGGACAGTAGAGGATACAGACAATTTCTGTGATAGGAGAGTAACGAGAAGCATTTCTAAAAGAAGTCACGCAATGCTTAATGACAAGAAAACGATGGTACCCATTGTTAGTTCTCCACTTAGAAGATCTCCCAGGCTACATTATAGTAGAAAATGATTTGTCACTATAAAATAGTGGTGGATGGTGAAACTTACACAAGAAATGAGTTTGCTACTTTTTACCATCCTAAGATTTGTGATTGTGACGGCAATCTTGATACATTATATATATATATATGGATGTGATTCTGACAATACATGGTTTATGAGTAAAAGGAAATATCATAGCAGTATACACACACCAATTTGCTTTCATATAGCAGGTTTCGGGAAAAAAAAAACATTATAAAGACTTTACTGGGTTTATTGAAACATTAATTCAATGTCAAATTATTCATGTAAGAAAAACTATGAACAAAGAATAATTATCGTAGAAAATCTAAGTTGAGTCTGTTGTCATAATAGAGAAAACATCCTTTTGCTTTAACGAAATAAGAGAGAACATATATAGTTTTGATGCATTTATACTCGCAAGAGGAGAGGTAGAACGAAACTTAAAAGGTTGCTTCATGACTCCTTTTCTTTTGATGTATCTCTGTTCAACTACCAACACAAAAATGGTTTTGTTTTATCTGTCTCGTAAGTTTCCTTCAGTTATTCTAACAAAAAGGAGTTAGTTAGTCCTTAGTGGAGAGTCTTGTTTTATTTTTTTCAGAGAACTTTAAAACCTTCGGAAGAGAATGAAAGAAACCTCAACTCAATTCAAATTTTGTAAATTTCCAAATTACCCTCTCAGCGAAGCATTTCTTTCCTCTTCCTTTCATACTCTTATCCCATCCAAAAAAGCAAGGCATCCGAGTAAGTATTTCTTTCCTCTCACAGAGCATTTGTCCTCGTAAGACTTGAATTCAATTGCTATTCTTAGAAAAGTGGTTGAGTGAGTATTGTGGAAAAAAAAAAAAATACTGAGAATTTTACCATAAATGTTTATCTTGAGCAAATTCCTCCCATATAAGATATTTGGGGTCCTAGAAGAAAGAGAACACTAGTATTATCATTTATAATTATTAATTGCACATTTGGTTGGTCATGTTTTAATTATTTTGACAAAAAAATTAAAACTATTCATTGAGCAGTGAATCATCATTTTAAATCTTAAAAAAAAAAAGACTGGCTATTTTAGTCAATATAAAAAAATTCTCTCAAATTAAATTCTTAGCAGTTAACTGTTTTCAGGGACTACTTATAATTTGCAAAGTCTTACCAGTTAACTATTCACATGAATGGTTTTGCCACCATTGACCTTTTTTCCGCCACAACATCAGCGTTAAGAAATACAAGGGGCATGAAAGCACCCTTTCATCCAAAGTGTGTTAGAGGAAGCCTTATACCCTATCACCCTCTTCCAAACAGCGTTATCTGCCGAACCAATCTAGTTCGGCTACAAGGTTCACGCTCCCACTACGACTGCTATAACTATACAACTGTACCCTTATAAATATGGAGTCCCAAAAATTACTGGTGACCAGCTTGTGCTACATAAATTAATTAATCTCCAGAATGCAAGTAGCGAGCAGCATCAGCACTTATGCTTTTTCATATCCCAAGGTCAAATGATGGAGACCTAAAAGTATCAAGGTTGGATGTGTGAGACACTGTATCTTGCTTCTGAATTGACAAATCTAATTTCCGTTTAAGAAGAGAAGTAGCTTGCGCCTCCAACTCGTCAAGATTAAGGTCATTATAAAATTGATCATCACATAGAATATCTGTAGTCGTATCGGCATCCACTATTTCTTTCTTTGATTGAAGTGCAAATTCTCGTTCAAGGTTCATATTTGGGAAGCGCCCAGAATGATAAAATGCCAATCTTCGTTTGCTACTTCTTATCTCTGTCCCGGTTCCAGTTGGTGAACAAGTTGAAGGTAGTGCTTCTGAGGTTATCTGGTCGATACAAACAGATTCCGAAGTCCTATTAGCTGACTGATTGGTTGGCTTTGTCTGGAAATAAGTCACGGTCTTGCCTGAAGAATCCCCACTTTCACTAATACTGGCTTCCATAATGACATGGTCAGGACTGAAGTTGGAAGAAAAATCAAGCCGTCCATTACACGGTGTTTGACTGAGTAAAGAACGCCTGCAGCAGAGCTAATTCTAGTTATATAGATTTAACATGAAGCCAGTGAAATTATTATGAAATTTTATGCTTGGACTCGAGGAAAAGAAAATAAATTGCTAACCCCTCATATATTTCCTGTCTGAACCTGACAGTAAACCACATATTTGCTATATAAAATGCAACCTAACATTTAGATAATGACAGGGCTTTGCTGCCCGTTCCTACAAGCCTCTAAACCTAGTGAAACTTGCCGATTCAGCGTCGCGTATATCATCATATCATAATACATGATTAGTCAAAACACTACGAAATTAAAACGTTCCTTATATCCAAAGGATGAATCAGAAAGCAAAAGGCACCTTTTAATAAAAAAATTCTATTTTGGTCTTCAGCAAAACAAATTTGACATGAAAATTGTTTGGTAAATGTGTAAACTGGTCCTACCGAATTGGCACCTCAAATGTAGAACCCATAATGGCAGATGAAATCTTTTGGGTCCAATTTTATTAGAGAAAAAGTCTTTTATTAAAAGAAATTGCATGAAAGATAAAATCTATATTTTAGTCTCAAGTTAAGCCTTATTTTAGTTCCCTACTTTCTATCTCGGATCAAGTTAAGCCTCAAGGATATTGCTGACGACTAATTCATTTACAAGCTATAAGCACATGATATCTTTCTCCAGTTAATCAGGAGTGTTGAGGAACAATCTAGAACAATGTCATATCCTAAACTATAGTTAATTATTATAATAGTTAAAGGAGCTGGAAAACTTGGCACGCTTTCTGATCTTTTCTACCTTGAATAATTATTTATAAAATTTAAAATTAATTTTCAGAGAATGCTTCTCTTTATCAACAATATTGACATTACTTACAACTGGAGTAAACTTATAAAGAGAAATGGGAGGAATATAAAATACCTGTAAATTGCCATCATGTCCAATCTACAAGCTTCAGGCTGACTGGCTGCTGTAGGGTTGGTCCTGTCATCTATGAAGCTGTCCAATGAATTGCCATCATCGTCATCTTCATCGTTAGATACACAGGCACCTGAAGATACCCTGTCGGTATTAAACAGCTCATGAGATTGGATATTCTCTTACAAACTGTCCATGATGTACAGATTATTTATTTCATAAATTAGTTTATCCTTTACTCCCTCCCATCCATTTAGTATCTTTAATGAAATTATATAAATTAATAAAGATAATTAATTTAATTAATTTTATTGATGTTTTAAAAAATATTACAACAATTTAATTTTACCCTTATTTAACATTATTGGACTTAATTCTATTATCCATATTTTATTTTTGAAAAATTTCTGTTTTCCTTGTTCGTTTTAATCTATGATTCTCACTAACTCATTTATTAAAGACAAATAAAAATATATATATTCATAAGAATTGTAAAATGCCTTATAATAAAAACTATCAAAACCTTTCAGATGGTGCCATTGAAACCATACTCTAACAACATAGCAAATATTGTTTGCCAAAAAAATGCTAAAACAGAGTATGAGAATGCAACATTCAGTGAGTCTTTAACAGCAGCTTACTCAGCTTCCTCCTCAATGAAGTCTCTCACATTGTGTGTCGATTTCCTTTTACCTAAAAAGTAAAAAATGAAACAGCACAGCTTTATGTTTTTATAAAACTTTCTAATAGAAAATAATTTTGTTAAATATATTTCCAATTGGGTTTCAAATAAACAAGATATGATCTAAAATACTTCAATAAAGAAAGCAACAAAGGATGCACTAAACAAACTAAAATCACCTTGGCCATGCTCATGTTGTGCGGGATTGCAGGCAGAAGATGATTTGAGAAAGTTTGCTCTTGAAGCAAAAAGCTTATTGTTTTTCAGGTTCATATTACTTTCAGTATCTTCAGCTTTCCGCAACCTTTTAAACTTGCGTGCAGGTTTAATGCTTACAGACATTTCACCACAAGCTGCATGTGATTCTTCACTGAAGCTAGGGTCCGTGAAATGAGTATGGCCTTCCTCAGTTGGAGAAAGGAAGATTCGTCGTCTTCTAACAGCACAATTTTTCAGCTCAAGTAAAGGTGACTGAGTTTCATTAACAACAGGGGAAGTACAGACCTGCTTACTGGTGCCATTATCAATGATGGCCTTCTTATTTTCCCTAGAACTTAAAGAACCAACATCCTGTTCTTCCTGGAGATGAACAGGCAAAATAAAGTCTCGTATGACAGACTTGTTTCTTGATTTTCCTGAAAATTTCAATTTATTTCAAGAACAAATTATTTAATCACATTCACACAATCAAAAAATTAATCACTCTCAAATATTGTAGACAATCAATTTATCACCTTGAAGACAACCACCTCTTTCTGCAATGGGAGACTCTGGAACAACACCGTTTCTAATAAAATTAGTTAAACGAGGACTAAGTTGTTCATCTCTCATGCCATTAGTGCATGCATCTGGAACCAACAAAGAGGTCTCCATCTCCTCAAAATTTACCATTTCATAAGCATTGTCTCCATTTGACAAGCTTCTCTTAGCAAGTGGAGTCTCAGGAATTGTCTCATCACCCTCACATGTTTCCTCTTGATGCTTACCCAAGTCACATAAAATGCTATCTTGTAGTGTTAGATCAACAAAGTCTTTGGTCTGAATCTCTAAATGACAAGAATCCAGCTCTAGACAATTAACAGAGATCACATCCGTTCCCATAGTGTGCCTTGTGCATGGTTCATTGTCTGAAAGTAGAGGATAAAAATCAAAGGAACCTTCCATTAGCTAGAGTATTCACAAATTTTCAATGTTATCACAGAGTTGCAAAATCTACACAAGTTGGAAATATGTTACTTCAAAGAAAGATTATTTATGATGAATACCAATGAAGAAGTAATTTTTTTAAAGTATAAGGTAAAAGTCATAATACAACTCTTTTCCATTGCAATGTTGACAATGGGGGCGCTCATTGTTTGGCTTTAAAATTTAGGGAGAAAATTGAACAGATGATATTACCTTTTTTAGCTTTATCAAGCTTGGTAACAGCGATTGGCTTACTATGTTCTAAACACAGACCTGCCTGAATCAATCAAATAGACACATCATTTTACTAAAATGAAAAAGACAGATCATAGAATGACTGCATTCATATTTGATATAATACAGTACTAATCCCAGAAAGGATGTAGAACCTGAAGTGAAGAAGTTTTGCTGTCTCCCTGAAATGATACTGATCCCTGTAAACGCTGCATCATGTCTATAAGCATCGATGTTTGACAGGAGTGCTTCACTTTATGCACTCTAGAAGCAAATGTCTGAAAGTGGGGAAAGGCAATAAGAGAGAGTCTACATTTGTTTTCCCCAGTAGGATGAAAATATGCTTCAAGTAAATCATTTTCAGCAACAGTGAGTTTGTCCTTTGATGGAGAAATGTGAAGTTGGTCATCTTTAACATTCTTTTGACGAGGAATAAATTTCTCAATGGACAGCTCAACATATTGAACTTCAGGTTTAATGATGTGGGGAATCTGAAAAAGTAATAAGTAAGATTTAGAGGATATGGATAAAAACCAGAAATAAAAAACAAAATAAGTTATCTAATGGTTTCCAACCATCCTGGGACTAGGATGAAAGTCAAAGCTATTTATTCCCCCATTTCGCATGTGTTTACTTATAGTCTTGCTCTTTGTCTGTTTTCGCAAGTAGCCCTTCAACTCTGTCCCTTCACAAGCTAAAACTAGTAATAATTGTTAAGGAATCATTGAAAAAACACTTGGAATTAAATTTTTTTGGAAAAACTAAAACTATCAAAAGTCCCAAGATGTTTTTCACCAAAATTGGTGGTGGAGAACCCCAAGAATATTTATTTCTTTTTCAACAGCAACAATTGCCAAGAAACAAATAAAACTGAAAATCAAAGGATATCAACTCGTCCATCATGCTTTCTTCCAGTTCTTCCCATTCGCTGAATCATTCTAAGTGGTGAAATATTAGCATCAAAAGATATGACAAGATCAACTTCCATGATATCAAGACCTTCTTCGCCAATTGATGTAGCAACAATGACATTGTAGGCTCCAGACCGAAATTTCTGTTGGTGAACCATATAAGTACATGGAAGAAGTATAAATATTATACCAGACAGAATAGTTACCTTCAGCACAGCCTGTTGAACTTTTTGGGACTGACCTTTCATTGCTTTCCCTGTAGAACATTAAAATGAATATTTTCTTTTACAATCGAAAGAGTTTATAATGATATAACAACAGCAACAACCAAGCTTTATCTCACTAGGTGAGATCGATTATATGGATCACATGATGTCATTGACCTCAGTCAAAAGGCAAATTTTCAGAAATATTATTAATCAAAATGTCTCTTTTAATAACTTCCTCTAAGGTTATGACATTTTCATTTTCCTCAAAAGTGTCTCCAAAGGTCTTCTTTGCACATGACCAAACTATTTTAGACGGTTTTTAGTCATCTTTTCCACTATAAGTATTATTCCAATATTTTGATGTATACTGTCATTTTTTATCCTATTCTTTCTTGTGCGACCACTCATCCACCTTAACATTCTCATTTATGTTACTCCCAATTTTTTTTTCATGTTCCTTTTAAGGTCCAACATTCTCTATCATCTAGGATAGTTGGTTATATTGCACTACGATAAAATTTTCCTTTCAACTTGATAAGTACTTTAGTGATAGAAATGTTGACCCACAGTGGGATAAGCTCAAAACTAAGGCCCTACAAGTATATTCCCAAAAAGCCAAGTCAGCTAAGGCTATTGAGCAAACATGAGTTAGTTAGAAAAGGTGTGATGTATTGGGTTGGTTAGAGGAGACAGAAAAGATAATCAGGTGTAAATATGGAAGAGCATCCATGTGAGGAGGGGGAAATTGATTTTAACGTATTGTAAGCCTTGGGCTTGGGCAAGGAGCATCCTCCTTTGCTGGGAGCAATTTTTCTCTTTCTGTTGTTTTTCTTTATTTTGCTTTTATTCAATAATATTGATCTTAGTTTCATAACAAATTGGTGCTTTCATTGAGAGATATTTTTTTAGGTGCTTGTTGTCTATGTGAAAACAAATGTTTTCTCAATGAATCGATGCTTTGGATACCCGCATTGCAGCTGTTGAGTTTGCTTTCAGAAATTAGGAAGAGTTGATGTGATCCCATTAGACAATGTTGAAGGAACCAGAGATTCGAATGTTGGACAACAAGGCCAAAATCAGTTTCCCTCACAGCAACAAGGAGGAACTGTGCGTCTAGCTAAACAAGGGGATATTTCAAATAAACATAGTGGTGGGAGTTTTCATTGAACAAGGAATCTTTCTTATCAAGAATTATGGATCGTCGAAATAAGGGTGTTTGTTTCAATGTGGACAACACTATAGTCCCACCCACCAATGTCCTGATAAACAACTCATATTGCTTATATGGGAGGATGAAGATACTATTGCATCTCATAATCTCAACTTTTACTCCATTCATCTAGCATATTTTTAAATCTCAAGATCTCATTAAAGAGCTAAGTGAGCCCTCAAGTCTTTGTTTTTCCAAACTTTTCCAAACGTGGGATATTATCAGAGCAACTACTTTACCATTGTCCATTCTCTCAAGAGCTTTTTTTATTCTCTAACTCAAATCATATAGTAATATGTCAAATTTAGATCATTCGCTTGCACTTCTAACTTTGCTATATTTCCATTTGCTCCATGTTCCTTATTAAAAAGTTTATAGAAATATTACTTCCATCTATCTTTGATGTCTTGATCCAAAATCAAAATTTTTCCTTCTTCATCCTTAATACATCTACCTTGATCCAAATTTCTAGGTTTTCTTTCTTTACATTTGGCAAGCTTGTAAAATTTTCTTTTACCATACTTTGTCTCTTGATCTTGATAAAACTCTTCAAAAGCCTGAAAACATGCTTCACACACTGCTTTTCTTTTCTCGTTTCTTGCATTCCAATAACTTACCAAATTTCAGCATTGTTGCATGCATGCCAAGTTTTAAAACACACCATTTTATCTTTAATATTCTCTTAAACACTTTCATTCCACTCCCATGATTCCTTATCTTTTGGTCTACGACCTCTAAATTTACGTAAAATTTTCTTGGCAACTTTCCTATCCTTCATAGACATTTTGTCCCAAAGGATGCGCAATTTTTGAAATCTCAACAATTAGAAGCTATGCTTGACTATTAGATTAAATATTTGTAAGCAAAGTACCTATTTGTTAGATGATTAGAAACTTGATAAATTGTCTCTCTAATAAAATGACAATTTCATGTTATTTACTATCATATGAGAATCCACATCTGTTCATAAAGAAATCAAGATCTTCTCAAATTAGCTTTTATACTATAATGTGTAGGGGTGTAAATGAGAATGACTTGAGCTTTTTCATGAACTATTTGAACTTGATTCATTAAATACTTGATCAAGCTTGTTTGTTTTAATACTTGACATGACTTGGTGCACTTGCCAAACTCGCAATCAAGCAATAATATTTTTTCTAACCATAAATTAAAAAACCTAGAGTATCTTTTCATCATTGAAGAAAAACTATGACAGCATAAACTTATTTTATGTATAATATTTTGATGACAGTTTATCTCAGGAAAAACTTCTATTTTCTCTTTCTTGTTCATATCTTACACAAAATACTGTACAGGTATTTACCTCCTTTGTGTTAAGACTTTAACCAGTATTTTAAGAAATCAGAAACAGAATATGGAACTATGGTTTACGTAATTGTCAATCTCATTGGTCATACTGTACCAAATAACATATGTTCAGGGGAATATCTGAGACACATTATGTTCTGCACACACACACAATTCGAAAGCAAAAGTACTGCCATAAATAGTTAAATACCTGAACTTTGACCAATAAACTGGGTAGCTTTGACTAATTCCCCAATACCTCCAAGTGCATCCATTATATCCCTGAATGCAATGAATGAACACAAGAAAATTCTCAAATTTGGCCAGAAGTTCCCAATAACAGCCGTAGAATAAGACAATGAAATGACTCAATTTTATTTTTTACCTAACACTTTCTCTGTAATTGGAGAAGATAATTACCCTGGAACTTTGAGGATCATTGGTTTCTGCAACCACGTCCAAAGATGTCATTTGCTCATCAGTATACATACTACATCGGTACATCCATTAAAAGAGTGTAACGAAAGTTTATTAGAAAAACAAAATCAAACTAAGATTCAGCCACAAGATTTTGCTCATTGAAAGTAGGCTGTACTCATATGGCTGAAATTTTATATCAAACTGTTTAAGGTTATTTTGGAACAGTCCTTTCAGTCAATTCTTTTAAAATTAAATTCAATTTGATAATAAGAATAATTTTAGAAAAGAAAAAGAAGGAAATCTAGAAAATCTTTACAACAGAAGAAACTAAAAAAGAATAGTCTAAAAAAATATGTCAAAATAATAAAGTCATCAAAAACTATGATCATTTTGAATTTCCATACACACAACTCCCTTAAGAAAACCCTCAGCTTGTTTGCATAAGATTGCTGATTAAGATTTGATAATTCTCTCCCATAGCTCAATGACATGTAGCTTGTAAGAGAAACTGTTGAACTCAAATTAGAAAAAAGGAGACAGAGAGAAAGATTGTATTTCTTGATTGATTGTGAAAGAACAGAAAAAAGGAGAGAGAACTCTCCTCCAAGGTTTTCCACCTTCACAAAGGGAAAAAAATAAATTCAAAATGATTATAGATCTGAATGAATTCTTTACCCTAAAATCCTCCAATTTATTTAACTCACTACCCCCTTAACTAACTAATTAATAGCATAATAATCTTAACTAATCTCGTAACTCCTAATACAAACATGGCATTTATAAATAAACTTTTTACAAACTTAAAATCGAGGCAACTATCAGATGGGAGGGATTTTTTTTTTGTCTGAAAACATTCTTGATAGATTTAAAATTTCTCATCTAGTGTATGCAATTTACCCAACACATCAAGAGTGTATCTTGATAAAAGATTACCCTCTTTCCTTCCATAGTCTCTAGGATTTAAAACACCATCAAGAAACAGAAAAAGTTCATACATAACATAACAAAATGTTTACCTAAACCTAAAACATATTATACTTCTTTTTTACACGTTATAAGCACATGAATGGGAAAAAGGAAATGAAGAGGTTACACAGAAACAGCAAATCTGTACCACAGCAGTAGAATAGACTGGAATCACAGGTAGAACAGTATTATTAATCAAATAAACTGAAGCAAACTCAGGAAATAAACAAGAGATAGATCAACTACTAGATCACAGGGAAAGAAAACAAAAAAAATATTGCTGTGGTGTTGCATTTGCTGCTGCTGTCTTCCTTTTAAATCAACTTCCAATCACAATGACAGAAAATTCCCCTCTCACATAAAATCCCTTCTCAGTAACCATTTTGCTGTAGTGAGTTACTCTTTCTGGAATATTCTTTTTATTCCTCCTCACATAACACTTCAACCCCTTTGGCCACAGTCATAGATACGCCCAAGATCCTTGGATTGGGATTGTGTATCAGTTTCACATTTGTATTGATCTTACTCTATGCATGATACCACAAGAATTTCTATATACACCTCTACTCTAATTCAACTACCATGTAATAATGTTTTAGTATATGTAGCTAAATGTGTACAACTAAGTATTTTTCATTTTAAAAGAAGACAAAATATAGTTCTTTGAAGTTTGAAAATCAATCCAAATTCAAACTTATTGTTTCTACACCTTCCAAAAAACTGACAGCCTAGTGCCCTTGACACATCACAACTGTTAGGGACCAGAAAATAGACTGCAGAATTGATTTAAAAATCTGGGAATGATTGTATTATTTGATGTAAAAGAAAGCAATACAGGAGGAAAAAAGCATCCCACTGCCACAGAGCACAGCTCCTTCAGAGAGGCTATAGCCCTCTGCTCATAACAGAACTTTCCCGTAAAAACCTGCCCCCTCACTCTCCCTTACTCATTCCCTATATACACCAAATCTTCATTCCCCACTGTTTGGCAATTCTGTTACAACTCCTGCCACCTCATCTTCTCTATCCTTAACCCGGTTTCTCCTAACATACACTCTCCATACCTTGGGCCTTTCCTCACGGTCCAAGCCCACATGTCCACTCCTATCAACAAAAGACCAAATTATCCCAAGAAAACCAAAAGAGATCAAGTTAATGTCTAGAAAAATTTGGCAACTAGACAATGCAAAAGATGATCAATTGCTTCCTTATTACAATGACACAGGCAACACTAATAAAATTAACTTAAGACTTTTATTACTTCATGTATGGTAACCGCAGCTGTCTACAAAAAGAGTGAAGGTTTTAAGTAGTCTTTTGATTCCTCTTTCCACTCCGCTTCATAAAAAATGGAGGTAGCATGGAAAAACAATTTTGCTAATTACTATCAGCTATATCCTCACAAAGTCCACAGTCATTAAGCAAAATGTCAGATGAACAGGAACTTCCATGATGCAACTGACAATAAGGCAACAACTTAAGAAAGCAAACATGAATACACAAACCTCACATCAACTAATCCCTTTAAGTGAAAAATTGGAAAATTAACAAGATCATTTAGAGAAACATATAAACAGAAAACACAAAAGAACCAAAACTTGATTATTATTCTAGAGTCCAACTTAAATTTCATGAACTTTGCAAAATTGCAATCCTCTCTAATGTATCAGGGATGTGTTCAATTAATCTGTTTAATTAAGAATTTATTTAATAACAACTTATTACATAAGAGTTTATTCATAAACTTGACTGTGAAACTTAGTTAAGTTCATAAGCTTTGTAGAAGCTCTTCCAAACGCCTCCTCTGTCAATCTGAAAGAAGCGTAAGGAACATCCTTTTAATAAAACTAGAGCTGTTAAACTAAATGTTATCATTAAACTCCTGCAGAAAACTCATAACAACCAGCCCTTTTATGCAAGACAATTTCTATCACCAGATATCAAGAACAATTTTGACGAAAAATTAAGCATGAAAAAGTCATAGACAAAATTGATGATAAATTAACAGCAAATTCCCTATTTAAATTAACTAGTCAGCATGGTCAGTCTTCAGTTGCAACTTGATATTCTTAACCAGAAAATGTTGTGAGAGCTGAGAAGTTATTTATTTATTTTATCTTTCTTAAGAATTCAAAACTTTCTTTACACTACATTATTGTAACAAACTAGAAGCAAATACTAACACCCTTGATAATTTACAGAAATTAAACTCTGCACTTGACAAACACAATACTACTCACTGAAATGCTCCAGTAATACTTCTAGCATTTTCGACAACTTGGGACTTGATGCTCCATGAGACAAGCTTTGCTGCATCAGTTGCCTTGCTTTCACAATAACTTCATTTTTACTCATAAATTTTGCAAAATACCTGAATGAAGGTATCTTTAAACAGAATCATTTAACTGAACTTTTAAAGATATATAGTTTGCAGAACATGTCATGCATAACAAATAAACTATCCCTACTATTGAGAAGGAAGAGGAATTAGAGACATAGGATGAATTTGTGTCTGAAGAACACAACAAAGCATATATTTATATTGATAATGGTAATAATTACAGAATATTTATAAAATATTTAATTATCTAATTAACATAATTACAAAGATAAACTTCCCTATTACTATTATTACATATATTTAACACTTACAAAGCCCTTAATAAAATAAAGTAGAATTCAATAGACAAGCAAAACTCGGTTGCAGCCGTTTTTTTTTCCTCTAAAAATATCATTGTCAAGTCTTTTTAGTCCACTTCCCTACATATCAACTACGATAACCAATGTTGTCAAAATCATGATTATAATTGTAGGATCATACGATCTCACTGTGCCTCTGCAATTTGCATCGGGAAGAAGATCAGAACAGTGTAGGATTGTCTCGGATCACAAGATTGTCGATCCAATCCGATCCTTTGCCTCTTCACTGGGTCAGGTTGGGTTTTTGGTTCTAGGTTTCGCGACCTGGTTTTTTAAAACCAATTTCTTGGGCAATTTTTGGCCCAATTTTAGACATCGAAGCCCTTTTTCTTGTGCATTGCCCTTTTTCTTCAACCTAGGTCATGATTTCTATTCGCGATGCTCCTTGATTTTCGTCCTTTGTCCTGTGTTTGTAAATCGTCCTCCATGAGTGCGAGGAGGTGTTGTTCCTGTTCTGTTCTGCCTTCTGCAAATTGCCCTCTTTGAGTGCAAGCCAGTGAGGTGGTGTTCTCTTCTCTTTTGCGAGTGCTATTTCTGTTCTATGACCAAGTTGGTGTTCCTGTCCTGTGAGGCTGCGAACTTTTTTCATCTTCTAGTCTATTCCCAATCTCTATTCTACAATATTTTGTACTTGGGCTTATGGCTTATAATTCCACGACTGTTAAGAATGAGTTTAGTGGCAGTGGAAAGGGGAAGGAGGTGCAATCTAGTGGAGTTGCAGGGAGTGGGATTGTCAGTGGAACTGGGAAATCAAAACCAAACAAAAGTTTTGCTAGAACAAGAAATGAAGTGGCTTGGAACCATGGTATTTCTGTTTTTGGAGATACTAAAAAAATTAAATACAAGTACTATGAAAATCAATATACTGGAGGTGTTTATCACTTCAAACATCACTTGGCAGGAACTAAGCCAAATGTTGGAGCTTGTGTGGGCCCTGATAATGTTTGAAAGCAAATGTGGGACATTGTTATTGGATTGCAAAAAAAATGCATACATAAAACAAACACACAAGAGTATGAAGGAGAGGCAAGCAAAAGTGACATTGGTAAATCTGAATATGTAGGAAAAAGAAAAATACAGCCAGGTGGTTTTGAAACTCCTGCAACCCTTTTCAAGAAAAGGAGAATGACCACTCAAGCTACAATTAACTTCATTTTTAAGCAAAGTTTGAGAGAAGATGCATTTTTAGACATTGCTTCATTTTTCTCCAACAATGCAATATTTGAAGCATGAGATTCAGGTCGAATATTTGAAACAAAAAGTTGAGGAGATAAACGAAGTTTTAGAAGATCACAAACCTTGTTAGAAGAAAACCAGATGCACCATAATGATTGATGGATGGACCAACACGAGAAGAACTATACTTAAATTTTTTATATAATGATGTATCTAATATGCAAAACAGTAAACAAAAAATTTGTGATGATAAATGAGGTTGTTAAAGAAGTTGTAGAGTAGAATGTGGTGCAAATTGTGGGAGACAATGCTGCAAATTACAAGGCACAGGAGAAATGTCGATGGAAAGAGGAAAAAACTTTATTAGACACCTTGTGTTGCACATAGTATTAATCTTATGTTGGAGGATTTTGATAAGAAAATTCATTACATAAAAAAACTATTGCAAGCGGTAAAAAAATCACAACTTACATCTATTCTAGAATTGGTCTTATTTCTTTATTGCATTATTTTACTACAGGAGAAGATTTGATTAGACCTATAATTGCACATTTTGCAACTTCTTACTATGGGATGCTTGAATGATGATAAAGGATCAATATTGAGAATGTTTACATCCAAAGAATGGAAAGATAGTAAGCTTACAAAGATTAAGGGTGAAAAAGTTGTTGAAAATCTAGTTGCAAATAAGGAGTTTTGGAAAGATATTCTAAATTGCTTAAGGTATGTTTATCCCCTAATTATAGTGTTGCGTCTGGTGGATTCAAAAGACAAGTCAGTCATAAGTTTCATTTATGAAGAAATAGATCAAGCCAGGGAGAAAATTCAAACCAACTTCAATGGTGTTAAATATATATATATATATATATATATATATAATACATTAATTCAATTTTATAATTTATAGCTTTGGTTTGAAATTTATTTTTTATTTTTTTTAAATCTCTAGTTTCATGCCACTATAGGAGATAATTGACAAGAGATAGGACAACCAATTACATAACTTTTGCATACTACAGATTACAGGAGATAATAGTGTTAGTAGTACAATTACACTTATGGATGATTTGGACCTACCTCTTGTTGATAATGAGGAGGATGTGGATCCTATTAATAAAGATGAGTAGCCTGATTGAAGCTTGAAAAATATATTGGAATAGATTAATGTTAGTTTAATAGACTGGAAAAACATGTTAGTTTGACTAACTATGTGTTGTATTGGATCTTAAGTGTATGACTTTTAAGTTTATATTTAGTTAAATTATGTGATTTAGAGGTTAATTTCTTTATTTATGTTATTTTCTATGCTTATGTATATGTGTAAGTATAGTTGTGTATGTTTGGGAGGGAGGATGTTACGATCTTTTATCCCCCTCCAGATCTTATGTAAGATCTTGATTTTGACAACATTGAAGATAAAAAAGGTAAATGACTTTACATTTAATAAAACTTTGACCTTCAATTCAGCAAAAGGAAAATAGGATCAACTACCAATGATCACTGTCTTCAAAATCTACTTCAACCATGTACACATAGATATATTACAATTTAGTGGTATAAATATGAAGATTTTACTATAAAAAAATGTATAATATGGAATGTCTCAATTGCATATAAAAATTAACTCAATTCTAGCTTTTGGGAAACAGTTATTGGCAACTGATGGACATGTTTTTGTTGTTTTGGATGACTTAATGGCTTACCTACCTAAGATGCTGATATAGAATTCTTTTGCATGTGAACATGGAAATCCTGCTAATTTTGTTTAATGTTATAATACCAAAAATTCATTGCAACAAGCGAACCACATGGCAAGAGAGGAATCAATAATAAATGATGTTTCACAATCAAATCAACACTCCTGAAAAGTCTGTGCTGCTGACCTATGTCCTTAGATTTGGCCCTCTGCTATTTTTATAGATATTTTATAATTTAGATACTTTCTTTTTCTGCCTCAACATTTGATACCACCAGTGCATTGGTCTTTACCTTTAATTAAGTTCTTATATTGCCTCATGGGTAAAAAAATCATATATGGAAACAGAAAAACTAAACATAACTTCCTTAATGTCTTCACTAACTTAGCTTAAATAGAAACTGTAAATAGGCAGTATACCCTTGCTTCAGTTTTCTTTCAAGCATCTCATATGCTGGCCTTATTCCATGACTTGAAAGCAGCTTATGGATGTAATAAAGAGTAATAAGAACTCCAAAATACCCTTCAACATCTTCATAATTGACATGAGAAAGATCTTGTCTAGGCCCCTGACGAAACTTTTCCCTTATCTCAAGCAATACACAAGGGCTCAACTGCCAAGCATGCAAAAAAAAAAACTAATGATTCTGCTATATCATCAATCCTAAGTAATTTTGGCAAATGGTAATACAGACCAACAGATCGGACAAATAACAGTAAAAAGCTAATAAATCTTACAAACAATAGCTAAGAAGGCTATGAAAATAGGGTGAGATTCAAATTACCCCAAGAGTAACTCTTGTCAAAATTACTCCACTCAATAATTCTTTATAAACATTAAATTTCATTAGTCTAACTGTTGTGTAACGTGATATTAACCTGTTGATGATACATACCAAGTTTTAGATATATTAGACAGTCATAAACATGTAATTTAATTATCAACATTTACTTATATTTTAAAAAATATATTATATTTTAAAATAAAGTTGCTCGACAAAGCAACAATTAGTTTAAATTTGTATGAATTTTTGTAAATTTGATTTACTACATAAGAATTTCCACTTCATTAACAGGATTGATGGAATTTAATGTTTATAAAGAATTATTAAACGAAATAACTTTGATATGAGTTGCACTCAAATAACTTGATTCTGACCCTAAAACATTAATCTGTTTCAAAATGTTGTTCGCACAAATCAACAACAACAATAACCAAACTTTATCTTGTTAGTTGATTTCAGCTACATGGATCATACGATGCCATTGAATTCGGTCAAAAACCAAAATTTCAGAAATATGGTTAATCAAAAGGTTTCTTTTAATAACTCCATCTAAGATTTTTTTGAGTCTCTCTTGACCTTTTTTTACTGGACTAAAAATCATGCAATCGACTCTCATCATTGGTGTCTCCAAAGATTTTTTCTACACGTGACTAAACCATCTTAGATGATTTTCAATCATCTTTTCCACTATAAGTGCTATTCCAATATTCCTTGTATACTATCATTTCTTATCTTGTCTTTTTTTGTGCGACCACTCATCCACCTCAACATTCTTATTTCTTTCACTCACTTTTTTTTTCATGTTGTTTATTTAAGTCCAACATTCACTATCATATAGGATAGTTGGTCATATTACAATACGATAAAACTTTTCTTTCAATTTGATAAGTACTTTACGGTCACAAATAACTCCTAATGCCTTTTGTGCAAATCAGATAGATAATAAATATTAACAAAAGACATAGTTTACTAGAATCTTATCAATGAAACTATAAAAAGAGAACAAAAAAGGCCTATCTGCAATTATCTAATCCCTTACATAGATTTAATAGATTTGAAGTATTCTGAATATTTAAAGTGGGCTATCTTGGATTTCATTGACATCTAACTAGTCCTCTAGCTCTTTGATACATATTATATTCTTGAATTTGTACATGAGAGCATCCACAACAATTAGAAGTTCAAACCCAAATGCAGCAGCACAACAGTCACGTACTTAATGTGTACAAGCCCAATGAAGCTTATAGATTATCCTGTTCCTGTATCACATCTTTTTGTCAATGGATGTTATTTGTTAGGACCCTATGATTTACACTACAAAAAACAATAATTTATATCAACTAAAATGAAGGATTACAAAGCCAATATTTTGATAGAAGTAAATCCTAACCAACCAAGAGCCTGATTCCTTCAAAGGCATGCTCTAGGCACTCTCTCCATGCAAAAAATCGCTTCACAACAAACTAATACAAATCTACCACCACTATACCCTATCACCTTATATTCTCTTTCATATGTTATGCACACTATCTCCAATTGTAACCAACTTGCACCTTTCATTTATTTACGGTACAGCTTGTAAGAACTTTGAGAGAACCATGCTACAATAGCTAGTCATTGTAGTTGTAAAGTCCAAGACCTTATAAATCCTACACTAGAATCTCTTACTTTGAGTTTAGGACTCAAGTCTTATATCTTGTAATTAGATTATAACATTCAACTGCAACCCAAAGTCTCAGTGTTCACGCTGACTGGGTATGCACTAGTCCCTTGACTAGCTTTGGGTGAACACCGCAATGCCAGCATTACCACCAGCGCCATTGAGAGACCTTATGTAAGCTCTGTTACCAATTAATAAGAATCTTGAGAGAACTATACCACTAAAGTTAGTCGTTGTAGTTGGAAAGCTCAAAACCTTATAAATGTTACACTAAAATAAAATCCTATATTGAAATGTGAAACTCAAGTCCTATATCTTAGGATTGAATCCTAACATGGCCTTTTTACCTAGGTCCTATCACTACTTCTATTTAGTTCACAGGTTGCCATCCTTGCAAGAAAGTAGGAGGGGGCATAAACTAGAAATTAAAAAAAAATAAAAAGTTAAACACGTATTTGGTACGAATTAGTTTATGCCCTTAAAAAAATTATATTTTAGTCCTTAATTGAGTGTTTCATTACATTTTGATCCTTGTGGTAACACTGATAGAAAAATATTGACATGCATAATGAACAGTAACTTATACTAACTTTGTTATAATGATAGAGACTAAAACGTAACAAAATATTCATATAAAGACTAAAACAAAAGTGTTTTGAATATACGAACTGATAAGTAAATGAATGTTAACTATAAAGACTAAACGTGTATTTTAACCAAAAAACAATAAAAAAAACTCAGCTGAGTGTCTAAGGTATCTTTTAGTCAGTAGGAAACTCCATACTTCCTAACTTAAAAGGACCTCTTAGGATTCTCTCCTAAAGTACTTCTATTAAATAAAATTAACAATTGCTTATTAATGCTTGGGAATGGTGGTGTCAATAATGTTAGGTCAGAATTACTCTAGCTTATATAATGTGAATCCATATTCATGTAAATGTAATATCCTAACACATCCTAAATTTTCTTATATTTCTTTTTAAACTTTCTATGAGCACTCAATACAGGACAATCATAAATTTGCACAACAATACTGTTTGATCAATTTACTTCATCACTATAACCATCACCTAATTGACCTCATTTACTTTTTACTTACCAACCCTACGGATATACTGCTATTCAACATCTAGGGTGTATGTAACATACAAAAGGGCTTTCTTAATTGGACAATGGGTTTGACAATTGAATGGATTCTAAGACAGAAACAGAACAAATCACTTAAGCATAAAAGATAACACCAAGATCCCACAATTTTATTACTCTTTTACTGTGTGTATCTTAGATATTAATTTCTCTTGTCAATTGTTTCATGATTCCAAACAATTACTTGATTATATTAATATTTATATTGTGAAGAATTGATGAATGTAATAAGCCAACTTTAGATTATCCCTCAAAAGGTGATGAAAGTAAAAGTGAAGGGGAAACATGGACATAATCGATACTTAAATATTTCTTTGCTGTACTTTAGTAGAAATCACTAATAAGTCATGTAGTTATATCTGACAATAGTTAGAGCTATCTGAAACTGGTAAAAAAAAATAAAAATAAATAGAAGGTAAAGAGCCTTACAGTGCGGTAATCTCTATTCTGAATGACACCAATATTTGTAAGCTTAGCTACTATAGGGCGTATTACTTCCATAAACTTACTGTTTATTTCTACAGCATCTTGGCCCATTGCAACCTGCTTATATTGCAACAAATATATCTAGAAAACATAAAAATATAACATAGATTCCAAATAGGCATGCATTGGCTACCTGTATTAACTCTACCCTCCTATTATGAACATATGAGATAACGTCATGGTCAGTTTCACTACGATATTCGAGCTTTGAGATTTGCAGATTATCAATGACAGCCTGGACGGTCTGCTTCTTTGCTGAATATCACGCATAGAATTAAAGCACTAATTTTCAAAAGAAAAAATAAACTTGAAAAGAACACAAGATTATCACAAACATACCACCAGGTGTTGCAGTTAACGCCAATATTCTCAGCTGCACTGGTACAGCCATTAACTAGAAATCAGAACAAATTAACAGGAATAAATCAATTATATGTTGTATATGCAACAATGAACATATTCTATCAATAAATTCCAGAAGTAACTCAAAACCTCTAAGAGAATCAAACCTCACGAACTGCTTCACAATAAGAGTAATTTCCCATTGCTCTATGAGCTTCATCAACCACCAAACATACCAAGTACTTCACCAAACATGTACCTGAAACATTAAATCATGCACAAAAACAAAATAAAGCTAGAGAGCAATACCAAATGAAGCAAAGTATATGAATATAACACAAAAATTAATATCCAGAGAAATGTTACAAAAATGAAATATGATATTAAAAAATCACCGGAATGAATATCCTTTTCCAACACTTGTGGAGTGACAAAGAAAACTCGCTTTGTTTTCCAAAATTGAGCTCTTTTGGGAGGACTTAGTTGACCAGTCATATCAACTGTCCATTCCTGCAATTAAACCCACCAAGATATTTCAAAAATGTCATCAAAGAAAAGGTGAAGATGAATAAGAAGTAAGAAAAGTTATTACTTGAGGTATTCCCACAATATTATGGCATGCTTCTATCTGCTGCATGACAAGTGGTCGAGAAGGAGCAGCAAAGACTATTTTTCCTGTTGTGAAAGTAAGCATCAGATGGTTATCTCAATTAAAATGTTAGGTAATGTCTGTGGCATTGAAGGTCAGAGTAAAAGGAGATTATGACGTGTAACGGCAAGGGCAAGGCATATGAAACAATAAAACTTGTGTATACACAGAGCAATCAACACATTACCTTGAGGAAACCATCTGAAGTAGTTATACATAACAACGGCTGCAATGAGAGTTTTGCCTAGTCCTGTGGGCAAGGTCACCAATGTGTTTGAAAAGAGTGCAGACTGAGTAATATGAAATTGGTAGTCACGGAGAGGAACATTGACTGCAATGCAAAGAATGAAAGATTAAAATTCTTCAAGTTGAAATTGAAGTCAAAACACGAACCAACACAGTATATCAAAGTCAGCACTCTACTTGGATATATCCAAGTTTTGGCTGCCTCCGTGTCAATGTGGTGGAAGAAGGTAGATCCTTCATCGTCTTCTTGGAATTGCGGGGTTGGAGTTTCCTTCTTGGCATTGGCAATAGACACGAACGTATCGAGAGTGGATTGCTTTCTCTTCTCAGAAACCTTTCCCTTTTCCTTTGCGTCACTGGTCATTTGGCAAACTACGTCGATTTCTCTGGCAGCAGCTTCCCAATCAAAGCCCTAAAAAGATACATTAACAGCGGAGAGAATAGGAGTTTAGTATGAATTTGCAAGGAAGCTATTTTCCGATTTGCATACCTCATCGTCCATGATCTCATAGGGGTTATTGGATGCCATTCGATAGTTCAGATTTTAATTTCGATTCCGATTCATTTGCTCTGCCACTGCTAGAGGAAGATAAATGCTATGCGCTTAAACACTAATTTTAATTTAATTGAAAATCCTTCTCGCGAGCGTCACAACAAAAATTAGAAAAGAAATACACGTTGGCGCCAAAATGTTTATTGAAAACTTGCTTCCATTCCCAGCCTCCGAGCCCGTGGGCTGTCATCAACACCGGCCCAATGATGATAAAAGTTTATATTACTCCATGACAAAAAAACGTAATTTTTATAGTATCTTAAATATTGAGAGGCTATTTTATGCCTTTTTATATAAAATAATTATAATCATTAATATTATATTAAATATGTATAATAGATATTCAGAGTTAGAAGTCTATTTTTAAAAAATATAAATATTTTTGAACAATTATAATCATTAATTTAAGAATGGTGTAAGATGTTCTTTGAGTAAATATTTACTTTAGTTCTTGAAATATACAGCATCAATCAAATTAATTTCTTATATGTTAAATTTTAATTTTAGTCTCTAAAATTAACAATCATCAATCACATTAGTTTTTACTGTTAAAAGATCTTAAAATTTAGTAACGGAATAATGATTTGTTACGTTAGGTAACATGTGGCAGTGACACAAAACAACCTTCATTTTGTTGTTTTAGAACTACGTCATTTTATATCACTGTCACATGTCACTTAACATAATAAATCATTGTTCTATTATTTAATTTTAATATTTTTTTATGGCAAAATTAACATGATTGACACATGACATTGATACAAAACAATATCGTTTTAAAATTTTCCAAAATATATCATTTTCATCCTTGAATTTTAACATTTTTGAGTAATGAGGTCGCTTCTCATCTTCTACTTCTTTTTCTTCTATAAAATCTTCTTCCTTCCTCCACTGGTATAATGATGTTCACAGTGCTCCTTCATTTTGAGTTTCTAACTTGAACCATCAGACCTTAGTTTCAAATATGTGGATGGACAACCAATTGTTATCAATTTAGTGAATAAGTCTCAATATGTGGAACATTAACAATAATGTGAGTTCTTGTGAAAGTTGTCACTTATGAAACCTTCACAACCCTTTACAATTATTTTTTTATAGTTCAAAATCTCTTTGAGGCTAACAATGGGTAGATTGCCCTAATTTTCCTTGAACATATTGATAGTTTTATTATTCCTACACCTCACAATTTTTTGCACCAGTTACTAAAGGAAGGAAGAAGATGTCATAGAAGAAGAAAAAAATAAAAGATAAGAAAAGACTTTATTATCAAAAAAATGTTAAAATTTAGGGACGAAAATGATTTATTTTTTGAAGATTTTAAAATAACGTCATTTTTATCACTATCATGTGTCACTTAATGTGAAAAATCATTACTCTATTACTTAATTTTAACGTCTCTTAACAATATAGATTAGTGTGATTGACGATTGCTAATTTTAGGGACTACAATTTAAAATTCAAAGGACTAAATACAGACGAGTTACATATTTTTAAGACTAAAGTGTTAAGGTTTATTCGATGTTCTTTTCAAGTTCATGAGCATGATAACAAGTAAAAAAAAAACTTATGTAGCTTGAAGGAAAAAGGTTGTTTGAATTAGTAAAATAAAGAAAATATAATTAAGTTTGTTCTATTATTGTATTTCATTACTTATGTATTATTTTTTATTAATTTATAATTCAATTTCATATTTAAATATAAATATAATTAAATTAAAATTATATTAATAATATTTAAATAAAATTATAAATTTAAATATCATATTACTATCATAGTCATTTTTGTTTTAAGTCTTGTGTAACATTTCAAAATTTTCATGCAATGAATTTTAAATACTGATTATATTTTTAATTATTATGTTTTTGAAATTTGTTAAGTTATAAGTGAAAAGACCTAAATGTCTTTAAGTGAAGAAATTTAGAAGTAAATTTTTAAATTAACCTCATTTATGGAAGTAAAATTACCAAATTGTCCCTAAAATGAAAATATGCTTGGTTTGATAGTAATTTTAAGCAACTTGGAGGGTTATTTTTGGTCTGAGAAATGGCGGCACACACATCCTTCATGATGAAGGAGTTTATGGGAGTCAAAGTGGATATAAATTAAAATAAAATATTGCTTTTATCCTTAATCAAGTGTTAATTGAAAAAAAAAACATTAAAATTTTATCCAGAAAACTAATTAGATTTTCTTCTTTAGTTCAAAATTAATGGAGTAGTCACTTTCTTCATGTTTTAGGACTCTCAAAGGCCAAAAAGAGGATGAACTTTGAATTATAATAATGCTTGTTATCCAAAAATAAAAATTTTCTTAGCAAATTATTAGAATTTTATCACTAAGCAGTTTTTCTCTTAGTTTCTTACCTTATCTTCGTAACTACCTCCCAGAGCTTGTGAGCAGCTGGTCTTGCACTAGTTTGAAGGACAATAAAGCTTGTCAATTCAACCAAAGACCATGGAATATGAGGTAGCAATTTTGGTGGAGATGGAGGTACAAAAGAGTAACCAAACTAGCCAAGAAATTAATGGGTATTTAGGAGCTTTGGAGGTAGAGAACAATGGAAGAAAATTTAGGTGCAGCCATTTACAACCATCATAAGCATGGACGGCCACCATAGGGAGCAAGAAGGAACCACTTGCATGGCACTTATAATTCAATGGAGGTTCAAAAATTAGTTGAAATTTAATGTAAAATATAAGTAGTTTAGTTCAATTCTAACCAAATGAAGCTAATTCTATTTCATTCCTCTAACCAAGTAATAATGATTTAGCCACTATTTTGGCTACAAATAGAGGTCTATGACCAGTTTGAGACTTACCCTAAACCTTCATCTATTTCTCTCTTTCTTTGCTTGAAATCAAGTTCTTGTTCTTGCAAGGTTTCAAAACTTTGAGACTTCTCTTGAAATCTTTCTTGCCAATTTGAAATACTCCTTGAATAACCTTGAATATCTTCAGTGTTGTTGAGTGCTCATATACTACCTTTAAGTGTTTTTGATCCATAAAACCTTAAACACCTTACTTCAATCTTGAGAAGACCTTCCTTACCTTGAATCCTTGGGTTTAGGATTCTATCCCTAGAGACTTTAAGCTTTTATTCTTCATCTCAACTATATAACTTGTAGACAAGGTAGGAGAAAAACTCTTATTACGTAAAAATAATATCATTAGAAGCAAAATGATGGAATTTTCCTTAAATCCCATAGCTAAGTTAAAATGGATTCATGAATATTGGTTATGTTGATTCTACAACTTATTCTAACCTTGTTACTGAATTATTGTTATTTGAATAAAGTTGTAGAGAATCAAATGCTTGGTACTTTAATTGAACATTAACAAAGAACAAAAAGATGAAATCTCCCTAGAATCTTTCAATTTAAGTTAAAATGAAACTAGAAACATTTGACATATTGATTTCTCGATTCTAAAAGTGTTTACTCTTACGTGTTCAATATCTTGATTCTATGATTCACACATACATGTTGGTTTTGATGATGTTATGACTTGATGTGTTTGAAATAAATTGATTTGTTTAATTCCTTGATTCAAATCTTAAGTTGATTTTCTACATTATTTTTAATACTTTTGAATTTTTTCTTAGTGTATTGAGAATTTTCCTTGATTTGTTGAAGCTAGTTGTTAGTTGATTTGATTTGTTCAAGTTTATTGTCACTTGAGTTAAAGTTCTAAGTATGTTTTATTTATAGACAAACATAGATTTGTCCTTATGAAATAATATTGTTATAGGTTTGTTTGAGTATTACATGATGTAGTGAATTTGTGATAGCAATCTTTCCGGAAGATACATAATAAGAAATTATAAAATAAATGGATTGGAATTGTATTGATTTTGCAATTTTTGGAAAGAAACCTCTTTTTGATTGATTAAATTTCATCATGTGATGATACATGCTTGATAAGATAGTATATGCTCTAATGAGAAAAACATTTACTTTTATTTTCTTTTTGATATTCTATGATTGTTGGTATATTTTTTTTCTCAACTCTTTGATTTATTTATTAATGCCCAGGTTTAACATGACTATGCATTAGAATGAAATTGGAGCATTGTTTCATAATATGGAAAGCAATAGCAATAGCTATTGGAATGACTTCTTGCTTATCCTTTCCCTTTTATCTTGTAATTTCACCTAACTTAGTCACTGAGACGATCACATTTTCCCAAGACGAAATTGATCTCTTTGGCCTAGGAGGAATAGAGAAGGACATAGTAGGAGAGAAGAATCTTTTAATTGGAACCTTTATAGAAGAAATTGGAAAGTCTAGTGAGAGATGTCTGCTAAAGAGAAATGAGGTTTATGAGAATGAGTACATAAAGAATGTGCATTATCATAAGTAAGGAGAAAGAAACTTGAAACTTGCATTATGTATGTTTTGTGTGCGGTCTAAGCCAAGAATGTAAGATAAAATAATACCTTAGTTTTATATAAAAGTTGTGTAATATAAGTTGTTTTATGTTTTCTTTTATTATGCATTTATTATACACCTTTACTATAGTCACGTGAACATATATAAAGCAACAATGTTTATTTAAAGGATAATGTGATGGAAAGAAAATTTAAATAGAGGTAAAGAAAATGAATTAGGCACTTCATTAATAATTGATAAAGTGTGAGATTAATTGGTATAAGAGATATGTAGATATTTTGTGTTAAAAAGAGTGTTATATGTTTATATAATTTAGTAGTGTCAAGTTTTACTAATTTAGAATGATACTAATGAAAGATTTAACATTCAATTTATGCAATATGATACAAGACATATTGGAAGATAAGATACAGAGTGATATAAAACACCTTATACTTTATTTAAAAGTTAAGTTAATTTCTAAATTTATAAACGAGAAAAATTCAATAAATTGCCTGTAATATAATAGTATAATATAATTAAATTGTGTATATCATAAATTATACAGTAATGTTAATCTAAATAAGAATAAAATGTCAAATTATATAGTAATAGTTCATTTAAATCATAATAAAATGTTGTTTAAGTTATACATTAAAAGTCAAACACTACCAAGTGAAAAAAATATACTTGTATTTTCATGATCAAGGATAGTGTAAAAAAATGAAAAATTTTCTTCACTTATTTAGATGAGTAAAAAGAGAAATAAACAATTAAATTACATTTAAAATAATTATAAAAAATTGTTAAAAATTATTATTCTTTTCATAATAAAAATATTTTTATATTATATAAATTTTTTAATAAAAATAAAATTGATATAAATTCACTGTGACCTTCGTTATCTCTCTTCTCCCTCTCAATTCCTCTAATTTTGAATTTTTTTTTTATGATCCATCCTTAAAATTTATTTTTCTATCTGCCTTTTCCTATATTTTAACACGTTATTTCTTTACTTTCCTTCATTTTCTTTCTCTTTTCTTCCTCTTTCTCCATTTAAATATAATGTAATAGATTATTATTTGCATTATTTTTTTATTGTAACTTTCAAAATTTAATTTTTAAAAGTATACAAATATTAAAAAAAAAAAAGTAACTTACAAATAACATTCACAATTTGATTTTTTTTAAATATATAAAATCACTTATAGGATTTAATTTTCAAAATTAATTTATAAATGATTTTTAAAATATAATTTTCAGAGTACAAATTTTTAGAATTATATTTTGAAAACAATTTATAAATCATTTTGAAATTTAACTAAATAATGAGATCTTAACTAAATAATTTTAATTAAGTCTATGAATTACAAATAAATATTTTTTATAGAAATTAAAAAACCACCATTTTCAATAAACGAAAATATATTTAAGCTTATCTTTTAAAATTTATTTGTGCCTGCATGTTTTATTTGTTGAAAGCTTAAGAAAATAGCCATGTCATTTGATCACACACCGAAGTAGAGTCCAGAATTAATAGAATAATTATTCTAGTAAACTTTATACGTTTGTGTGGATTTCTATAAAATGACGATAAATAATAAGGGAGACAATTGAAATATGAAAAAATAAATATTAAACAATGTCTTAGGATGTTAGGTAAGAAATTAAAAAAATAAAAATAATAAATAATAAATATATATATATATACCTTTTTTTTATAATTTTCAAAAAATAATTTTAAGTAAATTTCTGTCACTTTTAATTTTTTAAAAGTTTCTTAAAGGTATAATTAACAAGATTCATGTAATTAGGAGTCTATGCTGTCAGGGAATATTAACAACAATGACAGACTTCAATCTTTCATTTCTTCATTCTTTGAAATGTACAATGAAATCATCCAACCTGGTTAATCCAATCATTCAACTCTCCAATCTCAAAATCAAATGAAATTATAATGAAGAGATTTATAGCTCCAAAGAATATGGGCTGCCAATGATTGATAACAATTTTTTTAACCTTGAAAAAATTCGATACTGGATATCATTTCCCCATGCTGCTATGCATTACTGCTAACATAAAATTTACAGCAAATGATGCTTACAAAACAATGGCGACTGTATAAACAAAAAGCCTAGACTCCAAGATACGGTTTGCAGACTGATGAGGCCAACATGTGCATATATATTGTAATGCTATCCATCATATGTGTGTGCAAACCTCTACCTCCTAGTCTTCTACAAGCTTTTCAGTTACACAGACTCACGGAATCGGAGCAAATAGATATCAAAATCAATTTTACTGCCAGAGTGCCAGGAGCCTAAGAAAGTAATTTGAATACCCTCTAGCCACATGTCATAATTACACATCTAACCTTCACTGTACATAAATATTGGATTGTATTCTTCCAATAAAGGGGGATTAAGATGTATCTGCAAGGGATTGGGTTGTCTAATACGTCAGTTACATAAAATTCTTAGTATTTTAGTTTGAATACTACAAAAGGAAATCAAATGTGTACAGGACAGGATGACTGCATAGAATAAGTGCATAAAGAATACAACTTGGAGCCACTGTGTATGGCAGAAACAAAGTTCAAACTGAATACCCACCTCAGACAGACTTTCGATTCATTGATATCACCTTATTAAGAAGAACCAATATATGATTTACAAATAAGTATAAAATGACAAATACAAACTCGCTTCAACTTGTTCTCATCAAGTGAAAAGATGAGAATTGAACCCTAATCTCCCCAGCTAAACCATGAGAGGAACGAATTGGTGACATGCTGATGCCAGATTTCAACCTTTCAAAATAAACCATGCTAGATTTGAATGGTAAAAGAGCATAGCCTTGTTGACAAGAAAATAATGTGCATTTTTTCTAGTATGAATGAATGAGATAAGTTGTCAATCCCGCATGCCAAGTTCTACCTCAAGTTCATCATCGTCTTCAAACAGCTTCAAAAGACGAGCATGCTGCTCTTCTCTCTTCTTCCTTTGCCATAATTTGAAAAGAAAAACACAGAATGCAATGACTGTCACCGCACCAAGGAATATAATAATTATCTTGAGCCCCACAGAGCTTCTTGAAGCATGATGACTCACATCTTGATTTTCATTTTTGGCATCTGATAGGTTGTTGGCTAGGACTTCAAGGACACAAAATTTTCACAAGTCACCAATAACGACAATAAGAAAGGAGGGAAACCTCTCCTGCTTCAATTGTAAGAATAAAATTTTTGTTGACCACCAGGTGAATGATACATAACTTTACAAAGCAACAAACATCAGACCTTTGCAAGAAAGAATTATTAGATTTCATGAACTAGCCAAAATGGAGGAATTTTAGAAGGTAAGAAATTTGTTTCTCCTGTCCTCTACGCAACCAGCTATCCAAAAATGAACAAAAAGCAATCTTTATTTTACCAGCATATTTGATATGTAAATCAAAATACCAGGTGAAAGCTTCACATGCGAAATACCTAGCTTTAGACAATCCAATAACTACTTGAATTTTTCCTCGGTAGCATCGTTAACACATAAAAGTAAGGGATGCAAGTCGAACGGTCAGTCAAGTGAGCATAATTAGATCAAATATGAAAACTATTAGAATCTCCACTATATCCACATAGACCATTTTGTTTTATCTGATTTTATAGCAAAGAAAACCCTAAGAACCAAAAAATAATTGTTCAATGCCCTCAAATCAGCATTCATGAGATTCATAACAAGAAAAGCAAGACACAAATAGAAGGAAAAGATAAATAGATACCAGACAGGAGATGCAGATGCAGACAGGTCAAGGCCAAAAACAATGGGTATCGCTGAGATCTTCGGAGTAGCATCTCGCCTCTCTTCTTCTTCTTCTTCTTCTCTCTCTGTGTGTCTCTCTCTCAACAAAATCTAGTTGAGGCGTAACTTCAACTATATCACAACTGCGATCCAACATCAAAATTCAGCTATGGTCTATTCTTTTCTACCTTTTTCCTTCTAGGACATTAACTAAATTTTTACACATTGAAAAAACTTCTAATCTCTCTCTCGTATGGAATTCATATCAAATAAAAAAAATTTAATTTTTGAAATAAATAAAAATAATGAAAATTAATGATAAGATTTATTTAAATCATTAAGATTAAAGAATAAATATACATTTTATTAAATAAATATGTGTTTAATAATTAATTTCAATTTCAATTTCAATTATTTTATATAATTTTATGAGTTTTGTTTTTTGATATATTATTAACGTAGTAATTATAGAGTCAAAATTAATTATTTCCTATTATTCAAATAAAACTATATATACTATATAAATTATGAAATAATTTGTAAATGTAAAGAGCTAATGAGCTTATAAATACAAATCCTTCAAACTATTATGATTATAATTTATTTGATTTTTTAATATAAAAAATAAATTGAAGACTCTACGCACCCACATGTATACGTATGTATGGATATAATATTTGATACTTATTTTCATAATCCTATATAAAAAAATCTTAATTTACTTAATAACATGACTTGATGAAATAAAGTTAAATAAAATTAACCGAAAGAATTAATTTATACATCAATTTGTAACATAATCAATGCAAGTCAGGTGCACGTTGACACATTTTTTTCACACAATTTTTATCACCATAGAAACTTGATTTTTAGACTTATTAAATGATTTATAAAAATAAGTAAATATAATTTATGTTGTTAATATTACATATTTAATAATTTTCATAACATATAAATAATAACTACTAGTTTTTATTACTAAAGTTTTAATACTTTAAATTTTTTAAAAGGTTAAATTATATATTTAGTCTTTACAGTTAAAATTTATTTATAAATTTTTATATTTAAAAAATACAATTTAGTCCATATACAAATATTTTATTATATTTTGATCTTTCACAAAACACTTGTAAAGAGAGATTAAAAATAATTTATGCTTGTATCAAATATAGAAACAAAATATATATTTTAAATAATTATAATTTTAAAAAGACAAAGACAATCAAACTTAGTTAGAAAAGACATGTGTTATGGCTCAGTCTTCATAGCAGTTGATTATTGATTAATAAATAATTTTACTTTATTTTATTTTATTTTACCTTTTATCCTATCTTTGTTAGAAAAGACAAAGACAATCAAACTTAGTTAGAAAAGTCAATATAAAATATTTTTTTTATAAAAATAGTATATTTACTATATTTGATATGTGAAATTATACTGTTATTTAAAATTTTAGAGAATTAATTTTAGTATATAAATAAATTTCTTACTTTTCTATAGTAATATAAATAAATGGTTCTTATTATGTTGACTTAAAATTTTACTAATTGATTTTTATGGTACTTTATTTATCAATTAAATATTTTATCCATGAAAAATATCTAAACATATTTAGTAATTTTTTTGTCGTAATAAAAAGTCTTTGTCATATAAAAATTATTTTTAATATTTTATTAACAATAATTATGAATTTTTTATTATTTTATAAATATACTAAATTAATAAGCTCTATAACAATAAATATGTATAATATTGAATCTTAAATACAATATTTGACTTAATTATATAAATTTTTAGTCTCTTAAAAATTTATAATTTTTAAATTTTTTATACAAGTCCACTATTTTTTAATTAAAATATATATTTGATTCTTACATTTAACATTCATTTATGAATTAATCATAATTTTTAAAAAAACTTATATTTTAATTTTTATATAAATTTGCTACATTTTAATTTTAATTTTTATATCACCATTAACAATAAAGATCAAAATAGAAATTATAAGTATCAAAACATAACAAAACACTTGTATATAAATTAAAATGTAATTTTTTTAAAATATAATAACTAATTCATAAATAAATATCAATTATAAAAGCTACATATATAAGTTAACCTTTTTGAAATTAAACTTTTAAGGTATTATAAAAAGAGTCACATAACTTTTAATCCTTCAAATATTAAAAGTTTATTTTAATATGTAATAACTTGATAAAATAATAATTTCAATGCATCTTTTAATCTTGAAGAAGTTATATATTGCTAAAAACTCAAGAAAAAAAAATTATTGTAAACGAAATTTAAGAACTAAATAAATATTTTTCGGTAAATATTTACTAATTATAATATTAATGAAAGCTGCACATTTTTACAAGCTAACACCACACGAATTAATAATTTATTAGTTTTCCCTCAAATACGATGCAATCCAAAATCATTCTTTTGTGAATTGATACTCCTAAATGCCACTTCAATTAATAACGGAACAACATTCCTTTGTTCTTAATTTTATGATTAAGAACATGAGTTGTTATCCTAAATTCAATTTAGATAAAATTTTATTGTACTTATATAATTCAAAAAGTAAATAATAAAATAAATTAAAATTTTTTCATAAATTAAAATTAACTTATATTTCTCTAATTTTTTTAATAAATTGTTTAATAATTTATTTTTTATATTAATCTTCTTTTTATATAAAATATTTTTTAGAAATTTATTCAAACTAGCCTTCGAGTCCAATGACAATCCTAACAAGTAACTATGGGGGTAAAGTACCAACGCAAAGCCGAAAATAAGAACCCACTATATTCCAAATCAGCTGCTGTTTAGACAAAGCACTATCTATCTGTATTTAACGATGAAAGCAATTTATGCTGTCTAACGTTGGTTAGAAAACAATCATTTGCATGGCGCATGTTGAGAAAACTCCCAAGATGGCTGCTTAGTATCCGATAAAGGCACCCCCAAATTCAACACATCCCTTAACCATTTAATCCTATTCAAAAGTTCCTCCAAGTCCATGATTGCAGCTTCTGTCGTATTGGAAGACATGGAATTCAGACAAAGGCTTATATTGCTTCTCAACTTCTCTGTGGGATACTCATCATATCCACCATTTATGGTAGCCTTTTCTGAATTCTCAACTGAAAAACTAGTTCTTCCAATTTTATCATCAGACAAGTCATTGTCCATACCATTTCTAAAAGTGTTGCATTGCTTTCTCCTTGCCATGGATCGATCTAGACTGTCTGACGGACCCTCAAAATTTTGAGTCGAATGGGAAGAAAATGTCCTTACGGTAGTCTGATCAACCTTTACTGTTCCATCTGTAGCATGGATGTTCACAGCATCCCCTGAAATAGCAAAACAGGAGGATGAGGTTAAACAGCAAAAATAGCTTAAGAATAAATTAAAATATACAAAAATAATAATGGAACCAGCGGAACAAACAGCAACGTGAGAACCAAAGTCTGTTAACTTTATCGTGCATGGAGAGAGGTGTGAGGAATTGGAGAAAAACAAGTTCTTCCAATTTTATCATTAGACAAGTCATTGTCCATACCATTTCTAACAGTGTTGCATTGCTTTCTCCTTGCCATGGATCTATCTACACTGTCTGACGGACCCTCAAAATTTTGAGTCGAATGGGAAGAAAATGTCCTTAATGTAGTCTGATCAACCTTTACCGTTCCATCTGTAGCATGGATGTTCACAGCATCCCCTGAAATAGCAAAACAGGAGGATGAGGTTAAACAGCAAAAATAGCTAAGAACAAATTAAAATATACAAAAATAATAATGAAACCAGCGGAACAAACAGCAACGTGAGAACCAAAGTCTGTTAACTTTATCGCATGGAGAGAGGTGTGAGGAATTGGAGAAAATGGGAAAATGACCACAGCAGAGAACATGCCAAGGGCGGAGTTGAGTTCATTGAAAGAGAGAAGGAAGGCTGTAACATGGTTAACGACAATTGTCATGTGCTATGCGGAGAAGTGAATTCTGGTATGATACCAGAATTGAGGAGAGACAATATAGCAAGGAACGGAGAGAAAGAGAAGGCAGGCCAGCAATGAGAAAGGAAAGGATAGGGTGGGTTGGAGTATGCTGTTTTCTGCAGGATCTCCATTGTTATTTTCTGCACATTTTTGTCTTAACAAGGGGCTCCCTCTGCTTGTAAGGGAGCTTGGTACCCCTATTTTCCTTTCTTGATTTTGCAGAACAAATCAGGCATCAAAACCACCTAAGGATAGATGAAATAGCTCCTTCCTACCAACCAAGCATTCAGATCCCAAATAAAAAATAGACAGACAATGATTACCATAAGAGGCACTAGGAAGTGAGGTCACTACATATTTAACAACCAACCAGAGAAGCAACTGAGGAAAGGCTAGCTAAATTAATTTTCACTCAGCAAGAAGCCTATATTTTCATTCAAAAGAAATCAAATATATTATTTAAAGCAAGAAATCAAGAGTATATTTTAATACTGTTTTACCTGAATTCGCCGGATTGACTATATGAGCACAAGGTCGACTGCATCCACCCTCCTGCAACTTTTGCAAGGAAATGAATTATTGATAATGCGAACTTAGATATTTAAATTATTTTTAATAACCTACAAACTTTTGCAGAACAGAAAATCCATCGGCAACATGAAGACAAACAATTAATTTCAATAAGGATTGGGACATTCTTCAATATTCACATACCAATGAAGTCATGGCAGCAAAACTTAACACGAAATAGTGATGCAAGTACAGAAGCAAGGGATACTTCCATTAGAAATAATTTCAAATATTTATTTGTTTATATTTCCAGGCAACCTTATTTTTGCATAATTTTCTATTTCAAAGAGATGTTATGAAGGACATGGCATGATTTTGTTGTTTTCAGCGTTTCCTTTGCAAATTCTTGCAAACAAGAAACAAGTGATGACATGGTTATATTTTTTGTAATTATTAGTGAAAATATATTATAAACCAACTAGCCCAAAAGCTTAAGCTGAGTTGAAGTACATAAATGGTTTTATATCTAACATGGCCCCTCACACATGGGAGCTCTATGAGTTTGATGGATCCTTAGGGTTTGGTTCAATGATAAGATGCTCTTCATAACCTTGGGAGCCCAAGGTACTGAATTCTGAAGAGCAACAAGTATAATTTTTTTTTCACAAGAGTTCTCCTTTCTAAAAACTATGAAAATGCATATGGTGCAGTTAAAGTAACTCAAGTAACCCCTTGTAGTTTTAACACTTTCTCTATTCAACCCCAAAATTACACACTTAGAAAATAAACTTAGTTGGGGGGAGGGGATTGTTAGTTGAAAAAAAACGTTATAGTGCAGTTAAAGTTAACAGAAACATTAATTTTTTTCACTAAACCAAAGTTTAAGGTAGAACCGTGGGGGAGGGGGGGGGGGGGGGATGAGTCTTATCGGAAAAAAGTGAAACAGGGTTAGTTGCAATTAACCCTATTTTCTACGTAAGACAATCCCTCACTTCCTCACAAAAAGTTAGTTAACAGATATAGTCATTAGAATTTCATGATTCATTATTCAAACAATTTGGCAACTGGCAAGTCAGCAATTCATGTCATGTGATGAATTGTAAATAGCTTTCAACTGTGCAAAGCATGCATACATCGGAGTGATTTCATATTACAAATCGAACAATTCAAAGATTTTATTTTTCTTTTGGCTTCCCTTCACCAATTCTCATTAAGTAAATTGAAAATTCATATATAAGCTTGATTTTTTAAATAAAAAGGAACTCAAGGAGCACTAATGAATGTATCCTTTTTTATTTTCCATTTCTCTCCTTCCACTGTTCTGAAACAGGCTTCACAATCACTCACTCTGTGCGGCCTATTTAGCATTGCTTAGTTTTAATGTCATATAGATAGAGGCTTCTCAATTCTCATATGCACTTTGTTTTCAATTTATATGTGGACATATAATAATATAGCCAGAGAAAAATATGTACCGCAGAAAATAAGTTATAAATACAAAGAAAAGTAAAGTTATGGGATTATAAGTACACACTATATGTCTGGGCACTGTCTAAAATTTAGTTGACACAATTTAACCAGAGAAAAATATGCATGTAAGAAAATAAATTATAAATACAAAGACAAGTCAAATTATGGGATTATAAGTACACACCATAGGCATAGGCACTGTCCAACCTTTTTCTGGGCACCAGTCCAAAGATGGGCGCAGGTCCTTGCTGAAAGCTCTGTAAGAGTTCCCTTCACCCAGTGGGGGAGGTAGCAAATCAATCTAGAAAGACAAATATTGAGTATCACATAATACTAAAGTACATCCAGACAAGTAATGTTTAATAAACAAGACATAAAAAAAGTAGGAAACAACTTAAAAAATTGGGTATGTCATTTGCCCATATCTTGCCAGAATCAACAACAAAATAAAAACCACAACTATTTAATGCACCAAATTAGAAGAAAAATTGAGAGGATAGAGTGAGCCTTAAAACCAGAAAAGCTACATGATTGTCCATTTGATTCACATTCAAATAGCCAATATCCTTTGACATGGAAAAGAACAACTAAGCCTCTTTCCCACTAGGTGACATCAGCTAATGGATCAAACAATGCCATACTGTTTGATCATAAATCATATCTATAGCAAACTATTGACCTCTAAATCCTTAATGGTCTCACCCATATTTTTTCTTGCTTTCCCTTTGCCTATAGCTCACTACCCTCTATTTAATATACTATCCTTATTGAGTGGCAAAAATGAGAATATTAAGATGGATGAGTTGTCATACAAGAAAGGCTAGAATAAGAAATGATTATATAAGTGAGAATGCTGAAGGAGTCACACTCATAGTGGAAAAGATGATTGAAAACTGCCTCAAGTGGTTTGGTCACGGCCAGAAAAAATCTTTGGAAGCATTAATCACAAGAGTAGATAGCATGACTTTTAATTCGATAAAAAGGAGTAGACAAAATAACTTTAGAAGTTATTAATATAAATCCTTTGATGAATAATATTTGTGAAACTTCAGTTTTTGATCGAGTTCAATGATTTTGTGTGATCCATGTAGCCAACCTCACCTAGTGAGATAAGGCTCAGTTGTTGTATTGGGTTTCCTAAATGTCTTCTCAACACATGCTCAAAACCCCAAAGGCAAGTTTCTATTTCAACTTTTACTTCAGAGCATTCATTCCTAATTCAATCTTGAATAGCATGGTTACTCATCCATGGCAATATTCTCACCTATGCTACATTGAATTTATTCTCTTGTTGACTTTTTACTGACTATTATTTTGTTCAAATATAACATTGCAGGTCTTATAGCTGTATGGTGAATTTTTGCTTTAAGCTTGACTGGTATCTTCTTGTCACACATAACACCTGAAGCGCTCCTCCATTAATTCCATCCTGCTAGAATCCTATAGTTCACATCTTCCTCTATTTCTCCATCATTTTGTAAAATAGACCCTATATACTTGACCCAAGTGACTTGAGGTAAAATTTGTTATCCAAGTTTTACCTCTAAGCTAGAGTTAATAAGTCTATTTCTAAATTTACATTCCATATGTACTCATATTTTACTAAGAAAAAGCCTTGAGCTTCCAAAATTTGTCTCCACATCTCAAACTATTTATTGCCTCCCTTCATTCTCCAACTATTCAATGATATAAACTTAATTTTAAATAAGTTAAATGTCTGTGGATATCTAATCTAATAGTAAAGATTTACTTATATTTTAAACAATACATATCATATGTTAAAATAAAGCAATGTCAGCCTACTATCTATTAGTGAAATTTTTTTTTTCCAAAATCATGTTTCAACTTTGATTTCCAATCTCACCATTCTCGGCTGTGTTCTTACTTTCGACTGGTGTTTGCCCATTTTTTGGTACTATTTCTTTCTCCTTTTGTGACCTATGGCGTTCACTCACCTTTCCAATACTAAGCCTGCCATCTTCACCTTCCACAATACTACTTCTCTATACTATGAGTAGTTTGAATGGCTAAAACTATGCTATTTTGGTTTTTAATATTTATCTTTAGCTTGTAGGACAAGATTATGAAGATCATCTTACCATAAAGGTCACTGATATTGCTGAGGCAGATCATTCTCGATGGGAAAAGAGTAATGTCCAACTTTGTTGTATCATTAAGGTCATTCTTCATCCACCTATGAGACATCTTATGATAGGGTTTAGGGTACCTGTGAAGTCATTTGAGCACAGGCTAAATTGCCATATACCAATAGCACTCAATGTCTCTGAGATTTGTCACCTTATGATAGTTATTGGTGCTCATCACATTAAGGATTCTACGGCTGCCTATTTGGAAAGAGTAATTGGCCTCCTTTATGATATTAATGAATTCTTTATTCTAACCTCCTATTGATACTTCTAACAATAAAATCAAGCAATGACAACAACTTTTCATGTTACTGGCCTTCTATGATTTTTCTAAAAAGTATTCTCATGTTTGTGATCAAATTTTGGGCTGTCCTACCATTTCCAACATGGAATCTACTTGACCCACCATGCTTCATCAACTAGACATCAGCTGAGGTTGTTGTTCCCCTTACACCTGTAAATTCTTGTGCTTTGGTGTTCTATTAGGTTGATAGTGCTCATTTTCACAAATGTGCCTACCTAGGACTATACTCCATTAGGTTGATATTCTTCATTCCTTGATGACACCTTTTTCAAGTTTGTCATATTGTTTGATTCTACTTCTACGTATACCTCTTGAGTCTTCAAATATTTCTTAAATCTCCATTCACTTCTATCCTCTAGAGGAATTTCAATTACTACTGACTTCACCTCTTGTTTTCCCTTTACAAATTTATTAACATAGGCAGCACTCTGCGGTTTCACTCCAGTCCAATGCCAGTACTACCTCTGACTCATTTTTGTAGCCACCTCTTCTTCCCCCTCGAACCCTACATCCGGAATTAAATCTTCTATTGTAGTTCATAAAGGTATATGTTTTATCTGTAATTGTTTCACTTTTAATGTTAATTTGAGTTATTACTGTTTATTTCATTTCGATTACATTTGTCTCTCTATCTTTTGTTTCTATTTTTAAGTCTATAGGTAATGCCCTTACTTATCCTGGTTAGTGCAAGTCATGATTGATGGACGTGTGCACTTTGGCATAATGATACCCGAGACTTCATTCCCCCTCCTTATAAAATGTCAATTGTTGGTTATAGATGGGTCAACATTGTTAAAGTTAGTCCTAATGGCAAGGCATACTGACCAAAGGCCCGTCTAGTAAGGTAAAGGTTATACAAAACTCTTTTGCTTGAATTATGGTGATATGTTCTCTTCAGTGGTCAAAATGATTTGTATGATTTTTCTTGTTTATTGCAATCATTTGTCATTGCAAACTTTATCAATCTCATCAATAATGCTTTCCGACATGGTGATCTTATGGAAGACGTGTATATGGAACAACCTTCTAATTTTGCTGAATGTGCAAGTCATTATATAATATTAATCAATCTCCTTGAGCATGGTTTGGCTGAATTAATTCAAGAATTCAACTGTTTAGTACGATTCAAAGAGAGGCTGACCACTATGTCCTCTATTGCCACTCAGCTACTGGTTGCGTTTCCCACTTGTTTACATGAAAGATATTGTCATCATAGGTAGTAATCACCATGGAATCACAAATAAAACAACATATTTTCAGCACTTTCAAATAAAAGATCTCAATAGACTTAAATATTTCTTGGGTACAGAGGAAGCACAATTCAAAAATAGTGTTGTAGTCTCTCAGAGAAAGTATACCATAGGCATTTTAGAAAAGACAATTGATAAATGCCAAGTTGACCCTCTAATGTATCCTAAAGCCAAGTCAAGGGTTGTAGATTCAAAGACAGAGAGACAACTTATTTAAAAATTGAATTATCTCATTGTCACGCATCCTAATATTTGTTTTGTTGTGTGGTAATTTAATTCTCAACTCTTCTAGATAAAAAACATTGGGATACAATTGCTTGAATTATAAAAAATATCCAGGGAACTGATAGGAACTCGATTAACTGAATAAAACACAAATCCAAACAAGGATTCCAAAATGGGACTCAAAGATCAAGCAACAATATTTTGCAAATACACCAGAGGAAAAGCTCTGAAACAACCAGTAACCACAGCAAGGTCCCTTACTGTGCCAATAACCCACTAACAGAAAAGCATAATCCACTAACAGAAAAGCATGCTCTATCATGCTATTCCCCCATCCTGTATGCCTCCAAATATCCTAACAAATTCTCCTAACTTTCTTTCACCATGTTGGCATTCCCATCCTCCCGTGCCTTCTTTCTTCTAGTGGACAGCTTCCAGATCTTGGGCCTTGGTGGCCCAATACTCAGAAGAAACTCATCCATAGACTTATGGGACCTATTAGGAACTCCAGGAAAAGAGCTTTTGTGTGAAGACAAAGGGCACACATGAGTTGTGAAATAATTTGATACAGATTGGACAAGCTCAACTCCAGATAGAAGATCTATCACTAGGTATTGTGTCTTTCTTGGTGATGACTTAATCTTTTGAAAAAGCAAGTAAACTGTTGCAAGATCAAGTGAAGAAGTTGAGTATCAAGTCAAAACTTCAACTACTTGTGAACTCATATGGTTCTAGTAGTTACTCAAGGAACTAAAGTTTGGAGAGATTACACAAATGACACTCATCTATGTATAGCCTGAAACTCAATGTTGCACGAGAGTACCAAGCACATTGAGATAAATTTTCATTTCATTAGAAAAGAAGTCTTATCTAGAGATATTGTCACTAATTTGTTCATTCCAATGATCAACCGGCTAATATCTTCATTAAGCATCGAAGTGTCATCGCATCAACTATATATGGAGCAAACTTAGTGTAAATAAGAAAATTATGTAATTTATAAAAACCAAGTAATTAGCATGATTCTTGGTAACAATAGATAATGTATTTATTATGCTCTCAATATAAATACTTCATTGTGTATTCAGACACAAATTTATCTAATGTCTCTTGTTCTCTCATTGCTCTTGACAAGAACAAAAAGGCAGAAGGACACAATTAAAGAGAAGATTTAAAACATGCAAAATCTATAGTGCAAATGGGTAAGGACTAAAAACTTTGATAGTACCAAATAATTTGTAGCATTTGCAACTCATTAAAAATTGTAAAAAAATGAGCTATTCAACACAAGTAGACAGCAAAGACTTCAAGACAAAAAAGAAGATATTACCTGAACTTCATCATTTCCCAATATTTTAGTTACTCTCCCAGACCAATAGCAACCATCTGTATACCAATCTACCAAATCCCCAACCTTCCAAACATTATCAACGATAACAATCACCTTTGATATGGTATTCACATCAAAGTTTTCATTTTCACGATAGACAGTAGGAAATGGAGGTCGCAATATCAATTCCTTTTCATGGCCCTTTGACTTGCTAATTAGGGGCTTTTGATACAATTTGATCCATGTTATCCCTGCAACCAAGTTGTGTAATGAATATAACTTCAAAAGAAATAGAACCCTTGCAACTTTTATTGCAAGTATCAAAGTATGTAGGGGGATATAAAATAAAGGATGAAGGACAAAGGTTAGGATTCTATGATAAATATGCTCATGTTTTGAGATTGAAAAGCTCTCTTGAGCTTGTTATAAGCATCTTTGTAATTAAGTAATAGGCAAAACGTCAATTGAGTATTTTAACAAAGAAGCAAGTCTTGGGATAGTATTCTTAAGGTTAGCCAAGTTACTCAATGGTATAAGTTAAGATGTCTCATATTGGCTAAGAATAGTATCAAAATACTCTTTATAAGGGCTTGAATAGTCCACCTCTAATGAGCTAACTTTTGGGAATGTGTTAAGTCTAAGTCTCCCAATATGGTTATTAGGGCCTATCCAGTTTAAATGTTGGGCTACCCACAAATATCCGTTCCTAGTGCAAACTTCACGTACAAGATGTCCAACCTTAGGCATGAAGAATGTGTGTCAAGATGTCTCATGTTAGCTAAAAATAGAGCCAAAATACTCCTTATAAAAGCTTGGGTAATCCTTTTTCTATGAGTTAGCTTTTGGAAATGAATTAGGCCCAAGTTTCCTAATAGTATTGTTATGAATAGCTATAATAGACTTATTAAGATTAGGGTTTATGTTAGTATTATAATAACATGCTTGCCCCAATATGGTTACATATATATTCTTATAAAGATAAGGGTCTCTATACATTGTAGAACATCCAAATTCCAGTACACTAATCTGTCTCTCTCTATATGCTCTCTCTCAATTTTACATGGTGTCAAGAACCTCCTAGGGTTCCTCCTTCGTTGCCATTGCCGCTGCTGCCACCACCGCCGCTGCAAAAAAAAAAAAAAAAAGCAGCAGCTTCAAAAAAGGCTGACTATGATTGCTGTGGGGATGAAAAATTTTTCCAGTGACCAGAATATGCAATAATTCGACGTTTAAAGTTTGAGTGCAACGTTTCTTACTAGCCATTGAGACGAAACCCAAGCAGTTCCATCATTATTTGTGGATATACAATGTCTGAATGTGATAGACAGTATGTGTAGGATGTGCAGCACAAGGGAGCTGTTACAGAGATTGTATCTCTATCCAAACTTGGTTTGAAGAAATTTGAAGAAAGATTCCTTGCTTGGAGTATATGACTTTAATATCCAAGAAGTATTTTAGAATTCATAAGTCGTTTGTCTTTAAATTTTACAAGTATATATGTGACGTCTGCTCATTTATTCCGAAATTTAAAGGCAAGCCTCTCTATATGCTCTGTCTTAATTTTACAAGTATATAGTATAAAATCTACATCCAAGTGTGATGTAATTGGATTTCACAATTTTTAGCTAATTAAGGACAAGACTTCAAAACTTTCTCTTGGTTTGACTAGACCTGTTTGGCAAACATAGAGGCCAAAATGAAGGCTATTCTAGAAATTCTTTGGAACCACAAAACAGTGGCAAGATGGAGCAATGAGTTGAGTCTTTGGAACAATCCATGGAGCTTTAGAGCAAGATAACCCTTGAGCAGAATGTACAAGTTCAGAGCCTAGAATATTGTAAGACTCCCTTGGGGAATATAACAAGTATTAAGTAAGTGGTTCACTGTTTCATGTGAAGATGCTATATGTTCAAGTGAGACTTCCACTGTTATATCTTCCACTCACAAACTCCCCATTACTACCAGCGTACAAATATTGTACCTAGTTCAAATCTAGCACCTCTAAAACCTTGTTAGTCAATAGCATCTCTAGTTCCTAATCTATGCTCAACTTGGCACCCTAACCATAATGTCCTTAGGCTAGTTGTTAAGTAATATACTATTGCTAAATAAAGTTCAATGCATTTTGTTCCTCTTGTTGTTTAGGTGAAGCTCAGAGTACATTCTTTACTTTCTTTCACTGTTTACTGTAAACTTATTGAACTTGAGTTCAGTGACTTGTGGGGCCTGCACCTATATAATCTTTTTGTGGCTATCTTTATTTTTAAACCTTTGTTGATGCTTATTCAAATTTGACACATATATCCTCTCGAGCAAATCAGGGATCCTTTTTGTTTATCAACATTTTACAGCAATGGCAGATATATAGCTTAATTGGGATCAACAGTTCATAGCTTTCTCCATGGTTCTTAGTGATTTGAGAATAGTTCAGACTCACTACCCACCACCCCTGCCAGAATGGTCCAGTTGAGTGCAAACACAGACACGTAAACAGGCTTGCCTTTAAATTTCGGGATCATGCTTTCCTTCCTACTGTCCACCTCATAACCCGGCATTCCACAGCTTCTATGCATTTTAATAATTGCTATAACTTGTTGTTCAGCCAAACACTAGGCTTCAAAGGTTGTGCTTGTTTTCCTTTCCTCAAACCATATATAACCCCAAGAAACAGTCCTATTTCTCTAAAGAGGTATGCTTTCCTGAATAACCAGCCTCACACAAGCAAAACAAGTTTTAGGGCATAATTTGTGTCTAAAAATGTTATCTTTAATAAGCATCAATTTCCCTATCCTAGCCTCATTCTCACTCCCTCTCAGAACTCCTCACCTTTACCCAGTGCCATACCACCTTACAATTTTGGCCAGCTACTCTACACTCCATTCCTCACAACAATCCTCCACAAATTCCCACGCCTAAACTGCAACAGCATCCCCTGCTCTTCCTTAGCCACTCCTGCCCAATGTTATCAATGGCAGATGGCGGGTCATGGCGGAAAACAAAAAAACTGCCATAAAATTATGGCGGATGCCATGGCGGGTTATGGCGGAATAATGGCGGTCATATATATTGCAAAATGTGATATAAAATTAGAAAAACTAACTACATATAAAAAGAAGGTTTTGAGAAAAAAAGAATAAAATGGTTGTACAATAGTGAAAAAAAAACTGAAGTTATAAAAGGAAAGTAGAGAATTAAAATAAATATGGAGAAGGAAACTTGGAAGTGAAAACAGAAAAATAGAATCAAGAAAACAAAATAATAAGGAAAAACGAAAAAAATGGGAGAGTAAAACAGAATGGGAGAAGGAAAAACAGAACTGAAAAAAAAAAAAAAATAGGAGAGGGAAAAACTAAGAAAGAGGGAATAATAAGCTGAAGTTATAACAGAAAAGTAGAGAATTAAAATAAATATGGAGAAGGAAACTTGGAAGTGAAAACAGAAAAATAGAATCAAGAAAACAAAATAATAAGGAAAAACAAAAAAAATGGGAGAGTAAAACAGAGTGGGAGAGGGAAAAACAGAACTGAAAAAAAAAACAGGAGAGGAAAAAACTAAGAAAGAGGGGCAGAGTCCAGAGACACAAAATAGAAATGGACTTCGGAAAATAGGGCCTTCCATTCACAGTTGCCGGAAAACAGCCGGAAAGGATGTCTTCTCTGGCGAAAATGGTGAAGGAGAAAATGGCTTTAGAGAAGAAGGAAGAAAAACAGTGTAGAGAACCCTAAATATTTTACCCTTCAGAAAATTGACCGCTTGAGAAGAGAAGGTAAACCCTAAAATTTTAAGTGGAAAGAGTCTATTTTGCCCTTAAAAAAACCCTAAAATACATAAAACAAGGACAAGATTGGAATTTCGCTATCTATTTTGCCCTTAAAAAACCCTAAAATACATAAAACAAGGGCAAGATTGGAATTTCGCTCTCTTTCTCTATTACACTTCAACACGCACACCAAGACACTACAACTAGGGCTTAACCCCTGCGAAGAAATACTTCACAGCAACAGCAGGTGGCGGACCGCCACTCCACAGCGGCACAACAGCCAACCGACGCTCCATTGCGGCACAACAGCAATGAAGAAAGGAAGAAAATATGTGATTTAGGGTTTGGGCTCACGGATTATCTTTTCGGAGCAGGTCCAATCAATGGCCCAACTCAATTTTTCCCACAAAAACGCCATTTTTTTACATTTTCCGCCATGGCTGCCGTTACCGCCATGCGCGTAACGGCCGCCATGGCGCCGCCATTGAAAAAGGCCAGAAAACGGTAACGCTGTAACGGCGGGGTCAAAAACCGCGACCGAATTCCGCCATGGCGCCGCCATGGCTGCCATTTAACAACACTGCTCCTGCCCAAAAGAGTACTGCCTCAACCATCTAGCCTCATCATTCCCAAATGCTTAGCAAACCCAATGAAGCATTTGACGATCTTCCTTAACCTTAGCAATCTTAATTGCAAATAGGATCGAAGCCGTCTAGGATCACATGGAATCACAATCTTTTCCTGTAAGATTGTGGGACCTACGATTATATCCAATCCTTGTGCCCTGGTTGAATATTTTGACCCAGTGAGAAAATAACTAGTTGCCCATTAATTTTTGACCTGCTTGTAGTGTTGGAACCCTAGTCTCATGCGGTGACCACTTCAGCATCTTCTCTGTTTTAATACAATTTTTTGTGTTCTCTGTGTGTGGGTGCTTCAATCTTCGTTTTTGAGCTGTGTTGGGTGCTTCTGTATGGGTGGTTTGTGCAATGTGGTTCGTGCTCCATGTGGTGTGTTCGATTTTGCTGTGTGCTCTCTGTCTTGCTGCTGTTTCAGTTTGTGGGTACTTTGTGCTCTGTCTTGATGCTGTTTCAGTTTGTGGGTACTTTGTCCTGTTTCAATATTATGCATCTTCCATTTTTCTACTTCATGCTCAGTTTTGTGAGTCTTGGGTTTTCTATTTGTTTTCTTTGCATGGCTCCCAATACCAACACTACTAGGAATGAATTTCGTGACAGCAGATAAGAGAAGGAGATTCAATCAAGTTGAGTTGCCAGGAGTGAATTTGTTGGTAGAACTTTGAAATCAAAATCAAATAAAAATGTTGTTGGAGCAAGAAATGATGTGGCATGAAATCATAGAGTTTTTGTTTTTGGAGATGCTAGGAGGATTAAATGTAAATATTTTGAGAATGAATATCCTGGAGTTTATCACTTCAAACATAATTTGGCAGGAAAAAGCAAAACGTTGGAGCTTGCATGGCTGTCCCTA